GTTTAGTACGAAGTGTACAAGTAACAAATCCCCAAGAATTACTCCGTATCGATACTCCGTAATGTGGAAGCGTCTACGGAGTACAAGTACCTCCTCTCCTCCGCACAGTGGAGGCTTAACAAACATCCCCCATATCGTGGAGTGCTCGTACTGTAAGTAAAATACCTTGAGTCAATTGATTCCTTCATCTCCTCATCTCTTGATCCCTCCTCTCTCCCTCTTCTCCTCACTCTTCGCTTATGACCACAATGAATCAAAACCAAGGCTGAGACTTTTTTGAATCATTGCCAGTGGTCATAGTGCTGACAGGCGCGCGCCTATCTCCTCCTCTACCGCAAAGCAGTCCTCCTTGTCCCTCGGCAATGATGATTGCCCCACAAACGTCAGAGAGCATGGGGATGGAATCGCCCCAGACCCGAGAATTCTTTGTAGGTCTTGATGGAGTCCTCTCAGTCCCCCTGACACGGCAGACAAGGGTTTGGCCATGTGGTACTCCGTACTTCCCGTCCATTATATCGATTCTCGGCTACAGAACTTCCCCCGAGCTCCCTGGAGAAAGGCAGTGAGAGGCATGGTTCTGCTCCTTACTCGCCAAAACTACCGAGTGGATCATGACAAGGGGCATCTGTCCTCGGCATTCTGCCGAAAGCTCTACACACGACGAAGGTGCTCCAGGTACCTTGTAGTCGGGTAGGCGCTGCCTTTTTGTTATCAAGTACAGCTGCCGATCCTCCAGCACCACCCACTAGGCCTTCCTCCACCATTTTGAAGGCTCAATCTCGCCTAGCTCATTTGAAACAAGCAAGGTCAAGCACCACAAAGATTGCGGGGTGGTCCGGAGTTGATTCTTCTTTTTATGAGATCTGGAGTAAAAGGACGAGTGCTCCGTAAGTGGGTTGGGCAAGGGTACAAGAATCATTCTCCCCTGCCTTCTTTTCTTGCCTTTCCCACCCTTTACTCTTTTTCGTTTCTCTCGGGTCGAACCCTTTTTTTGTCGCAAACAACCGCACGCACGCAACGATGCAAAATACGTCGTCCGACGAACCAAAGGCTTCCGCCGACACCGCCGAGGTGGCGGTCGCCCACAATGAACAACAACAACAAGAACTTTCGGCGGGATACGAAGACCCTCACAAGGCTGCCCTGGAAGACAACCCGGAGCACGCTGAGAGGCTCAGTCTTTCTGTTATTCTTTCGGCCCTTTTCCTAGGCACCTCCTTCACCGGTCCCATCATTTTCGGCTTCATCCTCGCCACGCCCATCCTGGTACAATTGAGTCAGAAGCTCGGGGGAGAAAAGATTGATTTCTGGGTACCTTCAGGTTGGGGAGCGGCAGCAGCCGTCGGATTCTCCGTCGCGGGCAGACTCTCCGACATCTTTGGCCGCAGATATGTCATCCTGGTCGGACAGTTACTCACCATCTTGGGTGCCGCCATCGCTGCCAGTGCCCACTCGATGAACCAACTCATCGCCGGTACGGTGATTCTTGGAGGTTCGATCGGGACGGTGTCGGTGGCTTATGCAGGTGAGTGGCAGTGCCTTTTTTTCTCTCTGTGCGTGCTGCTGCGAGTCGTCGCGGCATAGTCGATCGTGTTTTTACTCATGTTTTGGGGTGGCCAGGACTGTCCGAGATTCTACCCAACAAGTACCGCGGCATGGGCCTGGCGTGGACCGAACTCAACCTCGCAAGTTGGGCCGTCGCGGGTACCCTCCTCGCAAACGCCTTGTTGTCCCACGCGAGTTGGCGTGTCATGTACTACATCGCCGCGGGCTACGGGACCTTCTCCTTCATCGGCACGCTCTTCGTCTACTTCCCACCTAGCCACCCTCGACCCGACGGTCTCACCAAGTGGCAAGAGTTCAAGAACCTGGATTTCGTGGGGACCTTCTTGTACGTGTCCGGGCTCGCCGTCTTCCTGTACGGACTCAACTCCGGCGGCAACAGCTACCCTTGGAAGGCCGCGGGAACTCTGGCACCCTTGATCCTCGGACTCGTCGTCTTCTTGGGAGCCTTCGTCTACGACTTCACCTACGCGAAAGATCCACTCTTCCCCTGGTACCTCTTCAAGAAGTTCCGCGAATTCTCGTCCCTCCTGATGCTGGTCTTCGTGGCGGGGATGGTCTTTTTCGCAGCTTCCGCCCTCAACGCCCAAACCATTCTTTACCTGTACACTGCCGATCCCATCAAAATCGGCGTCTATTCTATTCCGTCCGGGTGAGCAAGACAGACCCAGGCCCAACCTCGGTTCAAAAAAGACAAATTTGCTAACTAAAGATTCCCAGTGCCGGACAACTCGTCGGAGGTGTCATCATCCCAGGTCTGGTGCATTACATCAAGCACGTCCACTACCAGTTGACCTTTTCCGTCTTCATGCAGACGCTATTTTTTGGACTCGCCGCCCTCATCACTCCTCACAACATCAACTGGGTCATGGCGGTGCAGTTCCTCGCCATGCTCCCCTTCGGCTGGATCACTTTGAACTGCTACACGACGGCCTCGCTCCACGTGCCCCAGCGCGATCTCGGGGTGGCCATCGGGCTGATCGGGACTTTCCGATCCTTGGGGGGGGCGGTCGGGTCCGTCGTATTCTCGTCCATCTTCACCCAGATCTCGGCGAAGCAAGTGCCCCAGCGGATCGCGAGTGTGGCGTTGGATTCCGGAGTCGCGGCTAAGACCCTCCCGGATCTGATCGAGGCGGTGTCCCTGACCCTCGTCGGCGTCCCCGGCCAGGCCGCCACCGTCCCCTCGGTCTCGTCGGCCGTGTTTGAAAAATCCGTCGCGGCGGCCCGACTGGGTTACGCCTATGGCTTCCGCATCACGTGGCTGGCGTCGATCCCATTCGGAGTCATCGCCATGCTCTGTGCCGTGGCCGTTCGAGATCCTTCAAAGTACTTCACCAACCACGTCGAGATTCACCTCGAGAAGGAGATCGGTGGCCACAAGCAAACGAAGGAGGTGGAAGATAAGCAGGCATAAGGAGTTGCAACGCTTTGAGTGGATCTCATACTCGACTTGATGAAATGTGTAATGTTACAATGAGTCTGGTGTTGGAAATATCTGCAGTGGCTTCGCAGCTAAAATGAATATTATCAACTCCCGGTTCAGTCGACCTAATTCTGCTCCTAAATTGTACAGTGTGCTATCATCCATTGTGATGTCGTGGCTAGACGTAAAGCCTGCCTACGAGTGTGGGACCGAGAACACGATATTTCATGGCCATTCCCATATTTAATATTTAACATGAGCGGCAACAAGAAGCAGATCCTTCTGCTGACGATTAGGGCGAGGAACAAACCCCAATATCCTTCAACAAATCTCCCGCCACGACGTCAATGCTTGCTGTCTTGGAGTCTTCGATACCAAAATTGATAAACACAACATCATCACTGTAACCATGATACTTCTGGCCTTGGGCCTTCCAACTCATGGACGTCACATAAAACATTTCGGTTTGGTTCCAAGAGTCCAAGGACTCGAATTCGGGTCCTTTTGGTCGCTTTTCGCCGGGTTTACCTCGACCATGGATCCAGATCGGTTTGGACGAGAGTGCATGGAGCTCGAAAGGAGCCGTCCGTTTGAACAACATGACATAGGGTTCGTAGACGCTGTGGAACGAGTAGTAACTCTTGTGTTGGATAATGGCCATGATGTAAGTGTTCTCATCGTTGGGCTCACACCCCACGTCCGACCTCTTGCACAGCGTGATTGAGAGGGAATTTGTGGCCTGGTGAATGGACTCCAAATGTCCTTCCACCTTTGGCATAAATCTTTGCATGCACTTTTCGTCGTTGTTTCGGGCCAGATGTGCAAGGTCTCCGCCGACGGAACCATCTTTCTCCTGCTTTGCATACACACGGTTTGGCCAAGCGTCGTAATGAACATATGCATCGCCGTTCTTGTCCCAGAACAGGAACCAATTCTTCTCGACGAGACTCATGGGTGGTGGCCTTTGGAGCTCAGTAGCCAGGCGATAGGGGCCTCCACCGATTGTCTCATGTTGCCAATCGACGAGCACTCTAAAGTCTTGGATCCATTGCCCAAAGCAAGTATAGCCCGAATTCGATCCAAAGACTACAAAGGGTGAAGTTGGGCCATAAAACACTCGTGCGTCATGTGGTCCGACGTTGAACGAAAAATACGACAGGTCGTCGACGCATTTGTCTCCTGCTGTGACGGCAATGGGCAGAATCTTTGGTGGCTTGTTGCATGAGAGCCTGCCCCTCTTAAACCTCGCTTCGCATACCAGCTCGGAGAACCATATGGACTTGTCGTCCTTGTCCCGATGTTGCTGTGCTACAATGATCCAAGCCTCCGGCCGTGTTGGATGTGGTATTATGTTGGGGTTGATTGCTTTCTCATTTCCGAACTCGACGAGGAAATACTGCTTGTTCTTCGTAGATGCTGAGAAGACCTCGACGTACTTGTCGGAAATATCTTCCTGGCTATTGCCATGTTTGCCGAATGGGAATAACGATACTTGTTCTTGACCTCCAGCTGCAGCTTCGGGATTTTGAGAGCCTGTTTTGAGCAGATCTGATGTCCATGAGCCTGCCTGTCCGCTCACCCTACTTGAACGGAACTGGTGGAAGATAAATATGCAGGTAGTAACAAAGAACAAGGGCACAACCACCAGCAAAAGCCGTCGGGAGCTTTTGACCAACATTGTATGGGAGTGAAGGGGCGAGGGAAGTGGTAGTGGAATGTTGTTCAGAGAAGCGGGAGAAGCGTATATATACGGAGTAAGTATCTCTACTACGGTGGCTGCCGAGGATCGGTGGGGGGCAGATCCTCCTTCCACCACCTCAGACTGGCTGATTATGCCATTCATCATTTATTACCACGATTATCTGGGCTTACAGTATAGACTCCTGCCACTGCTGCATGAGTCGTGTCTCATATTCGTGATTTGGCTCTATGCAGCAGCACTCTTCCCCCCAGGGCCGTTTCACTCCCATTATATCTATTTTTGTTTCGTTACGATTACTATAGCGATGAATCTTTCCAACCTTCAATAGCTCCTTACAACTTTGTCAAAGGAGTCTGGGTTCTGCTGTACAGCCACTGCGAGAGCTTGACGCAAGGTTCATCAATCAAGGTCGTGGCCATTTCCGCAATCCAGAGTGTCAGCGGCAGGAGAACCAGTTGAGCCAACAAAAAGCTCAGCTCCAACCCAAAGGGTCCAGTCTTTGGCAGTGGCAATATGTTGATCCATGCAGGGCAGTTGATAGCATGAGATTCTTTTGTCCAGCCGACTGCCGCATATACCCTATCTCCTATCGACCAAAGGATAGGTCCATGGACTAGGTAGAATGCAAACGAGACACGACCAAGATATTGGCTGAATCTTGTTTCAAAGAAACCTCTCAACCAAGAAATGCGTTGTATCGACGAGACCAAAAATACTGATGCCCAGAACAAATAGAACCATTTGTAATCGAACACGGCTTGGGGCTTTATCTTTGATAGGTAGTACCACCCAGGCGAATTTCTCAACACATGGATGTCCGCGCTGTATGAGGGGCTGCCACCCAAATATAGGCTGACTAGGAATAAGAAGTAGAAGATCACCGTCTTATAGTTGCCTATCTTGGACAATGCACGCGGCAGGTTTTGAGCTTGCTCCAGTAGGTCCAGGTCACATAGAAACATTCCAGCCATGAAGAGGGCGCAGAACATGCCGTCCGCAATGTACATGAAGTAGAAGATAAGGCCGATCTCGCACCAGAGTCGGGTGTTTCTGGTACACCTGGAAAGAGCCTGTAGTGTTGTGTAGATGATAATGGAGCCTTTGAACTCGACTGGAATAGACCACGTATGAAAACTGTAACTGAACCATGGATGGCCACCTGTGTTGAAAATGAAGGTGAAGTTCTTGAATTCGCAATACCAGTTCCAGAGCTCTTCACGGTAGGTGGATTTTGGTTCTGGTTCTGCTCGATACTTAAAAAGATGCCAAGAGGTCATATACAAGAATGTCGTTGAGGCAATTGGAATAAACAGTCGTAGCCAGCGTCTGAACAAAGCGGACGCGAGGTTGTCTCCCAACCTCAGGTATTCCCCAGAGTGTATCATAGACAGTGGTTTGGCAGACAGGACATATCCAGACATCACAAAGAAGATGGTGACCGCAAAATGTCCTCCTGAGAAGAAGATGCGTATGAATGGTAGGCATGCAATGTAGCGTTGATTGTCATAACCATAGGCGTTTTCGAGGATCTTGTCTGCTGAGAGAGAATCATGCGCCCATAGCTCATGGTGGCCCCAGTAGACGAGCAACGCTGCAAAGCCTCTGAGTCCGTCAAGGTATGCTGTCCTTCTTGCAGTCTCCCTGCGCGGGGCGGTGCTGCAGAACGAAGGCTTGACCAGGTCTATGACCCATGTTTTGGTGCGGGTGAGGCGAGAAGGTTGTGATGAAGGGTTAAGGCTATCCCAGTAACCCTTCTCCAGAAGATTATCATTTGAAAGAGACATTGGTAGGCAAGAGAACACCAAATGATTGCGGATAGAGCAAGAATTTTCCTGCGGGGAGAAGAATAGATGTCATATAATGTCCAGGACAATGGTAGCGAGGTCCGGCAGCACCGTCATCGACCTCCTCGATATCATCTTGACCATGACATGATCAAATGTGCTCGGAAAGTGCATTCACTTTTCACATGCAACAGTTGAAAATTGTAGATCCCGAGGCAACAGGAGGCTTGCCTTGAAAGGTTCAAGGATGAAGTCCGTGAAAAGGCAGACTAAGCTTACTAGTCAACGAGTACCAACCATTCTGAATGTTACCTTGTGACTTTTGTGACTGAACCTCTCGGGCAGCAGTCCTGGGGTACTCCGTATAGATGGCGACTGTGGGAGCTCCACGTCCAGCCGGCTGCTTCCCTGCATCCATTCATTGGCTGAACCCACGAATTCGATAGACGCTGCCTCCGCACCCCAGTGAAGCTGTATACTTTTAGTTCATAGGATCAGTATACTTCCGTAGCTGCGGTCGACCCAGCTATCACCCTTGCATGGGGGGTGTGGGTGGAGTGAGACTAGCCTTGCATCGATCCCCGGAGCCTATTCGTCGAAGCTCAAGAGCAAGCAGTGGTATGATCCAATGGTGGGTGCAGCAAGAACAACGCTATGATCAATCGGGTAGATACCTCCGTTCAGGTACGAGGCATGAAAATGTTTTTTGTTGCTCATCACATTTCCGTATGGATATCCTAATGCTTCTGATGAAGCTTTGTCGTAGCATCTTCACGAGACTCGAGCTTGACGTCAGGAAGAATTTGGACCGCATGGTCTTTTCGTTCAGCTTTGGTAGTGATTCCCCACCTTCCATCCATGCGGTGTGATCTGCTCATACCGTAGTTGGAGGGCAGGCATTCTCTGAGAGCATTTGAGAAAGACTCAAAATGGTCCTGCCCACCCGTAGCTGCGTCAAGAGTGGCACGGACGTCTGTAGAAAACATCCTCGAGGACAATGCAATCCGCGACTACACCAGTACTTGGAGGCTGCTTGCCCAAGCAGATCCGCAGAGCATTGCCAGTATGTCTCGTACTGATACTTCTGTCTCTTGTCTTGATGACGGCTGGGTCATTGGGCGAGTTCAGTGCTGAAGTGACCTACCATGCATCAATGGCGAGCGGCAGATTCCCCAAAAAAATCTGGCAGACCTGGAAAGTCGATCCTCTGGACTTCGAAGAGAGGGACTTGACTACTGCTCGCACCTGGATCATGAAGAATCCAGACCACCGATACGAAGTCTTGACGGACCAAAACGACTTATACTATGTCGAAACATATTTCGGCCCTGCCGGCTTCAACCGACCTGACATTGTACACGCATACAAGTCGCTGACTGCGAGGATTGTCAAAGCAGATCTACTGCGGTATCTTGTCATGTACGCAGAAGGCGGTATCTATACAGACATCGACGTTGAAGCACTGAAGCCAATCGAACGCTTCATCCCAAGTCGATACAACGAGAAAGACGTTGACATGGTCATCGGCATTGAAATTGACCAGCCCGAATTCCGCGACCACAGCATTCTTGGTGGGAAATGCGAGTCGTTTTGCCAATGGACATTCATGTCAAAGCCTCGACTTCCAGTAATGATGAGACTCATCAACAACATTTTGAAATGGCTCAACGATGTCTCTGCAAGGCAAGGGGTTTCCATCTCAGAAATTCAACTCGACTTCGACGAGGTGATCAGTGGCACAGGGCCATCGGCGTTCACTCGAGCCATCATGGAGGAGATGGCCGCACGCACAGGCGAGGAAGTCCACTGGGATTGCTTCCACAATCTGGGAGAGTCTAAGCTGGTCGGTGGCATTCTCGTCTTGACCGTCGAGGCCTTCGCAGCCGGGCAGGGACATTCGGACTCTGGCAATCACAACGCTAAGACGGCGTTAGTGAAGCACCATTATCATGCCTCAGGTTGGCCGACCACCCATCCTCGCTACACGCATCCAGTATATGGCGAGGTGGAGAAGTGCAACTGGGACGCAAACTGCGTCAGAGAGTGGGACGAGAACAAGACAGCGTTCGACGCGTTGTCACCGGAAGAACAGGCAAGTCAAATTGCCATGAAGGAAGCCGCTGACGCAGCTGTAATGGCTACAGAGGCAGGCTTTCCCGCAGCGGGACAATTGACCATTCCATAGAAGGTAGATTGCATACATAGAGTCGGCGTCCAAGGCATTGGAATCCATAACGGGTCTGGTCGGTCTGCCGCTATCGATAGCGTTAGTATAATCATGGGAGCAGTCTTCGGTGACATTGGATCGAAACGTTGATTGCGCATGCAGTACTGTTAGCTTGCACTACCTATCGGATATGCTGTAAGTCGCCATAAACTGCCAGTATGCGAAGGTGGAAGAAGTGTAGTGATCGCTGCTACCCGCCTGCTGGGTAGAGGAATGGCGCCAGTCCTGTTGGTGATTATACTTTCCAAGGTATGGTTCTTTAAGATGGCTGCATACAGTACCTGCCTCTGGATCCCTGCATCCGTTCGGACTCGTCGATCAATGAAGAGTGCCTCGGCTTTTTCAATGAAGAAAAGCACATGAGAGGTCCCAAGTCGACCGGTCGTGAACCCTAGAAAGAAATGGAGAATCATCCGAGGGCGCTACAGTTGCGAGAACATCGCTCCAGCACTCTCATCGTGCGATGCTCGCGGATGTACCGGTCATCGATACGATGCTTGGTATGTGAGAAAACAATCTTGAGGCTGGTTCTCCGTGTAGGTGTATCCCATCTCAGAGTATTTTTGGCCTTGGTTTGCCACGAAGCGTTGCCACACAAAGTGTCATTGAAGTCAAAGGGTAGACTCGACCGGGGGATGCGAGAAGGTGGAAAGAGGGTCGGATCCTACAGTACAGTCGACTAGCGTCACTGCACGGTGGATGTATTCCCAAAAGGGTTGCATCTGTGGCGGGACAGCGAGGGTGTCACGATCGATCGCTATTCGAGCTGACATGGTGTTCGCATGAGATAAGTGGTCTGCAATTGAGAGTCAATACTGGAAAGCGATTGAACCGTGGGAGGCTCTAACATCGATCAAAAAATCCCGAGGTACTTTGTCTGCATAAGAAGCGACTATCCAAAGGCTTGTCGATCTTGCATTAGTTGTGGTATGGAGCTTGAGTGCTCCGCAGACCTTTGACTCGTACCCATCGGGTGTGTAACGGACCTGCACCGGACGACGTTTCCAAGTGGGCAGCGACAGGCCAAAGGGCGCAGGATAATGGACCCAGCGAGACCCTAATGGAGCACACGACACCCTCTTGGAGATGAGCTTGTGGTAAGGGAAATGAATGGATAAAGTGACATGCAGGAGGAGACGAGGCGAGACGAGAAGCTTGAGGTTGGAGAGTCACAGCGAAGACCCCGGATTGTCTGTGATCGACCAGGCTGCGTCGACGCTGATTGGATCCCACGGACGGACGAGGCTCCCAGTTCGGACTAGTCTGGCCTCGTCGACGTTTTTCCTGCGCCCGTCGATTTTCTAGTCTTGATGCCGAGGTGGTACTTGTCATTCTCTCTCGTCTCTTCCGAACCTCTCGCAACCCACAGTCGTATTCTGTGAGCAAACTTCGGTCCCCTAAATTGCCCAACACCACAGTTTTAGTGGCATGTGATGCATTTCCAAACCTCGGTCGGACAATTTTCTACGTCGTTGCATGTGATGAAAGTGCTGGCGTCTGTTCGCAAGACACACCGCAGTGGTCAAGGCCAGGCTGGTGGCTGTCGGAACACACACCTATCTGGTCGAAATACTGACACTCCATCTGATAGCTCAATGCTTCTTTTTTGCCCCCGTTTGAAATGTCCCTCTGGGCAAAGGAGGAGATTGACAATGACTACAGTCCCCAGATAAAGTGATCGTCTGGGGGATTACTTTCTCTCTCTCCGCAAGATTTCTTCGTTGGTATCTCTTGTTTTTCTTTTCGTTTGCCTGCCACCTTCGTTTCTCAGTTTTCTCTCACTTACCTCCCAGATTCTAACCTTACAGACAATATGGCGCCAGAAGAAGAGCCTCAGGAAAAGCCCGCGACGCTCGAAGAGGAAGGCAACGTCCCGGCGGATGGAAGAAAACGGGCAAAGGTCAAGCGCCATTGTGGTCGCTTTTGGTGGATTTATGCCATCGTCTTCGTTATCGTTGTTCTCGTCGTCGTGCTCCCGGTGTATGTATCAGAAAGCGAGCTTCTCTGCACTCCGAGACGTCCTAACCGCACTACAGGGTGTACGTCGCTTATCCGAACATGGCTCAGTCTGCGATCAACAAGTCGACACTGATGGTCACTTCACAGTCGCTACTCGACCCAGCACCGGACCACTTTCACTTGGACTTGGACAGCGTCTTCTTGTCGAATTCGAGCCTGCACGCAAAGCTGGATGCTTTTGAGGCCGACCTCTGCCTGGAGGACTCCGACATCCCCTTCGCCCAACTGTCCATACCTCCGATTGACGCGGCCAACGGGACCCATGAGTCAGTCAGCCAGGAGGTACAGATCAAGAACAAGGACCAGTTCTACGCCTATGCTCAAACGCAGCTCCTCAGTGAGGAGTACAACGTCTACCTGAAGGGCAAGGGCGGCCTGAAGTACGGCAAACTGCAGAAGACGACTGTCAAGTACAACGACAAGATCACTCTGAAAGGTCGGCTCTTTTCCCCCAGACCATTCCTTTGCCTTCCCTTGCTGACTGACGTGATTTCCAGGTCTCAATGGTCTCAAAGGTTTCAGCGTAACGGACTTTGAACTCATCATGGGGTCGCATCCCGCCAGCTACAATTCCAACGGCACCGTGCTGATCCCGAACCCGAGTGTGAGCACGTACGAGATGGGCAACATGACCATGGACATGTATGTCGGTAATGTGTCTATTGGCACCTCCACGCTGGATAACGTGGTATTGCGACCAGGGAACAACACCCTTCCCTTACTCGCGCTCACAAATCAAACGGCCGTCGGTCTGCTCCTCTTCACCAAATACAAGTCGGGGATTTTCCCCATCGACATTGTTTGTAGAAGTGTCATCTACAACGGACAGCACCTTCCCTATTACGAGCGTCCACTACAGGCAAAGAATCTTACCGTCCAACTAAACGTCATCGAAGTGTTGGAGAAAGCAGGACTAGCACAAGCTCTGGGAATCAACACCACTACCTCAGCGAGATGATCTGCCGAGAGCTTTACCAAGCATAATGCCCCACGAGGATAGCTAATGTTGGAGTTAATGAAAACTACTCTGCACCGTGCTTAATCAGTGAGAAGGGTGCGTGGCACCTGTTGAATCGGAACGTGAAGAAAAGTAAATGTTATCGGTCATTGGACAAACGTTGTCTCGACCAAACAATATTACTGCTCCACGTCGAAGCATTCATGCATATTAATTTGCCTATGTACAAATCCAAAAGGATGGTCTTCCTCGTTCCCTTTACTTCAGTGAAATTTCTTCATCATTTAGCCGTCATTAGATTCGAAGGGTTTAGTTTCCTGGTCCTTTCAAACCAAAGCAATTCGCATAGTACGTGACGGTTGAAGACCAATCGGCAAACATGCCCTTGATGCCAATCTCACGTCCCATGATGTCGAGGATCTCATACATCTGGCCATCGTAATGCACCACCGGCGCCACGGACGAGTAATAATAGTCCCCGTCTGCAGCGACGCGAGTCAGAGGGCCAGAACGCTCGAATGACCAAGCGATGATGTCGAGCCCGGCGTTCTTCGCCGTGATGGCATAGTCCGAGGGCACGATGGTGTCATTGTTCGGCCCTCCGACGGCCAGCAGGTAGTTGATCGGAGGAGAGATGATATTGACTCCGCTTGCCTTGAGGGCAGGGAGACGGTTAACGGCCGTTGTGAAGTTGCTGGGGTCGTCTCCATCCTCGTCAAGGAACACTGCTTGAGCGCCCCATTCGGGGAACTCGTTCAACCACAGATACACGTCGGCGGGAGTGAAGGATTGAGGGAACACGCGGGCTGGGTCGATGCCGTGGCTGATGAAGGTGTTGATCATGTCCCGAGCATATTGGGCTTGTGTGTACCCGTTGAATGGCATGGGAACTGCCTTGGGAGGGGTTTTCAACTCGGGCGTGAAATTGCGGTATCCCGGAAGAGAGTCCACGAGCTCGATATAACTGTCGAGCGTCATGACCTGTCCGCACGTATCGTACAGCTCGGTGCGGAAAAAGGGGACCCCGTGCTGATAATCCTCCGGCGTGGTCGCACTGGCATTGAAGCCGTCCATCTTTCCACAGAGAGACGTGAACTCGTCCATTGTGATATCAGCGGTGCAGCAAAGAGCCTTGGCCGGGTGGGTTGCGTTGGCCGGCGTGAATGGAGTGTGACACTTTTTGGCCAGCTCCGGTCTCAACAGGATATCGGTCGTAGTGTGCAAGTCACAGATGTCGTGTCTGCATACTAGCCCAAGGTCCGACGTGAAGGAGACGTCGCATTCTAGAATTCCCGCCCCCATACGAGCGCCAGCCATGGTAGATTGCACGGTTTCCTCGGGGATTTGAAGTGTGCCACCGCCACGACTGCCAGACTGTCAGTTAGGCGTACTGCGGCCAACAACGCACGCGAGAGCTGTTGCTCGAGGCGTGAGACCTTGGCAGCAAGTACTTACTGGCCGATGCTCCACGCGGTCACGCCGAAAGGCCCATTCTCGCAAGATTCCAGCTGATCCTTGAGGGGAGATTCGGTCATGTTCTGGATGAGATAATAAGGGCGAGGACCGAAGGAGATATAGTACTCGTCCGCAGGGTTGTAGGCGAGTTTGGGAGTGTGCACCGGCCATGCGACGACAAGCTCCGCCATCAAGGCCAAGACGGCCAAAGCACTGGTTGTCGTGCGCATCTTGGGGAAATGTTCCTCTCAACTGCGCTACCTACCGCTGTGGCTGAAGAAGAAGAAGAAAAGCTTAGACTTACCCAGAAGGCGATGCTACATTTTTGTACCCCGAGCTTCGAACTACAGCTTCAGTCTCGGGTGACGACAAGAGCTTGCAGCTTGAGGATCCAACAGCAGAACCCTTACCTGATTCTGCCACCACGTGGAGCGAAAGCTGGGACGCAACGGTATGGATTGGACGATCAAGAAGCTGGACAGCTTAAATCCCACCTGGCGAGAGTCTTGTAAGAACTAGAGATACAGATCCCGTCCGGAGCCCTGCTGGTGTCGTAGGAGGCAGTCTGAGCTTTCGTATCGGACAAATAAAATCGAAGGATAGGCAACGTGAGCTCAATGTACCTGCAAGCTTGCGGATGAAGAGCTGCGGTTCATGGTAGGATTTGCACAGGTTGAGTTGGTACCTAGAAGCTTTTGTTCCCGGCAAGGCCGGCATGCCTGGGAGGAGGTTGCATTAGGCGGGTCCCGGACCCAATAACATTGATACAGGCTGCCTGGCCAAGCCTCCGGGCACCCATGGCTCTCTATAGCTTCTTGGCAGCAGGCCAAGCTCTGCACCTGATGACGCCGACGAGTGTTGGGAATAGCAATTGTGCCTGTGGGGGCAATGCATAGCGGCTCCTCACCCAAGACATGTTTCTTTGAATGGGCGGAAGTCGACTAGATTACACACATCCAATCGAATACCATGAACAAAGCATGTTCCTGATTGCGCGCATCTAGATTCCAAAGCCGATGCACTACGAGTACATCCCACGAGCATGCAGATTCTCGCTTCCAAGGTCTTGGGAAACAGACTTGGGCTGATCAGTAGAGGTCATTGTGTTCTCAGGCGTAGGAGAGCCTCCGTGTTGGCAGATGAGCACAGCATCCATTGCTTCCTCTCATAGAGATCACCAGCAGGCGAAGCTGTCAAGATCTTGAACGAAGTAATCGGACTGGAATTCAAACAATACTCTTCAGCGCAAAGGGACTGCACATCATGAGACCGTTAGTCGAATCGCTTGGAGTGAGTTTATATGATATGATCATGATCTGAAGAGAAAAGTATGTCTCAATTGAGAGACTAAATTGTAGGCTTCCTGCGTCTGCGACGTGACTTCGATTATTTCAAGCCTTGCCTGCGGTTCATCACGAAGTGAATCGCATTAAAGCAGAAAGTGTCGTATCAGCGTGTATATATATATATATATATACCAACTGTGCTCTAACACTTACCATTTTCGTTCAGGAAAAGGAGTGAGGCCGCTGTGATCGGGCGCAACCCAGCTCGGAAGTCCTGAAGCGTACCTACATATATGGTTCACTGAGCAGCGCAAGCATCTAATGTAGAGATCGCTCAACTTTCCCCCCTACCCCCCATGTTCCCTGTTTTTTGGTATATCACATCCCCAGCGGAGCCATCCACCGGGCACTGGGATAATTGGTGTCTCACCGGCCAGGTAAATCGTGTCCTACGATTGTTTTCTTGGCGACTGAGCGGTGAGCCTGGTCTCCGCCAGCAAGAGAAGGATGGCCAGGGTGGCAGGCGGGGAAGTGTACCGATGAAGCGGCATTACACATGTTGCCTCAAAGCTTGAATTGGTAGTGTTGGTGCTTAAAGCCTAGATGATTGGCAAGGAAAGAAGGGCTGGCTGGTCGAGGCACCCTGTCAAAATCTGAATCACTTGCTAGCCGTCTGTACTCGGTTACTTTGCTCAAAGTTCCAACAAAAGTTCCTATATTTTCGTGCTCCAGGCACAACCTCAGACTTCTTGACAATTATCTGTTGCTGTTCAGCCACCCGTCACCTTAGTAGCTGCAGGAACTTCGGCGACACGCCTGCGCCCCCTAGGTTTTGAAATGAGCTTGATACTGCGCCTTCGGCAGAGTCTTTGGCTGCTGCTCCAACCTATCGACAAAGAATGTCATATCGCGCCCCGTTACCTATGTACACCGCAATTTAGACCTCGTTGAATACCGACTTCGTCTGAGAGGATCCTTGTTTCAAAAATGCTTCCTCGCCCCTCAGAATTCGCTTTGTGTTTGCCGTATCTGAAGGGGAGGCGACGAATGTTTATTCCCAATGACTGAGAACTCCCCTTTCACAGCAACGCTCTAGTGCCGAACATCATGGACTCAGAAACAAACGCGAGACTTCTGATAGAATCCATCCGGGACGAGTATGGGCTGGACAATTCAAATCCAACCCATGTGGCCCAACTGCGCACATTGATTGAGATGTAAGCGGCAAATACCTTGTCGTATGGTATGTCATTATTGATATGGACTTGAAGGATTTCGAGCCAGCTCTACGACAATGCAGTTCACTTCTTATTGGAACTGCTTCAGAATGCCGACGATAATGTATATTACGACGCGGAGCCACGAGTCAAATTCACCTATACACCTGGTTATTTACGCTTCGATTGCAACGAGGCCGGATTCGATGCGGCCAATATCAGAGCCATCTGTGCGGTCGGCGCCAGCACCAAATCAGGTCAAAACAAATCAAGTGACGTTATCGGCGAGAAGGGCATTGGGTTTAAAAGTGTCTTCAAGGTGGCCGACGTGGTATGGGTTGCATCAGGTCCCTACAGATTCAAATTCGACACAAGCCAGAAGCTTGGCATGGTTGCTCCAACATGGGCTGATTTCCCTGTCGAACCTCCTCCCACACATACATCCTTCTATCTCCAGCTCTCGAAAGACTTCAATCAAGACGAACTTTTCCAAGACCTAAAGACATTTGACCCGGCACGCTTGCTGTTCCTTCGCCGCATCAAGGTCATTGAGCTAAGTATCTAACAGCCAGATGGGCAATCATGGGCGGCAAAGCTCCTTCGAACGGTCTCGACCGATCAAGAAAAGCATATTACCAGGATCGAACAAGGCCCCGTGCAATTATCATACTATGTTGTTAAGCACAGGGTCGAAGCTCTTCCCCTGGAAGACAAGAGGCCAGGATTATCCACGACAGAGCTCCAACTTGCGTTTCCAATGTTGGATTCTTCGAGAGAGGCGACGCCGGGCATGAAGTCGAGGAAAGTATACGCGTATCTGCCAATTGGAGAATACGGGCTACAGGTATTGCCATTTTTCATCTTCGAAGTCAGAAACTGATTGACTCGTTAGTTCATCCTACAGGGTGACTTCCTGCTCTCAGCAAGTCGCCTCCAAATCGATACTTCCTCACCATGGAACCAGACTCTTCGAGCTGCTTTGGGTGACGCGTTCCTCAATGTCGTACGGGAATTCAACAAAGGAGATGAAAGGTATCTTTGGCCCGGGTATCTACCAGACGAGAGAACAGCCCCTTTTTTCATACCTGCCCAACAACGAATACGGCAAACATTGATGTCGAAACCCGTCGTGGAATCCTTCGATCAGTCGATGCATTGTCCCAGTGAACTCGCTCGGGTACCACTAAAATTCATTGGCAAGGATGGTCTTCCGTTCAGCTTGAACCAGCAAACCGCAGGCCGATATTTATCTCAGAGGTACTCCGAGTGGGCGATAGATGCTCTTCACACCATTGGCGTCTCGACTCTGTCAGATGAGCAGTTTCTGAGCGATCTGGGTGAGATGGTAATTACGGCCCCAGCATTATTCCGCAGTCGCCAAGACGATTGGCATGCTGGGCTTGCAACTACATTGGTCCCACTTACTGTCACCAAGAAGTACAGGAGTATTCTACGAAATATGTCCTTGGTCCCTCTCACAGATGGTTCTTGGGTTGCGGCAAAAACTGGTCCAGTTTTCTTCATTGGCGATCTTCAGCACGAGGATTTTCCCCTTGGGGATGCGATTTCCATTGTCCATCCTCAAGTTGCAGCAAATGGGAACAGGCACAACCTCTTAAGCAGCCTTGGCATCAAGCCCATTGAAAGGTCTCAGCTGTGCAGTTGCATTTGTGAAGCTCATTGCGCACCGAGCTTCCACTCCGAAGAGTGGACGACTACCCAGTTGGTCGCGCAGGTCAACTTCCTTTTCCAGTCTGCCCATAGACTGCCTGAAGATACAGACCTATGGTTCGCCACGATAGACAACAAACGACGTAAAGGATCTCAGCTATACTTTCAAGGCCACTACGGAAAAGATTCACCCGCCGCTCGGATATTTTGCCAACTGAAGGAGAAGTTCCCCACATTGCATCCTAGCTATACAGCCTCTGGATGCTATGGCAAGCCATGGCACTCCTTTCTCACCGATAGCCTTCATCTCTCAGATATTCCACGCCTTGTCTGTAAGCCCAACCCGGGCTCCCAGTCCTACAGGCTTTCGGACGAGTTTCGGTATATTTTCCAGACATGCCGACACTCCGATGTCCTAGGGCTTCTGAACGAGTACTGGCATACGTATTCAGCATGGCTTGAGCAGGATTCTGGCGAGTCGAGTGGCGCTGCAGCAGCGCTCTTGAAAGATATCTCAGACGTTATTGTGCAAACTACTGCAGGTCCTACTAGGCTACGGGACTCTGTACTTCCGGAGCTCGACCGGCGTCTGCAGAGAGATCGTATTCCTAGCCTCGAGATTGAAAAGACGATGAATGACTTGCAAAAGCAGCGGTTGAGCCGTTTCGGAATTGCGGTGTCCGCCAATGCTCGGTACTATCTCTCCTGTCTAAAATCTATGAGCGATCAAAACCGTCCAGATCTTGACACACTTTCCTACATTTACGAGCAAATACAAGATCGCTATGACAGTGACGAGGATCTTGTCAGGTAAGGTACATGGCCTTTTAGCTCACATATCCACTAACAATTTCAGCACTGCTTTCCAAACTCAGAACTTCATCTACGTATCGTGTAAAAGTCGTAAGTCCGACCAAATCATCAGCTGGCTCAGCATCACGGAATGTCAGAAACGCAATATCGATTTAGCTACTGAATATCCTCGGAGCCAGCAACTTTTCAAGTTTCTTTCGGTGGATGGGACGGACGAAATCGAACGCCTAATCTCGAGAGCGACGAATATTGACCACACTCACGATCTAGAACTTATTGCTCAGATCTTTGTCGAGATCAACAACGCACTTGCAGACCTGACTCAGAAGAGAATTGCGTCTTTGATGAAAAAATTCCAAAACCGCCCGGTGTTCCCCATCATCAAGGGCGCTAGGGAAGAGTCATATGACGAGTTGAAACCTCTGGAGGCCGTAGATTGGGTAATTGCCGATCGTCCATTTCTGAGGGACAGTTTTGCAGGCGAGATGCCCCTCTTGGCTTTTTCACCGAAGCGGATACATTCGCTGGAAAGATTTCTCGCGGCTTTGAAGCTGGACTCCAGAAAGCTCTCACGTCTGACGAAAGGGAACGCGACTCCCCAGGGCCGCCTCAAGTTATCTGAAACTCACACTAAGTTCTTGCGTTCGCGGGCGAGCTTCCTCTGCGAGTCCGTCCCGTATTGTGTATCCCGGGGCAGGCATTCATACTAACAGAGTTGCGCAGGCTGCTTCCAGAGTCAACAAAAGACCCTTCGAAATCGATCCGAGAGATCAGAGATCTCTGTATCTATCAAGTCACTGAAATCAAACAAGTCTGCACCGCCAGGTATCGTAATGCGGATCACGAGGGCCGCCCATCTAAGGGCGAAATTGCTTTAGCAACACGGAACAACCGCATGCAGCTGTACCTCACACGGGAAGCTTTGGCCTTCAAAACGCTTCCTTTAGAAACCGCAAAATACATCGCGAGCCATTTTAGTATGAATGAGTCTTTTCATCTGAGCCTTTTACAGGCTGTCATAAGTGAAATAGACGTCCGAAGACTCCAAAATAACTTCGAACAGGAAGGTTTTTTCGTCGAAGTTGACGCTGAAGGTATGCTAATTAATGCCCAATCTACTGGCATATAACAGCTGACCTTGTCCGAAGCCGCACTGCCTTCCCCGAACGAGGGCAAATTGAGCAATCAAGACAAAGACAACTATCAGAGCTTGTCTGGCGATGTCTTCAGCATCCCGTCGCCTTTCGACTTCCCCAAAGAAGATATCGACAACAAAGAATCGTTTGCGCGGTTCGGCACCAAAAGCAAGCGTGGTGCGAGGAGTACTCGAGGTAAGAAGGAGAAGGAAGCGAGCAGAACAGACAAACGGATCCCGAAAGTGACGTTCACACGGATCGACGCGCAAGACTCGGTTCTGAAGCACAGCACCGTCTCTACAGATGAGCAACCTCCACATCGCGATCTCCAATACCTAGGCGAATGCATGGTAAGTAGAGATATATTTATCCGAATGCGTCACTTCGCTGATCGAATTCAATCATAGGTCTCTAGGCTTTTACAAGTGGCGCTTGGGCAGATATACAACCCGACTTCTCGCTGGACCAGCCCGCTAAAAGCACGATCAGGGCTACAATGCCGCGGAAGATACGCAGGATCCTCTTCATTCACTTTCCGAGACCGAGACGGGTCCAGGGCCATGACGAATTTTCTATGCGCGAATGGCCACCCGGATGCGGCGCGGTGGAAGCACATGCATCCGAACTACCACCTCGAGATCATGGTTTCTACGGGACACGCAAATGGTCTCTTCCCATGGAGCTCAGAAAAGCTCGAGATGGTACGCATCAACAGTAGATAATTGCATCAGCCCAATCTTTGCGCTGCCGTGAGGCTGACATATTTTTGTAGGCTAAGCAATTCCATCTACCGGAGCGGTCTGGTCCGCATCGGAGCATCAAGGATGTGCTCGTTCTCATTCAAATCAGCAATGTCTACGCTGAACCACAGTTTCATCTCATCGTTGACCCTTGGCAACTTGTCAAATCAGGGCAATTTGATTTCAAAGGTGACCATGCACTCGAGGCCTCCATCCCCGCCCGAGCGGTCCGGCCGATGCATAATGCTGCTGGGCCACGCCCTGCAGGCCATTGGAGGGATGCCGATCCAACAAACGGTGGTCACCGAACTCGAGCATTTGAACCGAGAGTTTGGGGGAACCATCAATCTACTGCCCAAAAAGGCGTATCGCCTCGCTGGGCCACCGTTGATTGGAGAACTGGCAATGCCAGACAGTCGTCCGTCGAACTATCTCCTCAACTGGAAAAGACACCATCTGAGACTCAAAGTGGGACTGCTAACATGCCTGCAACGGGCATGACAAATGGTCAGCAACTATCCCCATCACAGTCTTGGGATACACGGTTTTCAAATCCGCCTACCTCTACACAGACACCAACGAACCAAGCTTCCACACCGGTAATACCGCTTGATCGGGCCGACGCCAAGGCAGCAGTCAGAGCACCACCTAGCCAAGGGTACCACCGCGGACCCCATGGCGAAGTGCCGGCTATTTCAGCACTCAATTTACCTGCCGAGTCCTCTACACCACAGTATAAGTACCACAAACTTCCCAAGGAACACGTGCGTTTATTCATGCTCTTTCCAGGAAAGCATAGCGCTCCACTCAAGGGGTGCATCTACAGTGTGCCATTCGATGATGCAGGCATATACCGGACGTTGTCGTATGTGTGGGGTGACAAAGAACAACAGATGCACACCTTGGTGACGCCAGAAGGCTCGATCCAGATTACCGAAGCGTTGAAGATTGCGTTGGAGAAACTGCGCCTGCGCAAGCAAATGGCCATTCTCTGGATCGACGCTCTCTGTATCAACCAAGCCGACCCGGAGGAGAAGGCGCAACAGATCTTTCTCCTGCCCGAAATCTTCCAGAATGCGGCTTGCACGTTGGCTTTCGTCGGTGCCGATGGCGACGGCGACGCCGCCATCGAGATGCTGCTGCAAGTACGCGCGAAGGATGTGGTCAAACGCAATCCCGACGCAGGGTGGCCCGAGGGCATTCCCGTGGTCGACGACTCGTGGGAAACCCGCCGAACGCCACCCCTCGATGCAGCGATCTGGGTAGATGTCAGAGCGTTGTTCAGCAGGCCCTGGATTCGACGCGCCTGGATCGTGCAGGAAATGGTGATCGCGCCTACGGTCAAGGTGATCTGCGGGAAATGGATGATCGAATGGCACGATCTGTTTGCCGCCATGGAGATCGTGGAGCAGGAGCACGAAGCTTTGAGTATCAATCTGCGCCCGTGGACATCTTTTCTCGCGTTGGGGATGCATCGGGAGTGGGAAGCAAGGGGTCAGCGGTGGCCGTTGAGCCTTCTGCTCGAAACCTACCGCCAGGTCGCTTCAACGCTCACGCGGGATCGATTTTTCGCCCTGCTCGGCCTGGCCGTGGACGGGGACCGCGACGAGTTCCACCCCAACTACAAGGCCAAGTTTGAATCGGTGGCCCTCAGAGTCGCCGAAGGTATCTTGGCTCAGGGGCAAGGTATCAAGCTGCTCTATCGGGCAGGGCTCACCGCTCAGTCCGATCGGTTCCCATCGTGGCTGCCCGACTGGACGGTCTCGCGGCCCGGCAGTCTTGCCGATTCCTTAGACCGAGGCCTCGAGTTCGACGCCTGCGCAGGCATCGAGGGGACGATCATTCACGTTCAGGGTGCGGACGAGATCACGGTTCTGGGCCGCGTCGTGGATGAGATCGCGGAAACCACCGCCTCGGCAAACGAGCCCCAATTCCGCAAGTTGTACTTCGGCGAGATCGACAAGATGGTCGAGTCCCTCCGTAAAAGAGTCGCCAAAGGCGAGTTTGGCGAATGGAGCTGGAAGACGCCGGTCGCAGGGGCCGAAACCCCCAGCCATGACAGCAGCGTGGACAGAGACACTGGCCTTCGCGATTCCTACAAGGCTTTCCGACAGCTGCTCAAGAAACCGAAACCAGGTTCGGCCGAGGAGAGCTCGGCCTACGTATCGTTACTGGATGACAAAGTCCTTGGGTGGCGCTTCGCACTAACGAAAGAGAACCGCTGCGCGACGATCCCGCATCAAGGTCGGCAGGGCGATAGAGTGTGCATCCTGCGAAACGGTGCAGTCCCCTTTTTGATCAGGAGAGCTGGAGAAGCGGGCTGCTACAATCTGGTAGGAGAATGCTATGTGACGGGGATAATGCAGGGTGAGCTTCGTGACTCGTTCGGTGGACTTCGCGATCCCATTCGGATACGGTAGGGTTCTGCCAGCACGATGAGTTGAGGATTGTACAACTATCAGGCAGCTTCTTTACTTTCATAATAGAACGTTGTCAACCTAATTGCCATTTGCGCGAAACGCAACTCTTCCACCCGTGACGCTCCTCCCGTAGTCGGCCGGGTATCCGTCACGTGCCCCAGTAAAGTGGCCTCGCTCCCTTTCCTGAATAAAAATGGAAAGGGATAAAGCACAGTTCAGGGTATATATAATGCATATATATATATATCCAGAAGTGTCGCAGCAGAGACATTGCATTGCTGATCCGAACATTGCTTAGACCTTCAAAGCATGTATTTTCGGCCTGAAGGCTTCTCGGGATAGTCCTCAGAGGGATGGGCTGAAGAGATTTGAGTCTGTTCCAAGTCTCTAACTGAAAGAAGCCTTAGCAAACACATCCATTGATTCCATTTGTACTGTAATGCGTGACCAAGAATTGTTTTGATAATGTTGCGCACTTTGTCGGTAGATGATGCACTGAATGCTCAGCCCTAGCAATTCTCTACGGTGGACCATTTGCATTCCCCGGCTGGAAAGTGTCTTCTCCACGGACGGCTATCGACGGTATCCTCGGCTTAGACGCGGCCGTGTCGAGTGCGTGAGGTCAGTCTCTCTCAAGTACAACAGCTTCCTGTCCCCTATTGTGATCAGGTCTGCCTCCCACAAAACCGACTTGTGCGTGGATGCCGTTCTCACGAGAACTCCAACAATGCCTCCCAAGTATACGCCGACGGCTACCCTTCTGCGCAGTTTAAGCCATGCCCTTCGAGAACAACACCCCCTCCCTTCACGATCTGCTCCGAGTGTGCGAACACGACCCGCAGCGACCTTTACACACGCTCGTCATGCCCAAGCCATCTCAATCTTGCCCACGGTTGTGGACAAGACCAGCCAGGAATACAAGGAAAACTCAAGCCAGCTGGCCAGTATAATGACCAAATATGCGGATTTGCACCAAAAGGTCTCGCAGGGCGGACCACAAAAGGCCCGGGATAAGCACATTCAGCGCGGCAAGATGTTGGCACGAGATCGAGTCACGGCCCTCATCGACCCGGGCACTTCCTTTCTCGAACTCTCCCCGTTGGCGGCACACGAAGTCTACGAAGACCAGATCCCCGCGGCGGGCATGGTCGCCGGGATCGGCACGGTCGAAGGGGTCACATGTATGATCGTTGCCAACGACGCCACAGTCAAAGGCGGTACCTACTACCCCCTGACGGTGAAGAAACACCTGCGAGCCCAGGAGATTGCTCAACAGAACCGCCTGCCCTGCATCTACCTCGTCGACTCCGGGGGCGCCAACCTGCCCAATCAAGCCAACGTCTTCCCCGACCGCGACCATTTCGGCCGCATCTTCTTCAACCAGGCCCGCATGAGCGGCATGGGCATCCCCCAGATCGCCGTCGTCATGGGCCCTTGCACCGCGGGCGGCGCGTACGTCCCCGCCATGTGCGACGAGTCCATCATCGTCCAGAACCAAGGCACCATCTTCCTCGCCGGCCCGCCTCTCGTCAAGGCCGCCACCGGCGAGGTGGTGTCCGCCGAAGACCTCGGCGGCGGCCAGCTGCACAGCAGCGTCTCGGGGGTGACGGACTACCTCGCCGTCGACGACGCCCACGCCATCGTCCTGGCCCGACGCTCCGTCGCGAACCTAAACTACCCCAGAGAACGGCCGGCCCCCGCCGAGGTTCGAGAGCCCCTCTACGACCCCGAGGAATTGCCCGGCATCGTGGGCACCAACCTGAGGAAGCAGATCCCCATGCACGAGATCATCGCGCGCATCGTCGACGGCAGCGAGTTCGCCGAGTTCAAAAAGGACTACGGCTCCACCCTGGTCACGGGCTTCGCGCGCATCCACGGCTACCGCGTCGGGATCGTGGCGAACAACGGCATCCTGTTTTCCGAGTCGTCGCTCAAGGGCGCCCACTTCATCGAGCTGTGCTGCCAGCGCGACGTCCCCCTGGTGTTCCTGCAAAACATCTCGGGCTTCATGGTCGGCGCCGACGCCGAGAAGGGCGGCATCGCCAAGAACGGGGCGAAGCTCGTCACCGCCGTCGCGTGCGCGGAGGTGCCCAAGTTCACCGTCGTCGTCGGCTCGAGCGCCGGGGCCGGCAACTACGGCATGTGCGGGCGCGCCTACGGCCCCCGGTTCCTGTGGATGTGGCCCAACGCGAAGATCGGCGTCATGGGCCCCGACCAGCTCACGGCCGTCATGGAGACCGTGGGCAAGTCGGTCGACCCGGAACTGCGCGACCGCATCGAGCGCGAGAGTGACGCCACCTTCTCGTCCGCCCGGCTGTGGGACGACGGCGTCATCCCGCCCGCGCAGACCAGGAACGTGCTCGGCATGGGCTTGAAGGCTGCACTGGGCGGAAGGTCCGAGAAGGTCGGCACAAAGTTTGGCGTTTTCAGAATGTAGACGGGCAGACGGAACGTTAAACATGTGTGTGTGTGTACGTGTGAATTTGATACTCTCGTGTTTCGAAGTAGACAGTATCAACAGGATCTTTCGCCTTTTTTCTACCTTGGTGAAATGGATACAAAAACGTCGACGCGAGTCGCAAGAGGTCTAAAAATCTGTCCACTTTTTTGTATCGTACCCCGTTATCCCGTACTTTGCAGTCTCTTTTTTTTCCCTTTCTATAAAAGCCTCGAAATGAAAACGCCTCCCCGGGCCATTGGTAGTACTCTTCCTCACTTGGGTGTCTTGCTTTTCCGGCCAACCCGAAGAAGAAGATGCGGTCGAAGGAAGCTGTTGACGATCCCCAGCCTTCTTCCCGTCACACCTTTTATTTACAGAATGACGCATCGGTCCCGATTGCGAGTCCTCTTGCCCTTTCGGTCGTGTCGGTTGGGCCTCTCTCGTCGACGGGCGTCCAGTTGTTGTTCGTACTGTTGGCCGCGATCCGTGTCCCGCTGGATGATCTGGGAGCAGAGGTTGTGGAAGACGGCCTCGACGTTGGTCTTTCTCCGCGCCGACGTCTCGTAGTACGGCTTTTGACCCCACGACTGGGCGAGCTGGAAGGCCCGGGCACGCGGGACGACGCGCTCATCCTCCATGTCGGACTTGTTGCCAACCACGACCAAGGGAACGTCTTCGTCGTCCTTGATGCGGATGATTTGCTCGCGAAGTTCGGCCAACTCGTAAAAGGAATTCATGTTGCAGATCGAAAAGACCAACAAGAAACCTTGGCCTTGTTTCATGTAGAGTTCCCTCATGGCCGTGAATTGCTCGGTTCCGGCAGTGTCGAGGCTAGAAAAACGGACGGTTGGTCAGTAAGACAGAAACCCTTGAGAACGGTGGGAAGGGAAAAAAAGGCAGGGCAGAAGGTTACATTTCTAGGATGATTTGTCGTCCATCCACATTAACTTGCTTGCGATACGAGTCTTCTATGGTCGGATCATAACTCTCGATCCAAACATCTTGGACAAACTGAGCGGTTAGACAACTCTTGCCGACGCCGCCTAGGGAAAACAGAAAGTCAGCCCCGTACTGAAAAGAAAGTCGTTTCTAGCAGAGCGTCGACTTACCTGCACCAAGCACGACAATGTGATATTCTCGTCTGTTGGCAATAAACAGGTGGTTATGTTAGTGGGAGGTCTCGCGAATCGCACAATGCGGCTGGGGACAGCAACGCTTCTAGGGCTTACCTAGGTTGTAAACTCATGCTTCCGTCTCTCTACTCGCCAAAATACAGCCTCTGTGCTTGCTCCCAGCGACCTTTCCTCTCGATGAATTGGAAGATTAGACAGTTGGTCGCACTCGTGCCTACATCTCAGACACAGACTGCTCCTTTCTTGGTTCTTTGCAGTCAATTTCACTAGGGGGGAGGAGAATCCAGACGACAGTTTCCTTTTTATGAAGTTTCGCGGCCTCGAGCGAATATATCGTCGTGGTGTGAGCGAAGGGTCGAGAGAACTCTCAATGCCGGGAAGTTTTGAGTTTGTTTGGTGTGAACTTGTCGAGCGGGAAGCGGTTCGCTACGAAGTCTAGTACGGGCTCGGTCGAGAGGTGTGTCGCCTCTTTATACCAAAGGGGCCAGCGCGCGTTGATGGCCTCAAGAGTGAAAAAAGGACCCGTCAGATGGCGGGTGACAGCGGTTTGCGGATGGTGACAGGTGTTTTGACTGGTTTGGCCGCAAATGCCTGGCTGAAGCACTGGCGAGCCAATTGTGCCGAAGAAGCTCTTCAGTGTCTTGGGAATAACGCTGTGCTCGCCTTTCGGTGGATCCAGCAGTCAGCAAAGACGTGGATGTGATAGCTGCGACGAAGAGGCGAGAGTGATATTTCTTTCTGGTGGCAAGCAAGTCGTTGGATGAGCTGTTGTCTTTTGCGACAATCTGTTCGTGCCAAGTGGCGGAACTGGGCCTTTAGGTACCTCTGAGGATTTGAAATGGACCTGGGCAGAAATCCATATTTGTATCGCAATAAGCGACCTTTGTCTTTCAGCAGATGCACGAACTGCGTAGCCGATGGATGTGGTTGGCGGGAGAGATCAACGACAAGCGAGCTTTCTTCTTTTCAAAGGGTACTGAAGTACGGAGTACGGAGTACTGAGTGAGGAAATGGACTTTTTTTTATTTCCTAGTGCAGGGATCTTTTTTTCCTTTCCCCCTGCTGCTCCTTATCGGCGTACCACGGTGCTGGGAAGGGATATTTTAGGGCTAGTAGTCTAAGTTACCCTAGGTAGTTCGTAGTTGGGCTTGGAGGAAGAGTTGTACTGTGCAGTAGCCTGGGTTAAGTCAATCAAGGCCTGCAAGGTGGGTGGGTAGAGACAAAGTCGACAACCTACAACAGCATCATCGTCATCATCATCGAGCGACGATCTCAGTGGCGCCTCATTAAGGTGACCATTACGGAGAACAAAGGACTCCGTCGTCCCTTAGGTACCTAGCAGGAATCCATAGCGATGGCCTACAGCCTACTGGTAGTGCCTGGAATTGGGCCCCCGAATTGTTCCTGCAGCCACGTCCATTTCAAGAGTGTTTGGGTCATGACGGACTCAATTGCCCGATGCCGGGGATGTGGAAGCGTCCCATGTTCCATGCTACGGGCAACTTTAGTGGCTTCATTTGCCGGATCTTTCAAGCCCCTAAGGAACTAATGAAGGTGCCTGAAGTCACTAAGGATGATGGTCTACAGGAGTTTTGTAGCTTAGCTTGGACTGGTGCAGGCTCGGGTACGAATACTCCGTACATATGCTCATGAAACTCCCCTATCTAGGTACTGTAGCATTGTTGCTCCTTCGGAGTACTGAGGACCGAGTACAGTACGCTGAGAGACGAAGGATTGTGGTTCATCAAGGTACCTACGGAGTACAAGAACGGATATATGGAACAAGTTTCTGTTGATTCTGGGAATGATATCTCACCAGTCCGCTACTCTGTTGGACTTCATCTTCCGATCCTCGTTCTGGCGTGATCTCAGCAGGAGCTGCCTTACCTACTCCGTACTTGTCGGCCTAAAATGCTGGCCCGATATCCGTATAGAGATAGACTTTTCCTGCCCAACTCACGTCATATTGAATTGACACATCTTCGTAGGAGTCTTGAGGTAACACAGGTAAACAACGTACGTCTGCCCAACTCGGTTGTTTGTGCTCGCACGACAGATGCCAATAACCGTAGCTTGGGCCAAGATCAAACCTTTTCGCTCACGTCAGTCGGGAGGTGGTCATCGAAAGATCCTCCGACACAAGGAGCAGCCATTATTGTACTCCGCTTCGAAAGACGAATAACTGCTACGAGTACATACTCGTATGTGTGGTTTAGTCGATCCATGATGACGCAGGGGGCTGAGGTTCCTGAGCTTCGAGATCGGCAGGGACACCCTCCCTTAGCTTGGCCCGCCAGGGTCCGTCTCCCTGGATTCCCCATGCCAGAACGTGCGTAGACAGGACGAAAAACGTGATTGTTATTATTGAGGGTGTGGTGTCCTGTGGTGTTGATTGGCCTCCAAGAACTTCTCTGGTGATGCAATATTCCCTGCGAAAGAATCCAGGAGAACATTCACCAGTTCGCTGGTGGTGAAAAGTCGTGCCCAAGTCGATCGCTACGCCACACGCTCGGTTGCTTGTGCGTGTACTCGCAAAGAGTATGCCGTACGGAGCATTACCTCAGGTAGTCTTGAAGAAATGATGGTTCAATCCGAGTTCCACTCCTGCCCGTAATAGGAGCTGTGAATCCCATGGGCAGAGTCTTACCCGGATGGAGGAATGTTGAAGATAATGAACCAATATGGCATGAAACCCCGAAAGCGACGAACTGTCGTAACGTGTTTAGGAATGAAAAACCCTCCCAATTTGTACTTCGATCTGCTCGTGCTCACTCGTTTTTCTATCCAGCGATCTGTTGATATTGATCGTACTAGTCGCCTACTATGGCTTCTATATTTATCTGGCAGCTTTCAAGGTTCACCCATGTTGTCACTCGATTCCCCTTCAAACTCGACTAGCTCAACGCCGCTACCGACGACCTCGCCCTCTCCGTGAACGACCCGTTTCACAGTCATATCGGAAGCCGGGCTCCGGATAACTGTTTCCATCTTCATACTCTCGATGACTAGGAGTGGTTGGTCCTTGGTCACTACATCTCCCGCTCTGACCATCACTCTTAGAATTTTGGCAGGCATAGGAGCAAGCAGTGAGTTTGCCTTTTCCGTCACACCGAGGGCTTTAGCAAGCCACGATGGTTGAGATGGTGCCAGACGGAAAGAGCCGTCAGGTGTGAAAAGGTGAATTGCTCCTGCAGAAGCAGTATTCGACGGGCCGAATACTACGCGCGATGTGTGACGTGTATGAGGAAAATATGTTGTCAAAGTATTCGTAGAGGCGTCAAAGGAGGAGGATACACTGATGGGCGTTGAATCAGAAGGGCGTCGAACGGAGAATTGGCCAGGGCTTGTTTGGTGAACTTCAACGGTGTGAACGTCTGGGCTTTTGCCCGGGCCTTGCTCGAAATCAGCAGAATGGAAGTGGAAAGTCCGAGGCTGGAAGTCGGACGTGGTATTTAGCCATGAAGTCGAAGAGCCTGTCGAAGTTGACAACGCTGTCGGGGAGTTGTTGTGGCTCGTAGTATGTAGATACGAGGCTATTGCCGCCTCGGCGAGCACTTCTGATGTGATGGGGGCTGGTGCAAAGAGCTCTGGTCGATGCTTTTCGATGTAACCAGTTTCAACCTGGCCGGACATGAAGTCTGGAGACTGGCATACTCGTTTGACAAAGTCGATGTTCGTGACTGGTCCTGCAACTTCATAATCTCGCAAGGCCAGGGCCAACTTACGAAGAGCATCGGTTCGGTTTGGTCCTCGAACAATCAGTTTCGCAATCATAGGGTCATAATGGCTGGACACTACATCTCCCTCGACGAAACCGCTATCGATACGTACATCTTCCGTTTCGATGGGTAGCCGCACATGTATGAGCTTCCCTGAATCTGGGATGAAGCCTTTGTCTGGATTTTCGGCATAGATGCGGGCCTCAATGGCATGGCCACGTTGAGAGATTTGCTCCTCAACTTCCGCCTGAGTTAGCGGCAGCGGTTTGCCTTCCGCGACCAGGATTTGCCAATGGACAAGATCTTGCCCTGTAACCATTTCTGTAACCGGGTGCTCGACCTGGAGTCGGGTGTTCATCTCCATAAAGTAGAATTCCCCAGTGTCATTGTCGAAGATGAACTCAACGGTTCCAGCACCTTCATAGTTGACGGCCAAAGCAGCAGCACGAGCCTTCTCCCAGATATCTTTGCGAATTCCATCTTCTAGATCTGGCGCTGGTGATTCCTCGAGTATCTTCTGGTGTCTTCGTTGAATGGAGCAGTCTCGCTCACCAAGTGCAACACAATTTCCGTGCTTGTCCGCAAAGACTTGGACCTCAATATGTCGTGGTGTCGTAATGTACTTCTCTACAAGGACCTCGTCGTTACCGAATGAGTTTCGTGCTTCACTTTTGGCGCTCTCGAGCATATCTGAAAACTCTTGAGGATTCTTGACTATTCTCATACCTTTACCCCCTCCACCACGGACGGCTTTGATGAGAACTGGGTATCCGATTTTCTCTGCCTCTTGTGCAAGGGTGTCTGGGTTTTGATCGCTTCCATGATATCCAGGCACGCATGGTACCCCGGCCGCATTCATTATCTCCTTACTCCTTGCTTTGTCTCCCATGTCCTCGATGGCGCTCGCTGGAGGCCCAATGAAGGTGATGCCCTCTTCCGCACATCTTCGGGCAAAGTCGGCATTCTCAGACAAGAAGCCATAGCCTGGATGTATCGCCTGGCAGCCCTGCTCTTTCGCTATCGATAGAATCTTGTCTTGATCGAGGTAGGCGGCAGTAGCGCCGAGGTTGAAGGCAAATGGGGATGAATGGGCGTGTTGTGATCGAGCGTCAGGATCCGTATACAGAGTAGTTGTCCGAATGCCATACTTAGATGCAGTGCGGTTAACTCTGATCGCTATCTCGCCTCGATTCGCGATCAGGATAGAGTCAAGCGAGTTGATATTGTGTTGGTGGTCCGTATGGGTTCCTCGAAGCTGGCAGTTGAAATAGGATTGTACCGCTGGCCTCGCCCTCCAAGCAGATGTGCGCGGTATTCGAAGGCGTGACATGGCTACAGTAGCTCGGAGAGCCTTTCAACCTCATAACGTGGTTCAGACACAATGCGCATACCACCTAGATATACGTGGTCGTAAGGTACATGACAAGACGCATACCTCGGGAGCCCGGTTAGTGACGGCTAGAGGGGGTGAGGGAGCAGAAGTGCGGAGAAGCATGTGCCCGGCTCACCGCTATGGCACCTACCTAAGGTACCCAAGAGACACGACTCAGGTATTCCTTGTTCCTAAATTGCCCACCATACTGTATTTGCACGCGTTTTCGTATGTTGAACAACCGTGGATTGTCATACTCTGTCCAACACATCTTTTCTACTTCACGTTGAGCTGGCAATAACGACCAAGCCATGGTTGGTCTCTTCAATTTTTCATCACTGAGCCTTTCTTGAGGTTGTTAACTGGCCTCCGTCGCCTTCACACGAACAGCCGACTCTGCTTCTACAACCCTTGCCCCCCTCTTCACCCTCCTCCTTCCTGTCCCGCAGGTGACCATGAGCGGATGAGCTAGCCATCATGTCCGACATCGAGGACTATACATATTCTCCCTATGACGATATTGAGGACATCTTAGACGATGTCGACCCTGCCTTAGAGCTGGCTGACGACCTTGCCGATCATACCATGCCGAGCCCCGTATATCAAGATGAGATTGCTGGTTATGATATGCAAGAGTACTTCAGTGATTGGGATTACTATTCCGATGACTACATGGACGATGATCCGTCCTTACTGAAAATAAACCCACAAGACGGCACTGCACCGAATCAATCCACACCACAGAAACCTGAAGCAAAAGCTGAGAAGCGGGGAACGAAGAGGAAATTGGCGGACCGTCTCAATGCACCACTATCTGACGAAGAACTGTTGGTGAGAAACATCAAGGGAACTTTGTGGGCAACGCCAATATCGCCTCGCACGCCACCATATCGGAAAGAGGAGGACTCAAAAGTGGCACTGATGAAGAACTGGAGAGAGATCTTTGCAATCACAGACAGTGGCTGGGGTCGCAATGGTGCCAATCCCGAGGAAGATGAGTCTTGGGCGAAGGACATGAGTCTGGCAGACATGGGTTTACAGAACGTGCAAGGAAAGCGAATGGACCAAAATGTACAGCGTGACGATGATGCTGAACGAGGCAGAGACGAGGAGGGCGATGACTACGATGAGGTGGTTCTAGCAGCAGAAGACGTGGGGGTGGATGATTTGAGACACCTAAGTGCAGCCATTGAGACGAAATATGGTGACGAGGTGAGAGAAATCGAGGGTACGGAATCAACACCACCACCTGAGGGAACAGAGACAGTCGCTCTTGCGAAGATAGCAGAGGATTCTGTCGTCGACGGAGAACCACCTCGAAAGCGACGCCGAATGCAGGAAGAGTTGGCAACTTCTCAAGCCTCGGAATCTGCTACCGCCGGAAAGGTGACCAGCACACGCAGTAGCGCAACCGAGTCTAGCTCACTGGTCGGGACAAGGCTGAAAGAAACCAGGTCGAAAGCTCAGGCCGACTCACAACCGCACAAGTATGACAAGCCTTCTGGGACGAACGGATCTGCGCCGGCTCAGAAAAAGAAGAGAAAGGCAATCGAGGAACCCGCGGAGTCAGCCATTTCGAGGTCTACCGCGAGTAGTCGTGCGAAGCGGGTGGCAGCGACTGAGTCCAAGTCATCTGTTAGGTCTGTGGACGCTCCACGTCGCACGCGACAGTCGAAGAAATGATATCCGTGTGGACGATGCATTGATGTGACACCGGCTGGTACCGGCAACATGACTTTTATACGCATAATGATTCATAGCGGTTAAAATGCATGTTTGGTACTAGGTAGATTGGAACGAGCACACGAATTAACAATGCCCAGATATACTTGCTGCGGAGGTGGTATTGGAACGTCGAATCTAGCTTACATCTGCAGGACTGCCATAGATAGACCAAGGATGTCACGATACAGGTAATTATTCGCAGTTAGCAACTGTCATGTAATGGTAGCAATTCGAAGTATACATGTTCTATGTTGCTGCTGCGGGTGCTTGTGCTGCACCAGAGGAAGGAGTAAGTTCCTCGTTCTTGGCAGCGATGGAGAGTGGACACTTTCACCGAGCCTGAGACTGCGCTCTCCAACAGTCTCTTCCGAGAAAGCTTTCATACCCATCTCCCAGATTGTCCTTCCAGACTCTTGTGATCTTGGTCCTTCAAGGCTGATCGATCGGACATTGATCTGTGATCCTCGACTCGTCGATAGACTGTATCACTTCCCTCTGAACGCACCCTTCTCGCAGGGTCATACTCGACAACTCTCCGGATCTGGCTGAATAATTCACACGGGGGTATGTTCATGTCCACGAATCCACTTTGCACAATGCCATTGTGTCCTCCAAAGGTGGCGAAAGGAGGCCATTACATCCATCATCACTATCTGTCCCTCGAAGAAATTCTGTAATACCACTGACTGTGGAATCGTGCAGACCAACCTCGGTATCAACAAGTCTCTTGGTTCATGGGGTGTGGAAAATCTTGCTTTGATCGTTAGCTGAGAGAAGGGAGGAGAGCCAAGCATGGCATGCGCTACATCTCCTGGGACGGTAGAACGAGGTATTGAGGCTCTGGTCGGCAGATGGGAAAACAACTGACTCGGGCGTGCAGGTGCTTCCTATCTATCGTCTCCGGACACTCCTTCAACCGCTTTTCCCGAACGATTGATTCGTCCTCTCCCTAAACGATCGATCAAGTCTCGTTTGTCTCAAGAGGCCGCTGATGCAATTACCTACCCTCCCTCATTACCCTCGACGACTCTTCCCGCATATGCTCATTATGGTGAAAACGGGGATTATCCGAATGACAGCAAGGTATTAGTCCACCATCACAGTGATGGGTACGATCATGACCATGACCATGACCATGATCACGACTCAGACCACCATGATCATGATTGCCCGCATCATCATCATCACTGCCACCATGACGACTACGATGATGATCTCGACGACCTAGACGGCATGCTCCCTATCTCTCATTATCTATCCTCATCCCCGCGAAGTGGAAGGCATACTAGATACTCTAAAGGCAGCATATCAGGACCAGACGGCTACGAAGCATTTGAAAACACAAACAATAAAAAGAAACGAAAAATACCAACATCCGGCAATTTGAATCTGCACCATTCCAACATGACGAGTGAATTTTCGCACATGGGCATCAACCCCGACAGCCCCTCCGACGATGCTCATTACAACGTGAAAAATGCAGCTGGAAATACTGGTCTTGGTCTCCAAGGCGCTGGCAGAGGTCGTAATGCGAGAAAATTTTCAGGAAGGAACCCATTGGGCGTTTCGGTCAACGGCTCCAACGCTCGATCTTTTCCTTCCAAGTACGACCAAAACATGAATAGCAATGCCAAAGGTACGTCCAGTCAATTTTCACACAGGAGATACACGGCTAACATTGTCCAAGCCGAGGACACCAAAGACCAAGGGATCATTTCTGCAGCAATTGCAAATGCCACTGCTTTGCTCAGAAAGCCGCTGAGCAAAGGCCAGGAGAATGTGGGTGTTCTCGATCAGCAAGCCAAACAAGCACATTCAGCCTCGCAATTCACCTTCACGTGCGAGACGGACGCCAAAGGTGTGACCTTTCCAGAGCAAAGCCTGTACTCTCCAGGGTACAACCAGCGCAACGTAGCGCCACATGCACAATCAGGCGCCACCTCAAAGAGTGGCCAGGCAGCCCAGTCCAGCTTGCCCGCGGGTAACTCTCAGGCACATACGACTGCCCCTAACGCGGCCAGTGCGAACGCGCAGGGCAAGAAGCCGCGGAGAAGGAAGGGAGATGTGTATGTTCTGGCAGCTCGACAGCGACGACTTCAGCAAGAGTATAACAACCTCCAGCATCCTCCCGCGCCCGAAGACATCTGGATATGTGAGTTCTGCGAATATGAGAGCATTTTCGGAGAGCCGCCACATGCTCTGATTCGCCAGTATGAAATTAAGGATCGAAAAGAACGGCGTCGATTGGCCGAAAAGAGGCGGTTGTTGGAAAAGGCCAAGCTCAAGGGTAGGAAAGGGCACCGGAAGCTCAAGAAGTCATCGCAACCTCATCAGCCGAGTGCGCCAGACGAGCCTTTGCCAGAATTCGCAGACAATCATCTGGATCAGCTTGTGGATGATGGCTTGGATGACACGTATGACGATCCAGTCCCAGTGCAAGCTCCAGCAGCATCAGCAAACACCAAACAAGGGGGAACAGGAGGCGCGATTACCCACAGCGATAAAGCTGGCGGCGGAACAGGAGGCGGTGGAGGAGGAATACGATGACATTGGGCTGTTTTGAGGCTCTGTCCGTTTTCCTTCTCCTCCCATTCCTGCGTCGTTACTTTTTTGTTCCCGCTGGCTTTCGGATCTACATTGGTTCTTCTGGTCGTTTGTGGTAGTTTCTTTTGCGCTGGTTTTGTTTTCCTTCTTTTTCCATAACCCCCTTAGCATAGCTTGCACATACTCCTCTCAGTAAATAATGCTGTCGTCTAGATCCAAGCATGTTGGAATCATTTTCATGTGTTAGTGTGACAGAGATACCTGACTGGAATGTTAAGGTAGCTCCATACATAGATTTTTTTTCTTAGTCAGGGATCAAGAGTGGATTGTGAGGGAAGATCCGCTGGTGCATATCCATATGTAAGGGATGCTGACAAGAAGCGACGTCGAATCGCCAGAGCCGCATTGAATTATGACCTACGGAGGACCTACAATAGGTACGAAATACGAGAGCGACCACTCAGCCACGTTTTCTTCACGCGCTGAATGAACGGAGTACGAGCACTATCTGTTATTAGAGCAACGCCATAGAGCAACGCCAAAATGCCCAGAGGCGGGCTATAACGGAGCATTTCTTCTTCCCCGCAATCCTTTGACAGGGTTCTTTTTGGCGAGCTCGTTGACATTCCACTATGACGCACCATGCAACAACAACAATTCCCAGAGTTGGGATCCCGCAGTATTTCCAAGATCCCAAGAAGAGCCAACGAAGGCGTTTGCGAGACTTTTACAAGTGACATGGTACTTGTGGACTGACTACCTTGTCACGTTTGTTGGTGTATCACTTCGAGTCACCACATTTGCTCTCTTCCTCTCACACACACACACACACACCGAGACACTCGACAGTGGTTATACGGCAGTCGATCTAGAGAGTTGCTTTTCCACATTGGTGCTTGAAAGAAAGGTTTACTCGTCACAGTGTTTACACAGCTGAGCAAGACAAAGACGGGAACAAAGACACTTTGATCAACAAATCCGAGCATGTCCATGACTTGAACAAAGCCAGATAAAGTGAGTAAACCGTTTCTGTCCAATGTGACTGTGTACAAAGATCTTTCTTATCCCAAATTTCTCTTTGTTCCACACCCTTAGCACCTTATACTAGAGTAAAGCAAATTCTCGAATTCCTCTCTCTGCGAACAATATATTTTCTACATCATATCAAAACATTTCTGACCAAATTCTCTACAAGATACAACACGCGCGCGCAACCACACACACACAAACACACACACACACACCAACTCCGGTACCGGAAAACTCAAAACAAGCAAGCAAGCCACCAAGATTCGCAAAGCTTCTCGAGAAAGCTTTTGTCTGTTATTTTTTTTTTCAAATTTCCAACAACACGCACACACACATACAACAGTCCTTTCTTCCGCCGTCGACAAAAAAAATGGTCGCCTTCCTCTCCAACCTGGGCAAGTCCAACCTCGCCAACCTCCTTCTCCGGCTCCTTCAACTGATCCAAGGTCTGGTCGTGGTCGGGCTCTACGGGGTCGACCTAAACCGGGCCAACCGTGAACACAAGTACTCTGACGGAAAATGGGTTCGTTCTGCCCTCGCCGGCGAGATGCTCACTCTGCCTCCTGAAATTTCGAGACTAATGACTTGCGTCCAGGTCTACGCCGTGGTGGTGGGTTCTCTGTCGGCGGTCACGGCGGTCGCGTACGGTCTGGTCGGTGTCTTTTTGCAATACCGGACCGTCGCTTTTCTGTTCGCGTGGGACTGGATCCTGGTCATCCTCTGGACGGCCCTCTCGGGCATCTTCGGTTCCATGTACATTGGGGAAAAGACCGAGATGGAATGGGGCATACACCGCATGAAGGTCGCCGTGGGTTTCGACCTGGCCGGACTCGTCCTCTGGTTCATCACCGCCGCCTTCGGCACCTGGTGGTTCTTCGCCGAAAGAAGACGTGGCGGCGGCGGCGGCGGCGGCGGTGGTGTCGGTCGAGTGTTGTCCCGTGGCGGCGCAAAGGCTTGAAAATCGTGAGGATTTGGGGAACAGCAAACGGCCTAGATCTAACCCCCCGTAATTCCAAAAGGTGAAATAAGAAACAGCTTGCTCCTGACATGGCATGACACTGGAATTGGAATTGTCATTGTCGTAATGCCATTGGCACAGAGTAGAGTCTAGTCTAGTCCAGCTCGGTCGAAGGAGAAAACCAGAAAAGTAGATACCTGCCTACATACTCTGTATTCTCCGTATGAGGAAACCTGTACGAAATACCTACTACATTCCTTTTTTTGTTCCTGTTTGGCAGCAGTTTCATGGAGTTCAATAGTCTCTATATCGAGTTGAATGGACAACGTCAGGCCCTACTCTGTAGGTGGTCAAGAAACACAAAATGTTGACGGTGATTGTGTTTGAAAAATCGTAAAAAGAACACGACCAAAGATCCCTGTCCGCGATGGCTGTGTGTAGGTGTTAAAATAAGCAAGGGTGTTCATCGAAGTAACACTAAATACTCCAGAAAACACTGCCACAATCCGAGGGGCTGCTAGGCCCCCTACAAAGTACAAAATGACCACTTCGTATTTCCCCCGTACACCAGGGGGAATTTTCTGCCTTGAGGCTGAATCACTTGCACCGCATCTTGTCGGTCTGAAACTACAAAATCATGACTGTCGAGAAAAAAGTCTTCTTATAGTTTCACTGCTGCTGCCCACCCTTGTGTTCTTCTGCGCATAATTCACGAGAGATAAATACCTGTAACAAAACCATCAATCTTAGATCTTCACCGTTTGGGTCACAAACCCTGCATTCAGTTAGGCGGAGAAAAGATCAGTACTACTGTGTCAAGCATCATGTCAATAGGTTTCGGCGATGCTCTGGCGGTGGTGGAAAAGGCCATCGCCTTGTATGACAAAATGACCGACGCAATAGAGACTGTGCAGTTCATGGGCATCCGTCTCGAAGGTATTCGAGACCAGATCATGATAGCGCAGAGACTCGTTCCCGACAGCAAAAACGACATCCTCCTGAAGCTCGACCGCGACCTTTACGAGATGATCAAAAAGACCATCAAAAAGATCGAAGTCGACGCCCAAGCCACTCAGGTCATCCTGGATGCGTGGTATGGCAAGAAGACAGGCATTCTCGACTCGACTTGGCGTTCCAAATTGGTTGCCGACGTGGTCAATAGCCTGATCAAGGGCAAGGGAGACGAGCTGAAGAAACTCAATCAACGACTGGAAGAATATCAAACGTCACTCAATCACTTCATCGGTATGGTAAACACCTTTTATATCAAAGAGTTGATTGACCGCGACACGACGAACAAAGGCAAGAAGCTCGCGGTGGCCGGGACCCCCAGCGCGGTGAGCCGATCTCCCTCTCCGGCCAAGCGCCAGCAATACAGGGTCATCTTCGTCGATCCGTACAACGAAGGTCGCTCCGTCGTCGCGCAATCGTATCTGTACTTGGTTCACCAGTGGACGGTACGCACCGAGAACTACTGGCCGTTGAATAAGTGGGAATCTGCGGGAATGCGTGTCCGCGCACGATCTGCCTTTGTGCCGCAGCTGCAGGCCCTTGGATTGTCGAAGCCGATCCAGTTTGCTGACGGGAATGTTCCCTCCTCACCCAACGCCATCGACGCTCTTTTCGGTCAACCGTACTTCAATTACGCATACAAAGAGCCCATTCGCCAAGGTGCGGCCAAGCGCCTCTCCCGGGGCTTACCAGTCGATATTTTTGACCATTACGAGTTCATCCTGGTTTTCACCAAGGAACAACAGGCCATCCTGGAGGCATTGCGCGAGCATATCGCCAGGACCCAGCCCAAGTTCAAGGAGGTCAACCAGCGGGCAAGAATTCTGTTGCTAGGCTCGTACAGCAAAGCGGGACAGATATATACGCCCAGTGCCACGGGAGATGCTGAGGAGCTCAAAAAGAGGTGGGGAAAAGTCATCAACCAGATCAAGGGCAGCGTCAAGGGATTTCTGGAGCTGGAATGCGGCTGGAAGCCGCCGAAGAAGGAGGACGGCTGGAAACAGGCGGTGGAGAAGAAGTGATGCCCGAATTGATGAGGCTTGGAGACCTACTCCGTACAGGGGAAGAAGGAAAAAGAAAACAAGTTTCGGGCACGACTTGGATTTTCCCAAGCTGCCGTCAAATGGGGGAAACAGCGGACCCTTGCAAGACACTCAATGTTTTGGGAAGCAATGTTACTCACACACCTCCTGTTTGACGTGTTTCTGTTGTTGTTGTATTGATGTCAACAAAATACTCAGGGTGGAGGAAGACACTGATAGGCAAGTCGGTCAATTATGACAGTGGGCGTATGAGTACTTTTGAGAGGAACCGGAAGGGGAAAATGTCAGCTGCAAGATAGGTGGTTTGCCTTGCATTAGCCTGGCAGTTGCTAAGCCCTTCGTACGATTATGGTGGGCTTCCAGAAGGAAAGAAGGTGGTGGTGTAAGCATGAGAAAAAGCAATTAAGAGGACGAAGGACGGAAGACGGAAGACGGAGGATCAATTATGGGTACCTGGGAATATGGACACTTCCAGGATGGTTAACTCGTCGTCCGGATACGCCGTCGGATGGAGGAGAGACATGTCTTTGGTGGTTTGATTATTGAGACTCCCTACTCATTACTCTCAGCCTGAATGATATCCATGGGTGTCCGCATCTGGATCATTAATTGCCAGCAAAGGCGCAAACTCCACTGTAGATACGGACATGCTGGATTCTGGGTACAAAATTGGGTACTGGGTATGATTGATGTGCGAATGAAGTCTTGGGAGGGTCCAATATTTTAGTCGTCCGGAGTACAAATAGATAGCAATTGTCATTGATACTACGGAGTTATAGCAAGGAGACTATCCAGCGGGAATTGTGCGATACGGACACATGTGCTGATATCAATATTGTATTCGCATTCTTGACAGTTCCAGTGGTGGCTTTTTTAATCTCGAGTGTCGGCAGCAGTACCGATAGGCGCAAGCTCGCCTATGATGACCCTTGAACGCACCAACCCACAAGGCGACCCTGGGTTTAGCCTGTTCAGGCAATGATGTTTCCTATACTCCGTAAGCCTTCGTTATTATGGGCCACTTCTACTGTCTCTAGGCGTTGTCCACGCAAACACCCCCCCACGCCATCAGGGCTCAGGGTCCGCCGATTCTGAACGTCATGCAGGCCCCTAGTTCTTCAGCATGTGCCAACAGCCTCTCACCGCAACATCTTATCGGCTCCAATCTCCAGGAGGAGCGCAAATCTCTGCAGCACGAGCCTCGAATCGAGAAGGGGCGCAGGAAACATCGGCCGAGCAACGGGGACAACCTATCCGCCTTCACCGAAAGGATTGTGTACTCGTACTATAATGTACAGTACTCGGTATGTTGATACAGTAAGAGCCTCAGAGACGAGTCGTTACTAGGTACCTGAGTTACCATCACACTGGCTGCCATAAGATACTCGATGAAGAAGCGTTACTGTATGGACGAATCCTCGTACTACCTATACAATACTACAATAGAATAGGTAGATACTGATATTCCACCATGCACATCTCATCATATCCGTGCCTCCGCCCTGGCACCGAGTTTTTTTTTTTGTATCTCTCACTCGTCCCACGCCATCTATTTCCCCACCACTCTTGCAGCATCTGCTCCAGTCTAGATGCTGTCCGTGGCTCCGGGCCTAACGAGCCTTGACTCTTCTCAGTATACCGTGAGCCCCTGATGCCCCTCGGTGACATCAGTCCGCTCACTTCCTAACATTTTTTTTGCTGATGGGTGTTGAATGAAGGAAATCTGGCCTGGACTCTTTTTATTATGCTGTCAGTTTTTAAACCCTACACATAGTCATACCTAACCTGTGAAGCAAATCTCCGCTCCCTAACATCGATTCTCTTCTTCCTTCTCCTGCTCCCATAACCACCATAGCCTACGCGAAGCCTGTCTTGTACCTTGCATAGCCGAGAGACTTTGTTACATCCACTACCCATCCTGACAAAAGGCCTCGACGCGTCCATTTTTCTTGTTGACCCCAAACTTGTTGGGAAGCGAGGCTATACAGGACACCATTGTCCCTTCAAAAACCAAGCCACACACCTGGGCTACCAAAACTTCTCTCCGTTCCTGCTGTCTAGTCCATTGAAGAAAAACCACCAAGGTGTGAAAAAAGGAGGAAGAGACTTTGACACCACACCCAAACACAATCTCTCAACATCTCCCCGTCTGCACCACATCAAGATGAACTCCTCCACAAGCCTGCGCCTTCTGCGGAACGCAACCCAAGGTGCCCTTCGCACGAAGCCTGCCTCGAAGGCATCAAGACAGTCCTTCCGCCCTATCAGCACGACCAACTCACAGTTCATTTCAAACACTCCCCGTCGCCGAGACCCTTCAGATCCCTATCACAAAGCCAGTACGGAAGCCGTCGGTCAATCGGCCGGCCCTCACGAAGGCTCTGCCTCGCGAACGGACAAAGAGATCGTGGTCGAATACCCCGACGATGAGAAAGACTTGCCTCCCGAGCGACCATTGCGTGGCCGAGGCGGCGTCCACTTTGTGCGAACCTTGCCCACCTTCTCCCTGGAAGGCCGAACGGCCGTCGTCACTGGTGGTGCTCGAGGTCTCGGTCTCGTCATGGGACAGGCCCTCGTGAGCTCCGGTGCAGACCTCGCCATCGTCGACATGAACAGTAAGTCACCACTTTCCGATGTGGGTGAATAAGCTTTTTCGGTAAAAACTGACAGTTCCCATTTTGTAGAGGAGGAGGGTGAGAAGCAGGCCGTCGAGCTCCTCGAAATGTTCCGCCGCGAGACCCCGGACAACCCGGACGTCCTGCCCAAGATCACCGCACACTACTGCGACGTGTCGGACCCGACCAGCGTGGACGACTGTCTCGCCGACGTCCTCGACAAGCACGGAAAGATCGACCACCTCGTGACCTCTGCTGGCTTCACCGAGAACTACGCCGCCGAGATGTACCCCTACGAGCGCATCAAGAAACTCTGGGGCGTCAATGTCGACGGCACGTACCTCTTCTCCACGGGCGTCGCTCGCCACTTGATGGAGCGCAACATCACCCACGGCAGCATCGTCATGATCGGTAGCATGTCCGGCTCCATCGTCAACGTGCCCCAGCCCCAGGCACCCTACAACGCCGCAAAGGCCGCCGTCAGGCACCTCGCTGCCAGTTTGGCCGTGGAATGGGCACACGCCAACATCAGAGTCAACTGTATCAGCCCCGGTTACATGTTGACCGCTCTGTAAGTTTTTTTTCCACTCTTTCGCGGCCCACGTCGCGCGATCGAAAGATTCCGAAAGTAGACTGACAAAATGTACCAAAATAGGACACGTAAAATCCTCGACGACAACCCGGAGCTCAACCAGAAATGGACCTCCCTCATCCCCGTCGGCAAAATGGGATCTCCCGCCGACCTGCAAGGTGCCGTGGTCTACTTGCTCAGTGATGCCAGTCGCTATGTCACCGGAGCAGACTTGAGAGTTGACGGAGGGTAAGTTGTCGATTGTCCCAAAGAAGGGCATTACTTGTGTCGCATTCTGTGGCTCCTCACTAACATATCATACTTAGTTACACGTGCACATAAAAATGCGTATCTTCACTAATTGTTTGTGGAGATTTTTTTGGTTCCAAGGATTTTGCGGTATTGTATCCAATACATTGGGCTGGGTTGGGACATCATAGATGGACGGCGGCGGGACAAAACGTGTCCCAAAAAATCATAGAACGGGTATTGGGGGAAAATCCAATAGATTTCCTTGACACAAGAATATCAAGATATCTCTTTTGTTATGTCCAGCTGCTATGCATGTCTCTTATGCCCTCATGTGCCCTAACCCTAAAAATCCATCAGGTCCAAGGACAGAGCCTACGCGGAATTACATCGTGTTACTGGATGAGCGGCCAAACAACCCGCCGCAACAAATTTCACAACGCCAAAACTATTCCGACTTTCTTTCGTGAATGAGGATTATTCCAATGCCAATTTTTCTTCTTTCTTCTTCTTTTTTTCCAGTTTCATTTGGCTGCTTCATTGATCCGCAAGCTACTTTCCAGCAGCGACCTCCTCGATGGCCCCTCGGATGATGCCCAGACCCTTGGCCATGTCTTCCTTGGAGATGTTGAGGGGCGGGATGAAGCGCAGGGTGTCGTAGATGGACGTGGTCAGGATCAACATGTCCTTCTCCATGCACTTGGCCTGCACCTTGGCCGCGTAGCCCTTGCCGCCCACGAACTCGACCGCGAGCATCAACCCCAGTCCTCTCACGTCGTAGACCATGTCGGGGAAGTCGGACTTGGCCTTGCGCAGCGAGCCCATCATCTCCTCGCTGCGGACGTTGACGTTCTCCAGGATCTTCTCGTCCTTGAAGGCCTGGGCCACGGCGATCCCGGCCGCGCACGACACGGCGTTGCCGGCGTACGTGCCGCCCATGGACCCGGGCTTCTGCGTGTCCATGAGCTCCTTCCTCGAGACGATGCCGGACAGGGGGAACCCGTTCGCGATCCCCTTGGCCATGACGAGGATGTCCGGGCGCACGCCGTAGTGCTCGATGGCGAACATCTTGCCCGTCCGACCGAACCCGGACTGGACCTCGTCGACGACCAGCAGAATGTTGTTCCTGTCGCAGATCTCGCGGACTCGCCTCAGGTACTCGGGGACGACGGGGACGTAGCCGCCTTCGCCGAGGACGGGCTCGATGACGATGGCCGCCGTGTCGGACGGGGCGGTTTCGCGCTTCAGCAGCAGCTCCAGTTGCTCGACGGGGTCCATGCAGCAATTCTCGGCGTTGTACTTGCCGTCACCACAGTGGGACGCGATGGAACACTGGGCACAGTAGGGAAAGGGCGTGGCGAAGACCCCCGGCATCAGCGGCGCATAGTTTTCGCCGTAGATGGTCTTGGACCGTGTCATGGCCATGGTCCCGAAAGTTCGGCCGTGGTACGAACCTTGCATGACGATGATATTCTGTTTCTTAGTCGCGTGTCTGGCGAGTTTGACGGCGGCCTCGACGGCTTCGGACCCAGAATTCCAAAAGAAGAATGTGTCGAGGGATTTGTGTGGCATTAGTGGTAAGAGTGACTGGATCAGTTCGAGGTACGGTCGTTGGAAAGCGATGTTTACCTGTGACATACACACAAACACCCACGACGGTCAGTTTCAATGCTCTCTCGGATCAACACCTCTTCTCAGGGGGGGAAGGGGGGAAGAGGGTATATCACAAACCTGGGCATGAACCATCTTTCCAGCCTGAGCCTGAGCAGCCTTGGTGACGGCGGGATGGCAGTGACCCAGGTTGGCGACACCAATGCCACACGTGAAGTCGAGCATCTTGCGGCCGCTCGTCATGGTCACGTAGCTCCCACTGCCACTCTCAATGACCTCGGTGGCCAATCTCCCAATTCCTTTGGCCACATGCCGAGTGCCGAATTCTGCGAGTTTGGAGAGACTCATGTTTGCGGGGGGGCGGCGGCCACAATGTGGTTGCTAGGCTTAGACGAACGACAAGACCTGGAAAAGTCAAGCCTCGGCGATGGCTTTCGGTCGTGTTAACAGCTAAGATGAAAGAGAAAGAAGAAGAGAGACACAGCAATGTCAACATACACTTTCGATAACCATGTCGCTGACACTTTCCCACTTGTTTCTGCCGGTGGTAATGTCCGTGTGTCTCGTCTACGACATTGAATCTGGAATGTTTAGTGATTACGTAGGGAGTAATTAGGTGGGTTGTGATTGGGTGAAGTAGCTTGTATTGGGGCATCCCAGGGTTATTCTGTGCTTTAAAAGTACTCTGTACCACATCATTAGAGACGCCCCCGATAGCTTAGACGCACAGCTAGCACCAACCTGGTATTCCCAGCCAGCTCCCCGCACATCACTTTTACGAGTACTCGAGGACCGGAGTACATCTCTAGTTGCTTATCTCGCTGAGCAGAGGAATCGGTTGAGGAGAGCGCATCAACAAGGACCTCAGGGCACCTCAAGGCCTCATGATTGAACGATGAGCGTTTACAACGCTTCGTACATACCATGTGTATCTCGTATGTACCGGCAAGCAAAACAATTCAAGCCGTTTAACAAAGACAAACAACGCAGGATGTTTGTCATCCAAGACTGTAAAGAATGGACGAACAATGAAACCTCATCACAAAGACACATCTCAGGGAGGATGCCATCTAAACTATCCTTCTATCAGTTTAACCGCGCTACCACCGCTCAGCCTTAGTTCCAGAAGTGAATACTAAACCAGAAATCTAGGATTTATATCTAAGGTTCTGATATTTCATTCTACCAACAGTACCTCTCCCATCTTCGCCTCTCCCCAAGCACCTCCAACAGTGGTGACCAAAAAAAAAGCTATACCACGCTCGACAGCAGGCAGCTACATGCAAGGACCATGCCTCCTTCCTGCTCCATGAAGCTCTGTCAGGCTCATGAAGCTGATCGTCACGACTACTACTCCCGTGAACCGGAACGTGAGCCAGAGCGGGTACGTGAGGTGGAACGGTTGCGTGAGGTGGAGCGAATGAGAATGCAATTGCTACAGATTGAGAGAGCCTACGCGGCTGAAATGCGTCAACGTCAAGAAGCAGCTGAAAGTGCCGCCACAGAGGCTGCCGCGCAAGAGGTACTTCGGCAGACCTTTGGAATAGAACCTTCGAACCTCAACCAAAGCCGTCCGCGCAACGGTACAGGTATGCAACGACGAAATGCCATCTCCGGCCCTTCTTCCGGTCCAAACGGGCCTCGTTGAGCGTCACATATTCTCCTCCAGTCACATCGGTGAGTTGTTCTCACTCGAACGTTGCAAGTGCTATTGATATGGTGCCGGAAGTCACGGAGCCCGAGTAGGTGGACATGATATGTAAGTGTTGGTCGAAGCCTTGTCCCCCTCTTTTAAAGGGTTATCCTCTGTGCAGTGATTTAGTCAGGTAGGTGCAATGTCGTTGGATTGCGCACTGCTGTCGCGAATGAAATAACATGATTGATATCTTTCCAAAAGCTCGTCATAGGCAGGGCCAGGCAAGGTATTGAAGCCCAGTAACGACTAAAGATATGTAGAACGATTTTGATGATCTCAAAATGTTTATTGTGAGATATATGGACATGATCGTCAATACTCGTTGCGTTCACGGTGATCAATTTGGGCTGTCGTCTCGTCCCCTGTCTTTAATCAACACTGAAGCATCTAATGCCATCATCATTTTTTCATGACTTCGTCTTCCCCGCTCCAGATATGCAGCTTCTTGGTCTATGACTCAAACACAGTAAAGTCTAGCCTTGAACTTTCTCAGCATGGCTCTTCTTCAAGCCGAGTAGCCGGGCTTCGCTGTCGACGGTGGTTACTACCTCTGCCTTGATATCAGGCATCTTTGGGGTCCATCCCAGAAGTCTCTTGCCTCGCTCTGAAACACCACGAGAATTTGTGCCCACCATGAATGCTGCGAACGGCATGATCTCATTGGCATCTTTAGGTGAGTAGCTCTTGAGGGTGGCATCTGGGAGGAGGCCTTCCTTGTGCGCAATATTCGCGGCCTCCTGCAAGACTTCGCCCCAAACAAAGGACCCGTTCTCCGCCAAGTAGTACCCTTGGTCGTTCCATGTAGCTGGAGATCCTCCGTTGGCAGCCGCCTCGCCCAGCGAGAGATACAGCTCGGAAAGATCTTGCACATTGATATGGTGCCATATGTTTTCACCCTTGCCAACCTTGAAGCCCTGCTTATTCTTCAGGAATGCCGCAGTGGCGTTATAGAGCTGTACTGAGCGTGCATTGTCCGGGCCTCGCCCTGCACCTATGATCGTTGGAGGACAAACGATGGCGGTCTTGACTTTGGCCGAGCCGGCAGCCAGCACAACTTCGTCGACATCTCTATTCACTTGGTCAGAAGCAAAGACTCCAATCACGAGAGGTTCTTCATCTTCATCTCACCTGTGGGGTGCTTCATGGGGTTGCGAGGTGAGTTCGTTGATGTTCTCCCAGTCATCGAAAACCTTGTCAAGACGCTCGCCGAACGCTTCTTTAGAGATTGTCTCATAGCCGAGGATCAATGTACCCGAGGTATGGATCCAATACCCATTGCCTTCACGCTGTCGCCGCGCAAGGCCTCGAGAAATAGCTTGAGCTGACGGTACATGGTCACAGTTGGCAAAGTGATAGACGATGTCTGTGTTGGCAGCTTCCTCCTCAATCAAGTCGACGGTATCGAGATCCCCGTAGACAAGTCTGATTTTGGGATACTTTGCTGCGATTTTTGCTCCTTTGTCGCTGTTTCGCACCAGGCAAGTGAGCTCCCAATCTGGGTGTCGTTGGGAAACCAGGTAAAGGAAATCACCGCCGATGTAGCCCGTTGTGCCCGTCCTAACAGCAAGATATCATCAGGTCACTATCTCTCCAACATCGTGGTATACGTACAGAAAAGCCTTTGGAGACATCGTGGTTCGTGGTTTTGGGAGAAGTGTTGGCAGCAATAATGTGTAATTTCTAGACAAGATCCTCAAATATGAGTTACTTGACTTGGAGAGAAGGTCCCTGTTGCCTGGCCCCTCGGTTCCATGGTACATGAAGCCGAAGGGCGTTAGAGGGGAATGATATCATAGTGTGCTGCCTGGCGTATTGAATACGCTCCTGAGGTAGCCTCGTGGAGGTGCCGCCAGCCTTGTCACGTGCCAAAGATCGGCTAACTTTCTAAGCAGCATTTTGGCCCCCCTTCAGAATGCAAATGCGCGAATCTAGACAAAGAGTGCCATCACCACGTCGACCTAGCACGACTCACTTCGAGCCCTCTACGTGGCTGCATCAGCCTCGTCCTGCAGATCTGAGATATCTAGGACACCATTTCAAGTTACCTGCCCCAGGTTTTGATTGACTGCGACGAAAGGACGACAACTGCCTGATGATACGACTGACAACAAATCTCGCGCAGTGCTCGCCGAGGTCACCGTCCGTGCAGAGAGCAAGCGATGCCTCCTCCAGGCGGAGCCAAGCGAAAGAGAGGAGATCGCTCCTACTCTGATGATCAGCAAAGCCCCCGTCCCTCGCCGCACCGCCCAGGAAACTTGCACCTAGCACAGCACGGCAATTTTCAGTCTCCAGGCAATGATCGCGACTACACCAACCCACGTGGTAGAGGTGGAAGAAGATCTAGTCGAGGTGGAAGAGGTGGAATCAACGCATCTAGTCCGGTCAACAATCCTGAAGAAGTCCATCCTACGGTCGCAGGTACTCCAGCGGCGAACAGCGAGACAGCTACTATGAATGGCACCGTAGCTACACGCCAGGACCCTAATCCTACCAGTATCACCTTCAACGGCCCTCCTACCGAGTCCCTGCCGTACAATTATACATTCGTGACCCCCGAAACTTGTGACTCATGGAAGACTGGCGGGAGGGACGGTGTTCTACAGCAGGGCCTGGCAGCCGTACGCGACAACGACACTACCAAAACTTCAGCTATCATTCAAGAGCTATGTCAGTCCGTCGTATATGGACGGTTGGACCCCTTCGATGCAGGCGAACTGGTGAAGGCAATGATCGATACCGAAATTTCAGGAAAAGATGCCGCCGCCGTCTCCGATCCGACAGCACTTCAAACCCTCGTTCTCGACTCGATATCTATCATCTTTGAAGCCACGGTAAATCTACCAACCGATCGATTGTCGGCCTTCATCATCAGTATCGAAATCCCTCATGAGTTGCTGCGCCTCGAATTGGATGCTCCTTTGCTTGAAAAGTTGGATTTGATTAGGAACACCTTCAGCCGGATGAACATCAGGAAACAGACTAACCTGCTCTACCGTCAAGCAAACTTCAACTTGCTGCGGGAAGAGTCTGAAGGTTTTGCAAAGCTGATGACTGAACTGTTCACCACAAGCGGAAACGAGCCACCCACTGGCGAAGTAGTCGAAGAAACGGTCGAGAAGGTCAAAGCGATGATTGGTGCGTTCGATTTGGACGTTGGTAGGAGTCTTGACGTTGTTCTTGACGTTTTTGGTGCCGTCCTTGTCAAACAGTTCCGATTTTTCGTCAAATTCCTCAGGGCTAGTCCTTGGTGGCCACGCTTCTCAACACTCTCGAAGAACCACAATGCACTGAGTGGCCTTCCTATGTGGGCACTGCCATTATCACCGGATTGGCACCTTTCAGAAGAGCAAAGACAGACAGTTGATGCTCAAGCTCGAATCCGTGACGAGTCCTTCTGGGACCAAGCCCGAGAAAAGGGCCTTCCTGCATTTCACCTTCTTGGTAGAATTGCAGCAACTACTGAGCAAATGGCGGCGGCCGCTGCAGCTCCCGAGGAAGATCTGGCTGCACAGTGGATACGGGAGACGGGGGTTCAACCGCCACCAGGCAATCGCGACGCGGCACAGCTGCTCGGATTCAAACTACGATTTTACTCGTCCTCGCCAGCGCGTGACGAGACAGATGTGCTTCCTGATAATCTGATTTATCTGTCCGCCCTTCTCATCAAGATCGGTTTCATATCGTTGAAAGACTTATACCCACATATCTGGAGGGGTGATGAAGACATGGAGGAGTTGAAACAACAAAAAACAAAGGAAAAGGTAGATCGAGAACGGGCTGCGCGACCAGGTGCTGGTGCAAAGAATGCTCTGCTAATGGCAGGTGCTCTTGCAGACGACACGTTACCTGTTCCAGCACGGCTGAAAGAATCGACCACCCGCTCCAGCACCCCCTCCAAGGAAGTCGATGGCGAGAAGCCTAGCACCAAGGACACGACCGAACCTTCGGACCAGAAGGTTCTGTTACTTAAAAGCCTCCTCGCCATCGGAGCACTCCCTGAGGCGTTGTTTATCCTAGGTCGCTTTCCATGGCTGATGGAACTCTTCCCCGACCTACCCGAGTATGTCCACCGCATTCTACATCATTCTCTGAGCCAAGTCTACAATGCAACACAGCCTTTGCAGGATCGCCCTTCGCTTCGTGAAAGGAGGCCCAGCTATGAAACTGATGTACCTGGCTTACAAAAGGGGCAAGTGAAGATTGTCGACAGTCCAGATCGGAAGGTGTTGCGCTGGGCCATGCTCGATCGCAACGACAGCCCCGATGGGAACAGTTATCGATTCTACTGGGACGAATGGAACGACAATATTCCAGTTTGCCGGACAGTCGACGATGTGTTCACGCTCTGCGACACCCTCCTGCCTCTCGTGGGGGTAAAGATCGGCCAGGATCCTGGTCTCCTTCTCAAGATTGCTCGTATCGGCAGACATAGTCTACAGACCGATCGAGCAGAGCATAACCGTTCCAGGTGGTTGAACTTGAGCAAACGCATTTTGTTGCCTTCATTAAGCTTGACAAAATCCAATGCCGGGGTCGTAAATGAGGTCTTTGAGCTGATCAGCAATTTCCCAGTCAGTATACGATACTTGATGTATCTAGAGTGGCTGTCCGGTAGCACATCACGCAATCCTGATATCAAATCCGCTTTTGATCAGGCAAGGTCAGAAACAAAAGACATCCTCAAACGTATCTCAAACACGAATGTCCGACCAATGGCTCGTTCACTGGCCAAAATTGCGTTCGCCAACCCTCACATTGTCATTACTACTGCGCTCACTCAGATCGAGGTCTATGACAGCATCGCCGAAGTATTTGTCGAGGGTGCACGTTATTTTACAGACCTAGGCTATGATGTTCTCACATGGGCTATTGTAAGTTCGATGGCGAAAGCAGGGAGGAGCCGTACTCAGGATGGGGGCATGTTTACCAGCCGATGGCTGTCAGCCTTGGCTCATTTCGCGGGTAAGATCTACAAACGATACGGCATGATGAGGCCAGGCCCAATCTTGCAATATGTGGTTGAGCAACTCGAACGTGGCAATACTACAGATCTCAAGATGCTAGAACAGGTTGTTCTCGCCATGGGTGGCATCGCTCCCGACACCAGCTACAATGATGCACAATTACAAGCCATGGGTGGCGGCCCGTTGCTTCAGTCCCAGACTATACTTCAACTACTCGATCGGCGACACGATTCCAAGAAAACCTCAGAGCGACTGATAAAATCACTCCAAGATACCGGCTTAGGGGCTAAATTTTTGATTTCTATGGCTCAACAACGCCAGTCTTGTGTCTTTAAGGAGGGCGATGTGCCCCTTAAGGCCATTGGCAATACCTATGATGAAGTGCATCGAGTCATGGTCCAATATCTCGATCTGTTACGCACCAACTTTTCCGTCGAAGACTTTCAATCCACCATACCAGATGTGGTGAGCTTACTGATAGAATATGAAATTCGGCCTGAGATTGCATTCTGGATCAGTCGGCCTTCCATTTCCAGACAAATCGTCGAGTATGACAAGGATCAGGCAAAAGACCAGCGCTCGGAGGATCTTACGGACAAAACGGTCAATGGTGACGTGGAGATGTCTGACCAGATCAACGGTGGTTCTGAAGAAGACGGCGAGGCCATCGAGACTGACGCTGCCACAAATGATTCACCTACTGATGGCGACGCCTCAGGACCTAGCCTTGAGCTAGAGTCAAGTGGAAAGACCCCAGGCTCTTCGGACCTCACAGCGGAAAATTGCTGGCATCCTGTCATGCGAGACCTGATGTTGGCCATTCAACCCTCCCTTCCTGATGAGGTAGTCGACAATATAGGCACTGGCTTCTATGCGACCTTTTGGCAGCTTTCTTTATACGACATCACTATTCCAGGCAAATCGTACGAGGATGAGTTGTCACGTCAGCACAAGAAGATCGCTGCCATCTCAGCAGACCGCTCAGATGTCAGCGTCTCCGGGTCGAAGAAGAAAGAACTCGCGAAGAAGGAAATCACGGATCTTGTCGACGAGCTGCTTGCAGAGAATAAACAACACCTCAAGGCCTTTGCAGAAAGTAAGGCACGACTGCAACGAGAAAAAGATCAATGGTTCCTCGGGAAGGCTAGAATGGACAAACAACTCAACACGTCTCTGATGGAATACTGTTTCCTTCCTCGCCTCCTCTCTTCGGCCCTGGACGCTTACTTCTGCTTCAAGTTCGTCAAATTCCTTCATGGCGCTGGAACACCTAACTTTAGAACCCTCGGTTTCTACGACTTGATCTTCAAGACACCACGCCTTATATCGCTAATATTCATGTGCACATCAAAGGAGGCCGATAATCTTGGCAGATTTCTCAATGAGGTCTTGAAAGATCTCTCTCGGTGGCATGCCACCAAAACAACCTACGAAAGAGAGGCATGGGGAAGCAAGAAGAACCTGCCCGGTTTTGCCATGAAAGTTGAAGCAGGGAAGGTTGTCTCTCTGTTGGACTTTGAAAGCTTTCGAAGAGTACTCTACAAGTGGCATAGTAACGTCTATGCCGCACTACAGAAGTGTTTAGGATCACCAGAATACATGCACGTTCGAAATGCAATCTCGGTACTTCGGACAATTTCGGCAGTTTATCCTGCTGTCAACATCCACGGGATGGGACTACAGAAGGCTGTCGATAAGCTTCACGAGTCAGACAAGGAAGACCTTAAAGTCTCGTCCCAAGCTTTGCTCGGAGCTCTACATCGCAGGGAAAAGGTCTGGAGCGACCCACAAGCATTCCGACACGGCTCAGAAACCGCTGGAGAGCATACAGAGCCTGCATCTCAGCCAAAGGCTGAAGAGATCAAAGAGAAGGGAGGTGCACAAAATAACCGTGGCGAGGAGAGTGAACTCAAAGACACGACCATGACACACGCGCCTGACAAGAAAGAGGAGACACCATCTGTCGAGAAGGACGTAAAGCCACCAAAATCCTCAGCATCAGCAGAAGCTCCTCGGCCAGCATCCAGAACAGGCTCGCGGTTGGCAACGACGAATGGCTCTTCCACGCCGACGAGACAAACACCCGACACTAGCTCAACATCAAAGCCAGACACAAGAGCCGCCCGCGCTGAGTCGGGACGTTCTCAAAATCTCCCTCGTCGCTTGTCTCCACCTCCTCGAACTCTACCAACGGGCTTACCTAGTCGACCAGATTTCCCTGACCCCCGATCCAGCAACAGAGAAAGTCCACGTATGCCGTCAAGACTTCAGGCTGACCCGCACAGACCGGCCTTCGAGGCTAGGAGCAGTCATGGTCGAGACGTGAGGTCCGGTTACAGAGGTCATGAATTAGCTGCTGAAGACCCTGAGCGTCACCCACGAAGGTACGAAAGGCCAGACGCCCCACCACATATCAGTCGAGATGAGCGGGGACATCCACGGGATTCTGACAGAGGTAAACCGTACGATCGTAGTACGCAGCCGGAGCGAGATCGCCCCTTGTCTCGGCCGGGGCCCATGGTTGATCGCAACAGAGACGGTCGAGACCGCGAACCAACACCAAGATCACGGCCATCAACGTCGTCTGAGCCACCTGCACCTTCTACCAAACTCCTGCCGAAAAAGGAACCGGATCAAACAATGCCAAAAGAAGCATCTGGTACTCAATCGGCCCAACCTGCGATCAATCCTGCCCGTGCTGCCCTGATTGATGGTACATCGGATCAGCGCTCGAGCTCAGGCACACGTGGAACAGGACCTGAGAGATCTTCGAGATCCTCGCGTCCCGCTTCTCCCCATCGAGAAGAGGAACGAAGATCGTATCCTCGACGTGATGGAGACGAGCGACACCATCCTAGTAGCCGACCAGAGGCACCTCCACCCCGTCAGCCCCCGTACACCCCGTCCTCGTCCGATCCTTCATCAGTTGGACCGGGCATGCGTGGTACAGGGCATGGCAGCTTCAAGAGAGATTCTAGACAAGGCCCACCAATCGATATGCAGCATGGTCGACTTGAGCGAGAACCTCAATCGCAACGTCCCATGAGCTCTCGTGGTACTGATTCGCAACAGGAGGCTGAAGTTCCTTCTGGACCTCGTGGCAGGCCAGCACCAGGAGCTGGTCCGTCAATGAGAATATCTCCTCTTAATACACAGGTTCCCACAGGCGCTCACACCGACAGACCAACGCCGACAGGACCGTCACGACGACACGGACGGACAAGCTCGTACAATGAGAGTGCTCCCTCACCAGGTGCGCCGTCGGAAGCAATTGGCGTTCATCCTTCTCGATTGAATCAGATCGAGGCAACAACGACAGAAGCTCCACGCTCTGGTCAGCCTCCCCCTTCGTCTCACCAGAGCCAACCCCCTTCAGGTCCCAGAGGCAATGCACCCCTCGGTGCTCCTTCAGGACCATCTCCAACATCAAGAGGTCCGCCATCTGGTCCTCACCCCATGGACATGGGAGGAAGGTCTGGACGAAACAATCGACATCCACTTGCTGCAGTCAACAACACGCTGGCCCAGGCAGGAACCTCAATCCGTGGAAGAGGCGGCCCTGCAAGACAAGCCGGGGAGTCCTTCGGCCCTACGTCCGGGATGGCGCCCCCACCTCCTCCACCTCCACCGCCACCTGGTGGCCCTCCAGCAAACTACAGTCCTAGTTCAAACGGCTATCCAGCACAAAAAGACTTATTCCCGACGCAGAACCCCAATGACGTTCCTGTCGCTGCACGGCCTTCGTCTTCACGGCATGAAAGCAGCAAAGATCGAAGGTCCGAGCTTTCAGAGGAACGAGGGTCGGAAAGAAGATCCTCTCGACATTCCAGCCGCCATGACGACGGGAGGGAGGAGCGAGAACATCGGAGTGATAGAGCGAGTAGAGATGGGCGTGGTGATAAACATGGTGGCGGGGACTCGTCAAGGAATGATGAGAGATCAAGTCGAAGGGAGCAGTATCCGCAAGAGGGCAGCGAGAGGAGGGGAGGCTATTCGAGATCAGGACCGCCTCGAGACGATCAGACATCAAGAAAGCACGGTAGAAGCGACGATGGAGCACCATACAGCGGAGGACCTGGACCGGGGATGGGCGGAAGAGGAGGTGCTAGAATTGCCAGCGAATCCAAACGTCCCCGACGAGGACCTTGAGATTTCGAGGATGCTCTCTCATTCCGATTGGACACCGCAGCGGATGATGAGTACTACTATGGCCGAAGTGATGACAAGAACGCTACCACCAAGTTCTAGCTGGAGATTTGTGTTCCAGAATGTTTTAGTACCTGCTATAAATGAAGATCTTAGAAAAATGTCAAAAAGATATCAGACAAGGGAGCTGCATATCACCAAGCTACCTGTCAATATAATAAAGCGTGTCTTTGGTCCCCATGGCGTAGATGTGGCGATTTCAAGATAGTCCGGACATGAAGGGTATTGCTGTGTAAGGCTTTTGTCCTATGGTCACAGCACTCCATACAACTTGTATTGGTCTGTGTCTGACGTGATTTTCTGGTCTTGCATACACCACTATGGGGCAAACTCAACTCTCACTGACGCGTTCACGGGTGTCAGGAACGATAAACGGTGGTCTGACACGTCATTTTATATCCTTGGGGAAATTGCGACTGGACACTTCATACGTATTCACAGTTTGGATGGATTTTAGAAATTTGCCCATCTGACTGTCAACACTGTGCTTTGGGCTGAGGCCACCTACTTCATTCTGCTGCATAGTGGTATCTTTCAACTCACTCACTTGTAATAGAGGTCGCCGTCAGCACTCGATACCCGTACCGATCCCTCCATCCCGATGCCAGTATGAAGCGCAAGCCGACCACGCCACTACCATAGAATTCCCAACTAACATGGCTAACTACGGTTCACCTTATGGCAGTGGTACCGGCCAGCCGTACCAAGACCCGAGATTTCAGGATCCCAGAGCGCAACAGCACCCTCCTAATCTTCCTCCATCCGTCAGCCCACAACCAGGATACCAACAGTACGGCGTGCCCGCTCCGCAACAGCAACCATATCCCGGGCAATTTGGGGGACAAAATCTACAACAACAAGATAGCGTCAATGGTCTAGCTGGCCAGTTTGGTGGCTTGGACGTGTCTGGCGTCCCTGCACGGTCCCATAGGAAGAAAGAGAGACACGCGTATCATGATATTGCACCAGCCGCAGGTACTCCTCCTCCAGCAGGAATTCCCCAAGCTGGAGGGTTTGGAGCACCTCAGTTGCACAACAATGGACAGGTCGGGGTTGGTTCTGTGACCGGTCAGCCTGGCCAGACAGTCATGAATCCTGGGGACAAGCTGCGCATGGGGGAAGAGGCCGTTACTACACAAGGTCGCGTAGACCCTGAACAAATACCGAGCGTGGCACGATCCCGAGATCTGGCGATCCAGTTCTATCAGACGAATGTGTTTCCCACGATGGAAAAGCATCTTCCACCTCCTGCGGCAGTAACCTTCACAGCGCATGATCAAGGCAATGCATCGCCCAAATTTGCACGGCTCACTGTTAACAACATTCCATCATCAGCCGAAGCTTTGGCATCAACAGGTTTGCCGCTTGGACTTGTTTTACAACCCTTCGCCTCTCTACAGGAGGGAGAACAGCCAGTTCCTGTTCTAGACTTCGGCGAGATTGGGCCTCCACGTTGTCGTCGGTGCAGAACCTATGTGAACCCATTCATGACATTCAGATCTGGAGGAAGTAAAATGGTCTGCAATATGTGCAACTTTCCGAACGATGTGCCGCCGGAATATTTTGCCCCAACAGATGTAGCGGGTATCAGAGTTGATCGCATGCAAAGACCTGAGCTTATGATGGGCACCGTGGAGTATCTGGTGCCGAAAGAATATTATACGAAGGAACCTGAACCATTGCGATGGCTGTTCATGCTCGACATCACACAGGAAGCCATTAACAAAGGTTTCCTAGCCTCAGTATGCCAAGGTATTTTGGATGCACTCTATGGTCATGAAAGAGAAGACTTGACAGAAGACGATGCAGCACCCCAAAGCCTCCCTGCAGGCAGTAAGATTGGGATAGTCACGTATGACAAAGAGGTTCAGTTCTACAATCTGACAACTGGTCTGGCGACTGCTCAGATGATGGTGATGACAGATCTGGAAGACCCGTTTGTGCCCCTTTCTGAGGGTCTGTTTGTTGATCCCCAGGAATCGAAAGATGTTATCACCTCGCTACTCCAATCAATCCCCAATATGTTCTCGACGATCAAAAACCCGGAACCGGCCTTGTTACCTGCCTTGAATGCGGCATTGGCCGCAATGACTTCGACGGGTGGAAAGGTCGTCTGCTCCCTCTCAACACTGCCTACATGGGGACCAGGAAGATTACACTTGCGTGATGATGGCAAAGGCCGAGACACGGATGCTGAGAGAAAGCTGTTCACAACTGAACACCCAGGCTGGAAAAAGACCGCTAGCGCCATGGTGACTGCCGGTATTGGAGTTGATTTCTTCCTGGCTGCAGCTGGGGGCGGCTACATGGATGTCGCGACCATCGGTCACCTGTCACGCTTGACTGGCGGAGAGATGTTCTTTTATCCCAATTTCATCTCACCAAGAGACAACCTCAAACTCGAGACTGAGATCAAGCATTCAGTGCACCGTGAGACAGGCTATCAAGTACTAATGAAGGTCCGATGTTCCAATGGGTTACAAGTCTCATCTTACTATGGGTCATTCCTGCAGCATACCTTTGGCGCTGACTTGGAGATCGGTACCATAGATGCCGACAAGGCCATTGGAGTTTTATTTTCTTACGATGGGAAGCTGGATTCCAAATTGGATGCACACTTTCAGGCAGCCCTCTTGTATACTTCAGCCTCGGGTCAAAGAAGAGTCCGGTGTATTAATGTGGTTGCCGGCGTGAACGACGGAGCAACTGAAACAATGCGAACTGTCGACCAGGACGCTGTGGTGAACATCATCGCCAAAGAAGCGTCCGCGAAGGTGCCAGAGAAGTCTCTCAAAGATATTCGCGCTGGTATTACAGAGAAAACCATTGACATTCTGGCTGGGTATCGCAAGAACTTTTCAGGCTCACATCCGCCGGGCCAATTGGTGTTACCTGAGCATCTCAAGGAGTTCGCCATGTACACCCTTGGCCTGATCAAAAGTAGGGCTTTTAAAGGTACGTGCCACTGGAAAGCCATTCACGTGGATGTATATGCTAATGAGTTGTAGGTGGTGTCGAGCCGACAGATCGCCGCGTGCATTCGGCACGGTTCATGAGATCTTCTGGGGTGACAGAGACGGCATTATATCTTTACCCACGGATCTATGCTCTACACAACCTGGCTCCAGAAGATTGTTTCGCCAACGCAGAGACTGGGCAATTAGTCGTTCCACCAACAGTCCGGGCCTCGTTCGCCCGCGTAGAGGAGGGTGGCGTGTATTTGGTTGACAACGGCCAAATTGTGCTGATTTGGCTGCATGCGCAGGTATCGCCCAATTTTCTGGAAGACCTTTTCGGCGAAGAGAGGACGAGTCTAGATGTTCTCGACCCCATGACCAACGAGTTGCCTGTTCTGGAGACTCACCTCAACGCCCAGGTACGCAATCTGCTCCAATATATTTCGACCGTACGAGGCAGCAAAGCTGCATCTTTCACTCTGGCTCGGCAGGGACTCGATGGGTCAGAGTTTGAGTACGCTCGAATGTTGGTGGAAGACCGGAACAACGAGGCGCAGAGCTATGTCGACTGGCTAGTGCATGTGCATCGAGCTATTCAAATGGAATTGAGCGGCCAGAGAAAGAAAGAGGAGACGGGGGACAATGAAGGCATTTTAAATAGCTTGACGGGATTGAAGGCACCCTACTGGACATGATGACCCCAACAATGATGAGACAAAGACATGAGGAACGTCGTCCTCGAGTACATAAGAGGTCGTAAAAGTCTTGTAGTTACAGACCGTATGAGATACTCAACACCATTGCAGGGTCTATAACAGAGAGTTTATGAGCACGGTCTGTCTACAGTCAAAGGGCAAACCCCAACCCCACATAATGTGAATGTTCGAGTTTCCCGAAATCGCCTACTCAACCCCATCTCAACGTGCCGATTTTGCCGGACGCCCATGAGATTTTTACTTGTTGTTCTAGTCGTTATACCCATCGGCTTCCATTCCGCCCAAGGGGTCCCCGGTGTGGGTTTTGAGGGGTGTCTCTTTTGGTCTGTTGGCATGGACTACTGTAAATTACAAAGCCCTTGGTTCTTAACCGACTCCATGATCTTCTACCAAGGCCAAGTTTTTCAACCCACGCGATCCTCGGCTCGACCTCTCTTTCCTTTCCGTCGGACTTTTATGTGATGAGGCTCTGCTTGGAAAAAGCCTCACGCCGCTGACACATTGAAGAGAATTATGAGGAGTGGCGTCGACGACAATTTCACGCCTTTTGAGAGAGAGAGAGAGAGATGTCTTTACCAAAATCTGAGTTGCCCACATCCGGTGATGGGGTTCCGCCACCACCGTCCAACAACAAGACAACCATGGACGACGCAATCTCGTCGTCCCGTTCGAGCTCAGAAGCCACGCACGACGACAACCGGTTGACGATAGAGCCTGGCGATCTGGAAAAGGTCATGTCGAAGCACGAGGACGCCGATGTCGCGGTCACCATTCAAGAAACCAACGATCCGAACGTGGTCAACTGGGACGGACCAGACGATCCTGAAAAGCCATTAAACTGGCCCGCGAGCAAAAAATGGATCAACATCGCCTTGATCTCTTCAATCACCTTTTTGACGTAGGTTCTTCTTCTCTCCCTATAACTCTCCTCACTGCTGCTACGAAATGGCAGGCTCGTTTCTCCGTCTGGCGTGTTGACTCTAATGCGCACGTATAGACCTTTTGCATCATCCACGTTCGCCCCCGGTGTTCCATTGGTCATGGAAGAATTCGGGGAGAAGAGTCTCGCGGTTGCTTCCCTCGTGGTGTCGATATATGTCCTGGGATATGTTTTCGGTCCCTTGATCATCGCACCGGCTTCCGAACACTACGGGCGCCTGCCCGTGTACCATGTCAACACGTTTCTGTTTCTTGCATTCAGCATCGGTTGCGCGAGGTCTACCAGTATCTCGATGTTGATTGTATTTCGCTTCTTGGCCGGCGTGGCTGGCTCCTCCCCCATCACCATCGGCTCAGGCACGATTGCGGATACTTTCAAACAAGAGCAGAGAGGCAAGGTCATGTCGATATGGAGTTTTCCCATTCTTTTTGGCCCGAGGTTGGTTGCTTTTCCCCTTTTCTTTCTTTTTTCACCTTGTTCATTAAATCATACTAACCGAATTCCCACAGTCTTGGACCAGTGGTAGGTTCATATCTGTCGGCCGCCGCTGGCTGGCGATGGGACTTTTACCTAATATCAATTTGCGTGAGACGGCACACCTGGAAAGCCTTGCTAAAATGTCTGCTGACCTCTCTTTTCAGACCGCAATTCTACTCGTACTCACCGTCGTTTGCCAGCGAGAGACGTACCCACCTGTACTCCTCGAGCGAAAAGCCAAGAGACTACGTAAAGAGACCGGCAACTACAAGCTTCGCTCCGCCCTGCAGACTCCCAAGACGCCACGCGAGATGTTTCTATTGTCCATCGTCCGTCCCATCAAGATGTTGTGTTTCTCCCCCATCATCTTCGGGACCTCCCTTTACATCGCCGTCACCTACGGCTACCTCTACCTTTTGTTTACCACCGTCACCTTTGTGTTTGAAGACCAATACGGCATCAGTTCGAGCAACGTTGGGTTGGTGTACTTGGGCACCGGTCTTGGACAGCTTGTCGGCCTCACTGGTTTCGGGTACTTTTCGGACAGGTTACTGAAGAAATGGGCGAAAGGAGGGGAACTCAAACCTGAACTTCGACTTCCTCTCCTGTGGCCCGGAGCGGCCCTGATCCCTTCCGGCCTGTTCATCTACGGCTGGTCGGCGGAGTACAAGGTACATTGGATAGTACCCATCATCGGAACCTTCATCTTCGGGGCCGGGATGATCATCACCTTCATGCCCATCGGCACATATCTGGTGGATTCTTACACCATCTACGCCGCGAGTGCCATGGCGGCGAATACTGTCCTCCGGAGTATCGGCGGGGCTCTGCTTCCTCTCGCAGGCCGTAGCCTATACAAGGCCTTGGGCCTCGGCTGGGGGAACTCGTTGCTTGCGTTCATTGCGTTGGGTATGACACCAATGATCTGGGTCTTTTGCAAGTATGGAGAGAAGATCAGGAAGAGGTTCCAGCTGAACCTTTGATGACAAACGACACGAAATTTGGGCTTTTTGCATTGAATGGCGCTGAAAAACAAGAATTAGATACTGCATATACATACCTAGGTAACACGGAAAACATCAAAGGCGAGAAGGGATGTACATATGCATCATATGAATTGTTTAAAAGATGGTGGCTGTCGTACTCGTAGACGCTGATATAGCAGATGTTCAGGTCATGTGACACCATCTCATCTGTACGGATACGGATACGGAGTACCTTTCGTATCTCATCGGCTAATGCCCGGAGAGGTGCCCGCGTCTCTCTATTCGTTGATGATGACGCCAACCGGACAAGAGCCTAAGTGCCCCTCAGCGCCTCTACCAAGCACCTAGGAATGTGCTCCGAATGGTGGGAGTTCGGGCTTCTTAGGCTATCCTGCGCCTCCTAGAGGCTCCCACTAGACCCAGTGGATGCTCACTTCTCCAACTGCCGCGGTCTCTTTTTTTTCCATCTTTAATGACTCCCACCATGCAGTAGCAAAATGTCGATTCTTTCACTTCCATCCCCAGACAATGCCTTCTAACTAAATTACCTGGCTCACAATACGAAGAGATCAACTAGGTACATATACCACAAACCAATGGACCTCACTTAAAACATCCTGAAGTATCGCAACATCACCTCCAATCCGCATCAGAAATTTTCCACCAGATTGTCCGCCACGATGGTGGTCACAGAGGTCAACGGCAACGAGAGCCGTGCCTCTTTAAAACACCGTCAGTGCCTCCCACCCTTTTGAGCCCCTTCTTTAATATACTGTTGTTATTTTGAACGGCTACTAAATCCCGTAGAGAGTGCCAAATCCCAACCTGAAAACCCTTTCGCCAGCCTTGTTCCCGATCAAAACTATGCCATTGTACCTTCATTCACCCTCGAATCCGGCGTCGTCCTCAAAAATGTTCCCGTAGCATACACGACTCGGGGCCAACTGTCAGAGAACAAAGACAACGCACTAGTAATATGCCATGCGCTCAGTGGAAGCGCCGATGTGGCCGACTGGTGGGGTCCTCTGCTGGGAGGGACCGGGCAAGCATTTGATATGACGAGATTCTTCATCGTTTGCTTGAACAGTCTGGGAAGCCCGTACGGCAGTGCCAGTCCTGTCACCAGCAGAGACGGAGATCCGGAACTGGGGAACTATGGTCCAGAATTCCCTCTGACCACGATAAGGGACGATGTGAAGTGAGTAGTTTGATGCATGCGCCTCGACCAGGTCAGCTAACAAAGATGATTCAGCCTCCACAAGATCGTCCTCGACTCCCTCGGCATCCGGAAGATCGCGTGCGTGGTGGGAGGGTCGATGGGCGGCATGCTTTGCCTTGAATATGCCTACTTTGGCAAGGACTATGTGCGCACCATCGTTCCGATCGCGACATCGGCAACACACAGTGCTTGGGGCATCAGCTGGGGCGAGGCGCAACGGCAGGCCATATACTCGGACCCAAAATATGAAGATGGCTATTACTCCTCCGAGGATCCGCCCACGGCAGGGTTGGGAGCAGCACGCATGTCTGCATTGCTCACCTATCGCAGCCGTGACTCGTTTGAGGCCCGCTTCGGGCGAAATGCACCTGATTTGTCGAAAAGGCAGACGATCGGCCAGGAGAACGGCAACGGAGCACACAACGAACACTGGTCGATTCACAACGACGGTCACAGTCGTGCCAAAGGGTTTCGACCCGGGTCACGCAGCGAAACCCCTTCAGGGTCGAGACCGCCGGATTCCCCGGACGAGGCGCAGACGGCGACTTTCAAAGACCCCCAATTCAGCGGGACGACAGAATACTCGGTGCCTGTACCAGTCCTCAGCCGAAACACCTCACAGCCGACGAGCCATTACTTTTCAGCTCAATCCTACCTGCGGTACCAAGGCAACAAGTTCGTGACTCGATTCGACGCGAACTGTTATATTGCCATTACACGCAAGCTTGACACTCATGACGTTTCAAGAAACCGGGCATCCAGTGTTCAGGATGCCCTGGCGCTCATCGAGCAACCTGCCCTGGTTCTGGGCATAGAGTCTGATGGGCTCTTTACCATCGCCGAGCAGGAGGAGCTTGCCCACGGCATCCCGAACGCCCGGCTAGGGAAGATCGATAGTCCAGAAGGGCATGACGCTTTTCTGCTGCAGTTCGAACAGGTCAACAGCTACCTCCTTGGATTCTTTCGAGAATACCTGCCAGAAATCATGAGCAAACCTGGTGTGGGAGGGGAAAATGGAGAGGTCAAGGATGGAGTTGGCCAGATGACGAAAAGCAGTACATTTGGAGAGGCAGAGATTGGTGACTTGACTGCCTGGTGATGGAGAAGATGAAACGCGTGCGTCACGGAGTACGATCAGGGAAGATGAATCAAAAATCCCGGACTCGATGAGACGGGAAATGTTTCCAAGATACCAGTTCAACTCTGGTTTTAATGGACTTTGGCTTTGCCCGAGCACGAGCGAGCGAGCATTGTATATGAATTGTATCATTGTCGTCGGTTTGAAGGCCGCATTCACAAGATACCCGGAGGAGTATGGAGCGAGTCAACTTAAATATACGGATCTCAAGGGGGGGATATACTCGTCTAGGTGGCGTCATTGCCATGACTATAAGGAGAATAAATTACCTATGCATAGACTGTTGAAGTTGAATCATCCGGATGTTGCATGTTCTAAGGAGAACATCCGTCCACTGCGTACTCCGTGCATAGCTGTCAATTAGGCCTTTCAGGCATTCCAGGGCATAAGAATGACAAGCCTCAAGGACTAGACTAGCGGCAAGGGTCTTGGATGAGCTTGGGGCTATACAAGATCACAGTGCATATAGATATTAGTGCAGATACTACACACGACATTGACTACTCTATCTGCCAAATATCACTCAAAAGCACCATCTACGAGTATTCATTCTCTATGGAGTATGTACTCATACAACATGCATACTGTTCTCCGTTTTGTATGCAATAGGTAAACACATCCCCTCCACTGTAATTCAAAAGAATGTTTCAGCTACGTCGATCCGGCGCCAGAGCCACATCCACTTTGGAACACTTTGGCCTCGTCAGCCTCACGATAGCCACCCACCACCCAGTCCCGGTCTCTCAATCGTCGCTAAGGGTCAGTTTTAGTGCCAGGGTGCCAGTGTCTGTGCCTCAATCAAGTCCCCTGCCTCTTCCATATCCACCAGGGGTCATCGAGAAAGTGTGCACGCCTTAATCCCTATCAGCCAACTTTACAAGCCTCGTGTCCTGCGTCTAAATTCGTCCCCCGGTCATCGCTCAATCCTTTGCGGCGCAGTCGACCTTGGTGTCGCTTCTACTGTACTCGTACACTCCGTTGTCACCCTCTCTTTGTTACTCTTTCATCACCCAACATCCCTTTGTTAAACTGCGACCACGACCAAGCTTGCTACACGACAACCTACTCCGTACCACCTCCTTTCTCTCACTCCTTGACGAATACAGAGCGAACCAACCAACCCTTGCAATTGACGCGACTCGCGATAGAACGCGCTGCCCTCACATCCCTCCGCATACCGATCCTCTAGGTACCCGCCGTGTTACTTACTGTACGGGTATTCCGCACGTCTCTATCGCAAACGCCACCAACACCCCTCCATCTCTCCCTTCCGCTCTCCTCTGCTTCGATGGTCTTGCCATAGAGGTCCCGCCTAAATACCTGAACGGAAGATTACTTTTTTTAAAGAAAAAAAAATACAAACAGCCGTCAAGATGGGCTGGCCAAAATGCAACACGACACTGGAGGATATGACCATCACGGAAGATCCCATATGGCATGACAAGACCTTCCACGACCTTGGTCTCTACCTCGGCGGCATCTTCACCTTCATCGCTGTCGTGGTCTCATTCTTCCTCATCACGATGCATGCGACGCACTACCTGAAACCGTGGGAGCAAAGACACATCATTCGCATCCTCTTCATGGTCCCTGTCTACGCCGCCGTCTCTCTCCTGTCCTACTACTATTACAACCACAGCGTCTACTTTGAGGTCATTCGAGATTGTTACGAGGCATTTGCCATTGCCTCCTTTTTCAGCCTGCTTTGCGCCTATATTGCTCCCGACTTGCACCAGCAAAAGGTCTACTTCCGCACCATCACACCTAGGAAATGGGTCTGGCCCATGGGCTGGTTCCAGAAATGCACAGGGGGCGCCGAAAAGGGCATCTTGAGGACCCCTAGGAGCGGTCTTACTTGGTTCAACGTACGTGGATGAGATTCTTTGTATGAGTTTACAAAACACTGACATCTTCCTATTCTAGGTTGTTTGGGTCTCTGTCTTTCAGTACTGCTTCATTCGCGTCTTTTTCACTCTAGTCGCCGTCGCAACGCAGGCCGCCGACCTTTATTGCTTAGAGTCTCTGAATCCCGCATTCGCCCATATCTGGGTCATGGTATTCGAATCGATCGGAGTCACCATTGCGATGTATTGTCTGATCCAGTTTTATATTCAGATCAAGGATGACATCCGCCGACACAAACCCTTACTCAAAATCACAGCCATCAAACTGGTCATCTTTTTGAGTTTCTGGCAGACGACACTGATCTCTTTCCTGACCAGTTCCGGAGCGATCAAAGCAACCTCCAAAGTCCAAACGCCAGACATCAAAGTCGGCATCCCTGCTTTACTGCTGTGTATTGAAATGGCGTTTTTCTCCATCTTCCACATCTGGTCTTTCAGCTGGAAACCCTATACCCTCGGGTCCAAAGAATTGATGGCAGAGGCGGTCCCCGGAGACCGGCTAACGTATCAGGGCGGTTTCTTGGGTGTAAAGGCCATGTGGGATTCATTCAATGCTTGGGACATGCTGAAGGCCACGGGTCGATCCGCACGATGGCTCTTCAAAGGTCGCAAGCACCGCCACAACGATGTCAGCTACGACATGACCCGCAAGAACACGACAGGGAGTGATTATACCGAAAGCCAGAAATTGTCCAACTTCAACGGAAATACCGCGTATACTGGACCGGCTCAACCGCCTCGTTATGGAGGAGAAGAAGGTGATAATCTGCTTTCGAATAGCCAAGGCATGCCCATGTCACGACCTGGCGTACCTAGAAGAGACAGCGATCCTAATGAGGCGCCCATGTATTACGAACAGGGTGACATTGGCATTGCGACGACGACGTATGATGACAAGTACACACCACAATATTATCCGCCACCGCCGCCGCCGCCGCAGCAGCAGCAACAACCACCACAACAACAACCACAACCACACTACTATCCCCAATATGCACCTTATCCGGGTGCAGGTGGCCAAGAGAGCGGTGTGACGACGGCTCCTTATCCACATTCGATACGAGAACCGACAGGGCAACAGGGCAACAATAGAGATAACCGAATATCAATGCCTTACATGCCACCACCTCGAAGTCCGCAACCACAATCATACCCCTACCCGCCGCATGACAACAACAACAACAGGGACAACTTTTTGTAAAAGTAAACTGAGTTTCGGGCTTTCCTCTTTTGATACTTTCTGTATACTTTCTGTATATAAAAAGGACGAAAAAGGGAGGAGGAACATGACTTTATGAACATGACAAGATATTAATGTGTTTGGAAAATTCTTTCGCCTGGTAAGGGGCAACTCAGGAACTGAGTTCATTGTGCCATGACTTTAGGTACCTTTTGTGGATGTGAATAGGACTATTCTGAATATAGGTATCTATATTTTGTGCCGAATATATACATATGGAGTTTATAACAAAGTATACTTGGAATTGTTCCCCATATTCACCGTCATAGACAACGTTGTATTGTACTCGGGAACTCGTGGTTTGACAAGAGTCAACTACCTAGGTACGGAGTATATACAAAACTTATTGCAGAAAATTCGAGTAAGCAGCGTACTCTCGAAAGCCTTGCATTTTTTTTGTTTCTGCTTTGTGCAACTGCAACTGTACTGCTAACAATCCAAAAAAAAGAAATCCATTCTCACCAGTTATGTGAACCATTTGTGGTTTTGGTTTTGGTTTTGGTTTTCTGGGGAATACAACAAGTATAGGGCCCCTTTTCATCATTCCATCTACACAAAGAGAACCATCACCCATCATCATCACGTCATGCCCTGGTGGGTCGTAACCCTCACAGCTTACTCTTGGTGGCGTCGGGGGTGGCGCAACAAGAATCCTCTCCGACCTTGATCTCCGTCGCGGGTTGACGGTGCATCTCACTCACCAAGGTGGACTGGTTGAAGTTTTGTTCCGAGGGGGGCACGTCCAGGGCCGGGTTCTTGTCGAAGAAGTTGACCGGTTTCAGGCTGACCTTGAGGATCTCGCACGGCATGACGGGGAAGTCTTCGATGCGGGGGACGTGGTTGATGCCGAACTGGACCCAGACGACAATGTCCTGGTCCTTGACGCTGTCCCGGCGGGCCGCGAAACTTCGGACCCCCGTGCCTCCCCGCGACTGGTTCGTGTACCAGCCTCCCGAGTACAGCTCCCGGTCCCGGTGGGTGGTGACGTAGATGTTGTGGTCGGCGAACTCGGCCCGCTTGAAGTGGAACGAGGACGGGTCGGCGAGCATCTTCTGGAAGGGGGGCGCGTGGATCTTGTACGCCACCGGCTTCCCGTTCACCGGGTTGCGCACCTGGGAGTTTTGGATCTTGAAGACCCGGTTGGCGTCGGGGTTCAGGTCCAGGCCGCCGGCGGTCTCGACCACGGTCTCGGCGACGCTGTAGGCCACCCCGTGGGGGTTCCACTCCGGGTCGACGGGCACCGCGTGGGCCTCGTCGTACGCCAGTCGGTTCCGGTGGCCCTCGAGCATGGGGTCGATGCGCAGCGAGAAGATGTGCTGGTGGTGGACCGCCAGCACGCCCGGGTGCACCACGGTGCCAAAGGGGACGCCGGTCCGGTCGAGCTCGTGGTCGATGGGCTGGGTCGACAGGATGCCCGTGGCCCGGACCTCATAGGCGACCTCGCCGGCCTGGTTGAACATGAAGGCCAGGATGTACTCGTAGTTGGACACGGTGATGATGCTCTGCAGGACCAGCTCGCGGTTGCGGACCACGGCCGCCCGGCCCGTGCGGTAGTTGGTGTGCTTCCAGCCGATGCCCGCGTCCTGCTCGTGCACGCACACGCAGTTCTCGACCGGGGTGGGGGCGCCCTTGTCGTCGGCGATGACGGACGAGATGTACTGGATGTGGCCCAGGCAGTCGCAGCCGAGCTTGAGGTTGTTGGCCATGGCGCCGGCGCCGGCGTCCCCCAGGTCGTACGCCGACTTCTTGTGGTAGGGGTGCCGGGGGTCGGCGTAGGGGATGTTCATGTCGGACAGCGACAGGCGGTAGAACAGAGGGCGGGAGTCGTAGCGCACGTCGTACAGCACCATGCCCTCCCGCTGGTTGAAGCCCACGCGGAACGACCACTTCTGCCACTCCAGGGTCTGGCCCGTCTCGCCGGTCGGGGTCATCTTGAACGACGCTCCTTCGGGCTGGACGACCCGGAGGGGCTTGACGTCCTGCCGAAGGTGCGGCTGGGCCTCTGAAATGTACTCGTTGGCCGGCACGGCCTCGTACGGCCGTGGCTCGCGGATGGTGTTGTCCGCCCCCGTGGGGAGGTAGTCGATGCGGATGACCTTGTAGTCGTTGCACTCGATGACCGGAGAGATGGGGAGTGGGAAGGCGTAGTGGTTGCTGTCGAGCTCGTCCGGGTTGGCGGGGTCCCTCATGTACAAAAAGACCTGGTACAGCCGCTCGTCATCGTTGATACCGTCAGAGCCTGCCCGAGCGAGGTGTGCGATCAGCAAACGACAAACCAAACCAAAAACATGGGACGAAAAACTTTCGAGGTAAAAAAAACTTACCGTAAATCCAGGGATCGGCACAGACGACCGTGCCGGCAGGCAATTGGAGCTTCTTGAGAGCCTCCTTGACGCCTTCATCTTCGAGGGCGTTTTTCTCGACCTGGAGAATCTCGTCGTAGTCTCCATTGCCGTGCATGTTGGGACCCAGTCGGACATTGCTCTCGACTTTGCCGGCTGTCAGATTGACGACGGCCTCGTGGAAACGATCCTATCAGGGGTAGAAAGAGAGAGTGTGTGTGAGCATCAGGCAAATCCACAGGGCCCCCCGTCGTGCCCAAAAACAGGGAGGGGACTTTGCTTACTGTGTTGCGGATATAATATGACACAAAGGACTTGCGGGGGATCGGCGGAAGTGGTGCACCGCTGTGTTCGGCCTCGAGATAAGGAACCATGGACTTCTTCGCAGGCTCATCGAGTGTGATGACCTTGAAACGTAGGTCGACCGTCGACGGCCATACTGACCTCAACAGATCAGCGGTGGTGGAAATCTCCGCCGCGGTCAAAGGGCACAGAGGGTGAGGGACAGAGGTTTTGGCCGTTGCCGGCGTGCTCGAGAAATCCTGTGCCACTGCTGCCATTTTTTTGATGGGATGTGTATTGATGAGGGGAAAAGGGCAGAGCCAACAAAGGGGACAACGAATATATATAGAGGGTCGTTGAAGTACTGATACAGGAAGCCAAACAAAGCGGGGACCCTGGATGAGTCTGGCCTGAGATAAAGCCAGTCAGAGGTCACGATAAGAAGATGGCGCCGAGATGGCGCCAATGAGGGGGAAAACCGCGCGGTGGGAGCGGAACAGGTACAAGCGACCAAGACACACAGTAGGAACTTTATGGCTACCCGTAGCAACTGATGCGTAGTGGAGAGAAAGGGAAACGGAGATGGTGAGTGAGAAGAGACTGTGCTCTCTGTCTGGGTCGAGCGGAGGAGGATCCAAAAGAGGGTCCGAGAGAGGAACGTCCCAAAAAGGAATGAGAGATTGGGGAGAGTGCGGAAAAGACATGATAGTGATGGTCATCATCAACAAGACACTTGGGGATGATTTGCTCCGTACAAAGTCCTTCGTATTACTGCTGGTAATTACCTATGGATTGGATCCTTGATGGGCAGGCTGTTTGTCATTGATTCCAACATTTCGTATATCAGCTACTCGGTCCCCTCTAACATGTATCGTGGCGTCGCTAACCTGCAACCAGAAATCCCAGCCGAACGCACCATACAATAGACATGTCGGTGATCATCTCGGTGCTCAACTGCTCCACCCAGCACAAGGTCCCAAGTCGCCCTTGTCCGCCCACATTTGCATAGACTTGATATCCAACCATCTGGTGGCCATCCAACCAATACGCCTGAAGAAACGCTCTAGGCGCCTTTGCCTCTGTTGCCCGATTAGTACATCAACAGAACGTCTTCTCGTGTTTGAACACCAGAGAAAGAAAAGAACCTTACAGGAATCGAGTCAGGTACCGAGGCCGTGTTTGCTCAGCTTCGCCCATGTTGCCTCCCCAGAGATCCTTGAGCGTCCATCTCGCTTCTCTGTCGGCGAGACTGATCTTTGAGCCCACGACGAACCATCCGCTGCCGCAATCCAAGACTTCCGCGAGGCCGACGTCGTGCGGTGGGTGAGTCCCAGGGACCTTGTCACAGTCTAGTTGCATGATCAGTTCCTGCATGGTCATCGAGCACGGTGCCGACATGACGCGAAACGGCTCGGCGGTCTCTGGAGGAATGTAAAACTGCCCGTAGCAATTGGGCTGGTACTTGGACAGGATGTTGTTGTTCCAAAGGTGAAATGTCGTGTTGTGCTTCGGAGCGACGTATCCCGTGCCTCCACTGTCTTTCAACACCACGAGTCGGTCCTTGACTCGGTTCCCACTGACCGGAGGCTCCGGTGGTTGGCATGCAGCTTGACCTACAGCAGCGGCGAAATTGTACGCCGGAGCTGGAGGAGGTGCCGGCGCGGGTGCTGGAGCAGAGGGCACCGGCGGCGGGGGAGGAGGCGGTGCAGGTCCCGGCGCCGGAGCAGGGGCAGCAACACCTGGAGCTGGAGCTGGACCTTGGAACCAGAATCCAGGACCTGGCGGCGGCGCGGTCGGGGCTGGAGGTGCTGGCGGCGCAGCATTCTGGAAACAGACTGCTCCTGGAAACCCTGGACCAGGTGGAATGAAGAATGCGGGCCCCGACGGTGCAGTCGGTGCTTGGGGTGGTGCTGCCCATAGACAGTACGGCGGTGGAGGACCACCCGAGGGCGGTTGCGAGGCTGCCGGTGGGCTGGGTGGTTTTCCTTGGTTTGGAGGACCGCCGTCCTTTGTGAAGTAACGATACTCGACCTTTCCTGTCAACCCAGGAGGTGGTGCTGGCATAGCCCAGGGAGGAGCGATGCCTGCCATTGGGAATTGCGGATCGACGTTTTCTGGCTTCTCGACGGACTAGATCCTGCTAAACGTCCACGAGAGGACGATTTCTTCAGACTACCTGATCGAGAGAGATATGCAGAGTAGCAGGCAGACGGCCATATTTGTAGACAAAACGACGGCACATTCGTCCCAGCGATCACCCAGCGTGACTGCGACATCTTGACTGCTACCAAACGACTGAGCCGCGTTCGCTAGGACCGATGGTCGTATTGGAATGACTCGAGTGAGAACATTGACGCAGACAAACAGTACCGATGGTGTGTAGCTAGAGGTTACATGAAGGTAAAGAACAAGAACTGACCGGGGAATGCAAACAGGTTCCACGAGATGATCATTAATCTATCCAGCCGCAACAACGGCGAGGCCTTCGTAGACCTTTTGCTTCACTCTCGTAAAATTATCTGCCGTACTGGGACTCATCGAAGTCACGCTGATTGGGGCACCTTCAACGATAATTTTTCCGCTACCGAGTTTCTTCACTGCAATCATGCCATCCACAAGCAAGGTGCCTTCGCCTCGGAATTCTGCCGTGTGCCCATCCATGGCAATGATACGCCTGAGTTCGGCGAGGCGTAGGTCTCCAACATGAATAGCCTGAGACACTGATCTTGTCGAGGCAGCCAAATTGGCCGGTAAAACATCGAGAACCGGTTGGACCGAAATACCTGGCTGGGGTGTCGTTTGTAGAGACGCCTCAGTGTCGATTTTCTGCTTCTTCGATTGTGGATCGTCCTCGACATCCGTTTTCTGCTCCCCTTCAGCCTTCAACTGACCTTGGATAGTGACAACGCCCATGCTCTTGACATTCTGCCACCGCAGCGTTTTGGCAAGCTCTCTACTCAACTTCACAACCCAGGCATTCGTATCGACACTGGCATCGATGGTTTGACCCTCATGAGGTGTAAAGATCTCGGTCGACGTTTCCTCCTCCGTACCCACAACTTTCATGCCCAACAGCTCTTTGCAGTCTGATGCAAGAGCTAGCGTGTCCGACGGATTTCCACTCGTGAGGATGAGTTTCTTGGGTCCGATGAGAGGTATCAGCATCTGGAGGCTGCGCTGATCGTGCAATCCGGCAAAGTCAACGAATGCTAGTCGAGCATTGACGGTGATTTCGGATATGGAGTACACGATCTTTGTCGGGCCCTGGGGTCCTTCAGTTTCCAGATGTCCCTCCACAACGGACTCGTCGCTGTCAGATTCATCCCCAGAATCGGCCGCGCTTGCAGGGCCACCCTGGCGTGACCGCTTCTGATGTGTCTCCCGTGCATTGTCTGCTTCACTCCACTTTCGCTTTTGTCCTAACAGACCATTTGTCTTGCTGTCAGGTTGCGCGTCTTGCTCTTCCTTTTCCTCTTCACGCAGGAAGTCTTCGGGCTTGATAAAGTCTCCGAATTCGTCGCCACGTCGCCGTGTGTGGGTATAAGGGAACACGGCATTTCTTCCCCTTTTATTGCGCACATCATAATCGTACACCGCTTTTTTTCGTAGCAAGACGTTGATACCAAGATCTTCGTCAGTAAGAGCTAGCTTGTTTCGAGCGCCATGGCCAAGCGCGGAGGAAACATTCAGGACGCGGCCCTGCTGTTCATCCTCCGACTCTTCTTCCGATGAGGTACTTGACTCGTCGTCCAAATTGTCGTCCACAGCACCTTGGTCTCGTTCGTTCGCGGCTAGAGAATCTTGAATTTGTCTCTGAGTGGCCATATACTCTTGATATCTTTGGCTCTCTTGTGTGCTCAAAGAAGCCTTTTCTGCGTGTCGAAGCTTGAGCATCCTCCCTCCACTGTGTACCTGCTCCAGTTGCTCGCCATCAGGGGTCTTCTCAAGGGCTACACCATCTTGACGCTGTTCAAACCAAGACCAGAAAATCTGACCCGGACTAGGAGTACCAGGCCGCACTTCCACCTTCTCAGTAAAGAGGAGAAGATTCTCCGGTCGTTGCACCATATGCTCCAATAAAGAACGGGAGAACCCCCAGTCCAGGCTTACATCACTCGCAAGGATGACGCGAGGCCCTTCGACTTTTAATAGCTTTTCGAACTGACTCTTGCGTTCCACAATTTTCACATTCTGAAACTCGAATGGCCTTGAAGATTTAGAGGTGCCATTGGTTTGCTTGCTGCCATTTCTGCGATGAGTCTGTGTTTGATTCTCGTCCTCTCCTTCAAATTCCCGAACAATGCTGTCGTCCATCCATTCAAGCAAACTCCTAGCATGGCGCAGAGTTGCGTTGCCAGACCGACTTGCCAGGTACACCTTCGCACCTTTGAGCATAGGATCAGCCCAAGCCTTTTCGAGAATCCATGCCAACTCCAAGACCCGAGCACTCGAATCCGTCGGGATCAAAACAGTCCCTCCCTTGACGATACTGCTCTTAATATGTCCCAGCAATGCGTCGTCTCTTGCTTTGCGGCCAGCAGCCAAGCCAGCTTTGGCAGCGCCGATGCTGCTGCAGACCAGCGCTGTCGGCTTGCGCAACTGCTCAATAACTTCGGCACCTCCTACTCCTCCAAACCATGCTGCTCCCGCGATGACATTTTCCCTAGCTTGATTCCAATCTACCGCATAGACTATTGATTCCATTCCATATTGTATGTGCCATATGGTTCCACCGAGAGTGTGTCCCGAGTTGTACGCAGTCAATGTAAGTCCTTCTATCGGCGCTGAGAAGTGCGAGGGTGTGGGCTGATGAGGCTGCGAGTATTTCAGAGGTGTAATGAGGGTGAAAAACTTGTTGATCTCTTCGAACGTAGGGGCTTGTCGGAGAATGTGGGATCGAGACTTGTCGTCGGCACTGGAATCGTCGTCTGGGGAACCTGAGCCGGGAATGAACGTGGCGGCTAAGGGTGTTGAAGAGTAAAGATCTTGCAGTAGAGTGCGACCAAACGCGATCACCGGCGGAGTGGCGTAGACAGGAATCTGGGAGAAGATGGGGATATGCTTGCAACAGTGTGCAAAGGCACCAATATGAGAAGTAGTGGCATGGGTGAGGAGGATGAAGGATAACGTTGATGCATGCTTTTCTATCTCGGCTAATTGACGAGTATCGAATCTCTCATCCCAACCAACATCGACAAGAATTTTGACTCCCCCATCCAACTCAAGAATGGATTGTGAAGCTCGAGAGTTGCTCTGAGCCCCGAGCAAGGGCGTGAAAGTGAACATGGCTACGCGTCATCGAAGGTAGGAATGAGGACTGCAGACGTGTTGAGGGCTTGTTAAAGATTGCCAGAAGGCTTCGCGCGATCGTACATGGGGAACATGAGGATAGATACTGGGATTTGTCGAATTGTAGAGATGTTCGCGGTATGGACTTCTAGCATTGATAGACAAACCGCAGTTTCGAGTCTGGGGAGATCGTGCCAAGGCATCGCTTAGTCATTCAAGTACCTCACCAGCCTTGCGTCTCTTGAGTTCACAGCCTCGTCAGACTGTACAGAGGTACTCAACGGCGGTGGCACTACGCAGACACGAATACGCACCTTGTACGGAGTACTCTGTACACTGTACGGAGTACGGAGTACTAAGTTCGTACGGAGTATAGAGAACTCCTTGTCCGTACTCCATGCTCTTCGTAACGTGAACCCAGTCATGCGTATTCAGAGACAGTGACATCCTCTCTAGGCAATCTTCGCGAAGGTTTACGTGTAAGGCGGGAGGTGGTCGGCCCCGAGACGAGGTTGAGCCCGAGGGGAGAGATCGTATTCGCATTCCCCATCGGCGTCAAAGTAGGCACCCACATATGAAATACTATAGTACAGATACTCTGCGTCAATATGAGGGAGTCATAATGTGAGTCACCTCGTGTTGCTTCCGCATTCGTGTCCGTGCCACGTTTTTGAAGGCCAACTTGTTGATAACTACCACCCGCTTGTTGTTGTTGCATAAAATTAATTGTGCATTTTCGGACTGAGCATATGTATGGAGTCTGGCCTTAACTACGGTAACCTATCCTGGCAAAGGGAACGAGATACGCAAGATGGCGAAGTGACTGGAGATTTAGGCATGAGATCTAGTGAGCTTCGAGCCTGTAGCTGTCCAGAGATTGGGGGTAAATGTCAGCCTAGGTGCGGCGCTGCGTACTCGTATGTTCAATCAGGGCCCAATCTTAGCGAGCCTTAACCGAAACCGAACTGCGTGGGGTCTTTTCCAGGCCTTTTGTACGGAGTACGGAGGACAAACAATAGGCCGTTGCAGCGTGATGGAGTACCTACTGGAGTAGTCATCCGTACTCGTATCCACGCCTATTGCCGCCTGTTGTTTTTTGTGCTGCTACGCGAGGCTCACTAGGCACACCTGCATCTCTGTTCCGCACCTGCGACCTTCATCTACTAATAAATAGTACCACTTTCTCATGACCCGTACATTCGTGCATATACTTGTACAAACATTCAATTCTTGCTTCGGACTCCGTATTCTTCGACTCTCGCTTACCTCTTGTGCATCTTACCTTACCGACACATCGTATCGCGTACTCCGTACAAATTTCCATAACACTCTTGCGGCCACACCAAATATCCTTTCTGCATCCTTCACCTTAATAGAGTCAACACCTGACTCTTCTGCCGTCAACAACACAGACATATTTCTAGAAGACCACGCCCATTACGACATGCAGAGATAGGACAAAGTACCTCGAAGAGGTTTCCCATTCCGCAATAAGCAAAATATGAACCCAAGCGGTCAGGGAGAATTGCCCGCCGGCGCATCAGCCTTCCAAGAGAACTTAGAAGAAAAGCAGAGAGCAGAGCTGGGTATTGCGACTGATCAGGAGAAGGATGTAGGGTTGTCACAACACATTCCATCGACACCGACACAGACCTCTCCTGGGTCCCCCGCAGGCTCTCTCAACTCACCGGCGTCTTCGTCGTCGAATGCAGAAACTCCTCCAGACCTCAGAAAGTATGATTCCAAGATTGTTCAGGTACGAGATGTCCCCGAGGGAGACGCCGCTCTTGCGCACTTGCCGGAAGATGAGCGGGAAGTGTTGAGGAAACAATTGGCGACACCTGCTGTTCAGGTGACGTACAAGAGTCTATATCGATATGCCACTAAATGGGACATGGTTTTTATTGTTATAGCTGCGCTCGCCGCCATTGGGGGCGGAGCTGTTATGCCGCTGATGACCGTTATTTTCGGAAATCTCAGTGGTTCCTTTCAGGGACTGGTCCTGGGCAATCTCTCTGAAGACTTCGACTCCATACTCGTTCGCTATGTGCTATACTTTATCTACCTTGCCATCGGCGAGTTCTGTCTCATTTACACCTCAACGGTTTTGTTCATCTATACTGGCGAGCACATCACGGCCAAGGTCCGAGAACAGTACCTCAGGGCGATCCTTCGACAGAATATCGGCTTCTTCGATAAAATCGGGGCCGGAGAAGTGACCACACGTATCACTGCCGACACAAATCTTGTCCAAGAGGCTATCAGCGAGAAGGTTGGCTTGACCCTAACAGGTGTGGCCGCTTTCTTTGCCGCATTTGTCATTGGCTTCGTCAAATTTTGGAAACTTACGTTAATATGTATGTCGTCGGTGGTTACTATTGTTGTCATCATGGGTGCTGGTGGTCGCTTCATGGCTGGATGGAACAAGAAATCTCTCGACTCTTACGCTGTGGGTGGATCCGTGGCAGAAGAAGTGCTAGCGTCCATCCGCAATGCGGCTTCATTCAACACTCAAGATAAGCTGGCCAGAAGATACGATGTACATCTCCAGGAAGCCAGACGGTGGGGCGTTCGCAGCAAGGGAGCTCTAGCCTGCATGATTGGAACCCTCCTCTGCATCATCTTCTTGAACTATGGACTGGCCTTCTGGATGGGTTCACGTTTCCTCGTGTCAGGCGAAACAACCCTTGCTCATATCCTTACTATCATCCTCGCCGTTATGATTGGTGCATTCTCATTCGGCAATGTAGGACCAAATATTCAACACTTCGCAGCAGGCGTGGCGGCCGCCGCAAAGATATACGGTACTATCGACAGAGACTCGCCCATAGACCCATTGTCCGAGGATGGTGAAAGACTGGAAAATGTCCAAGGCACTGTGGAGCTTCGAAACATCAAGCACATCTATCCTTCTCGTGCTGAAGTCGTGGTCATGGAAGATGTCAACCTAGTCATCCCTGCAGGAAAGGTCACCGCTTTAGTTGGCGCTTCTGGAAGTGGCAAATCTACAATTGTTGGCTTGGTCGAACGATTCTACGATCCTGTGGGTGGCAAGGTTTTCCTCGATGGACACGATATCAGTACATTGAACCTGCATTGGCTTCGCCAGCAGATTGCTCTGGTCCAACAAGAACCGATCTTGTTCAGTCAAACCATCAGAGAGAATATTAGAAATGGTCTCATCGGTTCACCATACGAGAACGAGCCTGAAGAGCAACAAACAGAACGTATTTACGAAGCAGCTCGGAAAGCGAACGCCCACGATTTCATCTCTACGCTTCCGGAGGGATATGAGACTCACGTCGGCGAGCGGGGGTTCTTGTTGTCAGGTGGTCAGAAGCAACGTGTCGCAATTGCCAGGGCAATTGTCAGTGATCCGAAGATTCTTCTTCTAGATGAAGCAACATCGGCTCTGGACACTAAATCCGAAGGGGTGGTCCAGCACGCGTTAGAAGAGGCGTCCAAAGGTCGTACTACTATCGTCATTGCACATCGCTTGTCGACAATCAAAACTGCGGACAATATTGTCGTAATGCAGGCCGGACGCATCATCGAGCAAGGCACTCATGACCAGTTATTGGAACTGAAGAAGGCATACTATAACCTAGTATCTGCCCAGCGTATCGGTGGAGATGATGAAGACCAGTCCGAGAACGAAAAAGGGACTGAAATGAGTGACGACGAGCTGCTTCGTGTCCAATCGTCGAAATCTGGCCGCAATCCGATGATCGATCCTGAAGACGAGAAGCTCGCTCTCGGCAGAACAAGGAGCCAGAAGTCGGTCTCCTCCAACGTGCTCGCAGACAGATCGTCTGGACGTGAGCCAGTCTACTCTCTATGGACGATCATGAAATTCATCGCGAGTTTCAATGCTTCGGAGTGGCTGATTATGTGCGTTGGTTTCTTTTTCACCGCAATCGCCGGCGCTGCACAACCCGTTCAGGGTATTTTCTTTGCAAAGTCGATTGTCGCCTTGTCTCAGCCTTTGACTATGCGTCATCAAATCCGCCACGATATTAATTTCTGGTCGTTGATGTACTTGATGTTGGCTTTCGTTGACCTCTTGGCGATGGTAATCCAGGGAATTGCATTCGCATATTGTAGCGAAAGCCTTATTCAACGAGCAAGAGATGGTGCTTTCCGGAGATTCCTCCGACAAGACATTGCTTTCTTTGACGAGGATCAGAACTCGACTGGTGCATTGACGTCCTTCCTCTCGACTGAAACGACGCACCTCTCATCGATTTCTGGAGCGACATTGGGCACTCTGATCAGCTGCACTACAACGTTGGTCGTGGCCATAGCGATTTCTCTGGCAATCGGTTGGAAGCTCGCTCTAGTCTGCATGACTGCTCTTCCCGTTATCCTCGGGACAGGTTTCTTCCGGTTCTGGACCTTGGCCAGATTCAGTGCGACTGCTCAGAAAGCTTATGAGAAGTCCGCCGGATATGCTTGTGAACACACCAATGCTATTCGCACGGTGGCTTCACTGACCACGGAACGGGAGGTCTACGACGAGTACAAGAGGCAGCTTCGACTTCAGCTTCGTGCATCCCTCAAATCGAATCTCCGCAACTCATCTCTATACGCAGCTTCTCAATCAGCAATGTTCCTTGCTTTCGCCTTGGGTTTCTGGTATGGAGGAAAGCTATTGGTTCGTGGCGAATACACGTTGTTCCAATTCTTCATTGTCTTCTCTGAAATCATCTTTGGCGCACAATCAGCCGGGACCGTCTTTTCCTTTGCGGGAGACATGTCAAAAGCTAAGAATGCCGCTGCGGCACTAAAGAAACTGTACGATCGCCAGCCGAGCATTGATCCATGGTCCATGGACGGCGAGAAGATTACGGACGTCGAAGGCACCATTGAATTCAGAGATGTACACTTTCGCTATCCGACGAGACCCGATGTGCCCGTGCTTCGTGGTCTTAATTTGACCGTCAAACCTGGGCAGTACATTGCGCTGGTAGGACCTTCTGGTAAGTGCCTGTGTCTCGAGAGTACCATTCAGAACTAACGACGATCAGGATGCGGCAAGTCCACAACAATCGCGCTCATGGAGCGATTCTACGATCCCCTCTCGGGCGGAGTGTACGTGGATGGCAAGGAAATCTCATCACTCAATCTTACCGACTACCGATCCCACCTCGCTCTTGTGTCGCAAGAACCTACCCTGTATCAAGGAACGATCAAGGAAAACATCTTGCTGGGTGCTGACAGAGGCGAAGTCAGTGACGAATTGATCATCCAGGCTTGTAAAGACGCCAACATTTATGACTTTATCATGTCTTTACCGTAAGTGTTTCGTTTTTGCTTTTCCTGACTTGTTGCTAACATATTCAGTGATGGCTTTGCCACGGATGTTGGCAGCAAAGCTGCTCTTCTCTCGGGTGGACAGAAGCAGCGAGTAGCGATTGCACGAGCCCTTCTGCGTGATCCAAAGATTCTCCTCCTGGATGAAGCGACGTCAGCCCTTGACTCTGAATCAGAGAAGGTAGTACAAGCCGCCCTCGATGCGGCCGCCAAGGGAAGAACGACAATTGCTGTCGCCCACAGACTGAGCACCATCCAAAAAGCCGATATCATTTATGTGTTTGATAAAGGTGTTATTGCAGAACAAGGAACACATCACGAGCTCATGGCATTGAAGGGTCGATACCGAGAGCTGGTCAGTCTTCAAAGCTTGGAGAAACAGCGGTAATAGTCTGCGCCATTGGTCATTTTCTTGATCTAAGGACAAGATGACTACACACGCACCGAAGCTCTCCATCAAATAGACGACGCTCTAACAGCCGATTGGACCGTACCGTCGACAGACCACAGCATGCAGACATCGTTTCTAGTTGGAAATAGAGCGCAAAGTCTTGTAGTGGTTCACACACTCTCTGCTCCTTTGGATAGAGCACTCAGTGTATCTTGGATAGCCGGGGTAGAAAGAGGTGGTAGGAAAGACGGCCACTGATCAAAACCGCACTTTGGAGATGGTCAGAGAGGTATTTGTACAATTGTACTCCATGCGAAGAGATGGCCTTGCTTGTGAGGTCCACTCATCCTAGTAATCATAGACCTTTGAAATAGATTTGTCTCAGGGAGGTCAACTTTACTAATCATCATCATATTGTTGTTTCATGTCGTCCTGTGCTTCCATCATCAATCAATCAATCAATCAATCGTCCTCGGTCAGACCGTGGTCGTCCATGACTTCAGCCAGGCGTCTCCCTTGCTTCTCGGCCAGAATGGACAACATGCCCATTGCGACGTCTTTGATTTGGTTATATTCTTTGAGGAGAGAAATGTGGTCGGAAAAGACACGATCGACGTATTGTGATGCGGCTCGTTGTTGAGATGATAAAGATGTTGAGGTTGTTGAGACACTTGTTGAGCTCGAGAATGATGATGTTGTTGTTGCCGACGACGACGACGACGTTATCGACGTGGTCGTTGATGTGTTTGACTTGAACGACGGCAACTCCGAGATTTGATCAAGAACTTGGGAGAGTCGGGTCTGGGTGGACAAGATGTTGGACTTGATTGTCTCGTCCATACTTTTGTAGGTAGTGATTTCGATCTGTTCTGTTCGTGGGACTGCAGACGACAAACGCTAAAAAATAAGAAACAGAAAGAAAAAAGAAAGAGAAGTTGTTTAATGTACAGTATGTTTATTGGAGCAGGGGTATTTAAAATACCTTGTGTTCACGGAGTAACTTGATTCTCAAATATTTTTTGACAATCATAACGAATGCTCCGAACCGAGTCCAATAATTTAGGTACTGACGTTGTCCATACCGAGTATATACAACCAGAAGTATTATTTATTGCTTGAGGAACTTTGGAAATTCCTCCGAATACTAGAATTAAACTACTCTGATTAAAATATAACAGTCGTCATATGAGATGCTTGACTTGATCTCAAAGAGGCACTACATCGGACAGTACCTACTAGTACGTACCTAAGATGGGCAAATATCACGATTATCTTATCAGAGGTACGTACCCCGTTCTCTGTGGTAACACTTGAATATTGTACCTTTGAATTAAACCATCATCACCGTTTTCGTCGATGCAATATATAAAACCTACAATATGCACGAACACTCAAGAAGTACAACGCGCCTCGTGCCGGCACTAGGGACATGATTTTCTAGAAATCACAACTTCGACCTTTGCACGACGGCCTGATAGTCGTCGACTCGCTTCCTTGCTTCCAAGTCTCTGCGATTGCGATCCAGGTCTCTGGCGGCCAAAGTTTTGGGGGCTTGACTGCCCTCGTCCAGATCCTTGACAACTTCACGGTACATTTCCTCCTTCATCTTCCCGTACGACTTGCCTTGGGCCTTTTGGGTGAGCTTCATCTCCCCGACGAAGGCCAGCGTCTCGTCGACGCCACCCACGCCGTCGATGATGCCCTCTTTCAACGCCTCCAGGGCCGGATACCTCTTGCTCTCGAGGACCATGTTCCGGAAGGTGGTCATGCTCAGTTTGACCCGGAAGACGGCAGCCATGCTGGGTTGGAGGTTCGCACCGAAGTCGAGCTCGTTCAGGCACACGAAACCCTTGTGGGGGTTCATGATGCGATAGTCGTGCATCATTGCCGTCATGAGGCCACCCGCGAACGCTGTGTCACGACGGAAACACAATGTCAGTGACAATTCCAGGAAGGCGGATATTTTTTTTTGCCACGAAATAAAACGTAGAGAACAAACCAAGGACTCACCATGTCCATTCATCAAAGCAACGGTCGGCATGGGATAGGTAATGAGTCTCCTCCAGAGTGGATACAGGCTGCCGGGGAAAAAGTTGGGGTCTCGAATGGCATTCTCAAAGTCGAGACCGTTGGAGTAGAACTTTGGGATCGAAGACGTGGTGACGACGACCCCCTTGGGCAACTTGTGTTCGATGATGTCCAGTGCGAGAAGAAAGGTCTCGTTGAAGGCGGGGGTGAGGCGATTGTCGGGCGGGGACGAGAATGAAAGCAGATAGACCTGCGGAGCGGCCTGTGTACAGATGAAGCTCCCTTGCTGTTGAGTCGCCGAAGTGGCCGATGATGGAGGGATCGGGAGGACAAACAATGGTGGTATCGGAGGCATTTTTGATGGATCTGGATCTGGAGTTCAAGAGCGTCTTGAGACGTACAAGGAGTACGAAGTATCGAAAAGTCACACACGAAGGGGAATGTTACTGAATAAGAGAGAACAACGTTGAGTAGAAAGCCGTCGTCGTTACTTTTGTATCAATGAGATTAAAATCATGGTATATCCGAAATCGTGATTACTTAGTCGATGAGGCACCGAGGTTGTTTCTTGAGCTCTAGACGGACTCGGAAGGGAAAGTGACGAATGATACGGAGTACGAGAGGAGTAGCTGGCATGTGCTGGAGTTACGGAGTACCGGAGTACGAACTAAGAACTAAGAATTTAGGTAAGCCCAGGTCCCTGTAACGGAGTATGGAAAAACAGTTTACTCGTAGTCAGACCGTGGCCTACCTACTTGTACCCAAGGTACGGAATAGGTGAACGCTGGACAATAGGAAACTAGCTAGGTACTCGCACTCGTACGAGGAGCACTGAGTGGCTGAGATTGGTTCTTGTCCAACTAAGAAATTGAACAAAGTCACCACAGTTCCCTACGTACTCATACTCGGATGTGGTTATTTTTAGGTGGCATTACCTACTGTATGTTGAGTGGTCCAAAAGTACTCCTCCCTATTGAGGCTCTTGAGTGTGACTCCTTCGGGGGCTCTCGTGCCCGTGGCAAGCAACTTAACAGGCCAAGGCCCATTTATTGCCCTCCACCACCTAAAACTACGCCTAGCGAGCCCACAATCCCACGGTCGACCGGGCCTGTTTCTAACTCCAAGCTCGTTCTGACTAAGATATGCCTCTAGCATATAAACACATGGCCGCCTGGAAGCCGATGACGTTGCGCGTGCGCATGTAATGAGAAGGTCAGCCCAATTCGGCTGCTACCGGAGTCGCTGAATACGAGAGAAAGGGTTCTAACTAAATACCCTGCAAGCCAGCTCACCGCGGCTGAATCAACTTTGCCTGGCGCTCACATTTTCTCTTACAGAACAGCAAGTACTGTCGGCATGAACTGTACCGCATCGACGACATCTGTGCGCCGTCCTTGACATCTCCATCATCCCTTCCTATCGCCCCTCCTCCGTCATAGGCGTCAACAATGGCGCAAGCCTCGGACGCCAGAAGCACGACGTCTGCCACCAACAATGCCACGGTCTGGGAAAAGACAAAAGGCTACTCGAGTACAGCCTATGAAAAAGCCTTGAAACCCGGCTTCAACAAAGCCTACAACTTTGTCAACAAATTGGAAAAGCCGGTCAACAAGTACACAAACAAGGTCGGGTCCGAAACATTCTGGCCAACCTCACTAGACAAAGAGTCCGAAAAGGCCGCTCGCATTCTTAGAGGGTTCTGCAAAGATGGTTTTTACGAGCACATAGAGGAGAGTGAAGCGAAAAAGATAGAAGAGCGCAATGCCACCGCAGAAGGAACCCCGCAGGGGAAACAAAGAGTACTACAAAAAATCCCGGCAAAGGTGATCAAGAACTGTGTCGGTCTTGCGATATTCACAACGATGCGGACAGGATGGCTGTTTGGCGGGTCTGGAGGCTCCGGTGTTCTGATCGCCCGACACCCTGAAACGGGCGAATGGGGTCCTCCGAGTGGTATACAGACACAGAATCTGTCCTTCGGATTTCTCGCTGGTGTCGACATCTATGATTCGGTGCTGGTAATCAATACACACAAGGCACTCGAGGCTTTTATGAAGTTAAGATGCACATTGGGAACGGAAGTCGGTGTCGCCGCGGGGCCTGTCGGTATGGGAGCCACCCTCGACACGGAAGTGACCAAAAGGCAGGCGCCCATCTGGTCATATGTAAAGAGCCGTGGTCTTTACGCGGGCGTCGCTCTGGAAGGAAATTTGGTGATCGAAAGGACGGACGAGAATGAGAGATTCTATGGCGAACGTGTCGGAGTCGCCGATATTTTGGTTGGCAAAGTTCGCTACCCACCAGTTGAAAAGTATCAGGTTCTGCTGGACACCCTGAAAGCCGCGCAGGGTGACGAAATTGATCAAGCTCTGCTTCCAGAAGGAGTGGCCCCAAGTGATATGGAGCTTCTTGGAGATGGTATGATCCCGACTCAAACCTCTAGCAAAGCACTAATCATAACATAGCAGGCACCTTCGGTATACCCGCAGAAGATGATCCCGACCCGTACGGCGTCAAAGCCCTCGAGGCCGAAGGTCTCACTATCCGAGAAGCAGGCACTCACCAGCGACCCAGCGCCGAAGTCTTTGAGTTCAGGCCATCGCCAACAAGCCCTATATATTCACATTTCTCCAGGAAGAGCGTTGATGGGTCGATTCGGAGTCGAACGTGGAGAGACAGCACTCACAGCTTAGCTAGCATTGATCGGGCAACGCAGACTGACGAGGATGAGCCCAAGAGTGGGAGTCACAGCCCCAAAAGGGAGTCTATGCGAAGCACCGAAACGTCAATGAAGCACAGCCAAAGCGTCGACGACGAAACTGACGAACATCAAGAGCAACCGGAATCCTTCTCTGATGTCGACTCAGATGCCGAGATACATACTGCTGTACCAGTAGTGGCGCGAGCGAGAGTGGTTGAAGTACCCAAACGTGCACCACCCGCTCTACCTCCCAGAAATCCTGGACGAGTAGCTTCGCCAACTTCACCCACGCCTCCTGCGGATGGATTTGACCGAATCTCGTTGAACGACGCTACGGAAGAGAAGCACGAAGACTTACACAAGTTGTCACCTACCACCACACACGAAAATACTGAACCGAGTTTTCATTCGGTCCCAGTGACGCCTAATGAGGAACGGAGAGATTCCAGAGATTTACCTGGAAGTTTCCAATGAGTGAGAGTGGGATTGATGACAAGTTCTGAGGAGAGTTGCTATAGCCATTTCATTTGGATTGACGGATGCCATTGACACGGACGTCCATACCGCAGCTACACTACATTATGAGTATCTTCTTAAATGAGTATCTTCTTAAAGGCGATGCTGAGGCAGGCTACAGGTCACGGGTCACGAGTTACGGTTGATGGGCTTTAAGTATCGCTCCTGATGCCTCTTCTCCTAATGTTGGTATTTCGAGGTAGTTGCGACGATGAAAGTTGAATGACGGCAGGTGCTGCATGTTTGAGCTTCCTATTTCTCTCTTCCTCGATCTCTTTTCTTTCTTACTTCTTCTCTTCTCACCATCACTCTCTTTGGTTCATCACCACGGTTCGATTTTGAAGTTGACCCATCGCTTTCCATCAGCATTGATACTACTGCATTCGTTCCCTGCGTTTTGCTTCATCATCAGGAAATCGTGGTGATTGACCATTCTCTCGCTTCCTCTCGCTGCCACCGCTCTCTGACATCGTCTCTTGCATTGTCAGTCAAAGTGGTAACCATGCATCCACTCACTATCCTCGTGCCACTCATCCTGGCCACTGGAGCCCACGCTGCAGTCTTGCTTCGAGTTCCTACCTTGAACCACTTTGCCATGCAAGATGCCCTGATGTCACCAGCAAGTATCAACGCTGTCGGCAACACGTGCGGCCCAACCCAAGGCAGGTGTGATCCCGACGTTCCTGGCGGAGGCTGGTGCTGTTCTGTCCATGTATGTACACTGTTGTCCACATATCTGACCAAGACTGACATTCCCAGGGCTATTGTGGTAATGCTCACTCAGTCTCGAACTCTTCGATACCTTCTCACATTTTCCCCAGGCAATAACTCCGAATACTGCGGCGAAGGTTGTCAAGATGAATTTGGGTTCGAAATAACTGCACAAGAGTGGAACATCCTTGTACTGATACTCAGCTAGGATATGTGGTGTTGAGAATGTGCCGCAACCGACATCCACTACATCCCCAAGTCCCAGTCCAACCGCCCCCGCTGCACAACGCTGTGGCTTGGAAGGGGATAACGAAAAGTGTCCTGCTGGTCAATGCTGCTCGCATACGGGCTGGTGTGTAAGTAAATGCACCTTGAGAAGTGAAGATGCACACTGACTTGGCCCAGGGCACTGGCAAGGACTTTTGCTCTGTTCCCATGAATTGTCAACTTGGCTTTGGCTGGTGTGACTCTGACGTGAATCCTGATGGCCCTAGCCTTTCCAGCGAACAGCGAACAAAGGTAGGCGCAGTGCCGTATGGCAAAGCCATCACCCGTTGCACAAAACCTGGAGTCATCGCCTTGACCTTTGACGATGGTCCATCGGAGGATACGGCAAAACTTCTCGACATTCTCCATGATAAAAAAGCGAAGGCGACATTCTTCATTCCCGGCATTGCCAATGGAAGAGGCCAGATTGACACAACCAAGACACGGATGGAGACCATCAAACGCATGTTGCAAGATGGTCATCAGATCGGATCTCACAGCTGGTCCCATTTTGATCTGGAAACGCTGACTTCGGAGGAGCGGAAGACGGACCTGACCAAGAACGAGAGAGCCATTGCCAACATTCTCAACAAGTTCCCAACTTATATGAGACCGCCATACATGAAGTGTACCAATGAGACTGGCTGCTTGACAGATCTGACAGCCTTGGGCTATCACATTGTCTCCTACTCAGTAGACAGCAGCGACTGGAACCACCCCGAAGACTTTGATGCCATGAAGAAGACATTTGATGATGCTCTGAACCAGACTCCTCAGAATGGCAACATGCTCCTCATTCAACATGACCCTATCCATAAATCTGCCATTGATCTTACCAAGCACGTGTTGGACGCCGTCAGCCAGAAAGGATGGAAAGGTAGTTGTTTCATCGTCTTCTGTCACGATTTGCTTGCTGACCCTGCACATAGCTGTCACTGTTGGAGAATGTCTCGAAGACCCTGCCACAAACTGGTATCGTACTCCGGAAAAGTCCCGTCCAGCCTCTATGGCTTTGGGCGCTTGTATGATCTCCAAGGACGGGTACTGCGGAACTCTGGACTATTTCAAGGACAAATTGGAATGCTGGAATAGCTCGAAGAAATGCTTTGATGACGCAAAGAAGTGTATGGATGATAAAAAGCGCGTCAACAAGAGCCCGTGTCAAGACATGGATGATGTGTGCAAGCAGCTTCTCGATCATTGCACTCAGTGTGAAGTTACAACCAGCAGCATGACAACTTGCGCTTCTTGCGGACCAAGCATCGGATTCAAGACACGCAGCACTGCGAATTCGTGTGCTATGCAGGGCTTGACGATTGACAATCCAAAGGCATGAAGCGGATTTTCTACTGTCTCGAGAGATTGATAAGGAGGCGACTGTCAGTAATGGTGGAGTGATATTGAGGAAGAAGCAGCTTTGGGTATTGTTATAATCCTTGTGAGATCATTAAGCAAGGGATAGCATTAATGAAGTCTGTATGCAACTAATGACTTGTCCCCATGTGTTGACGAAGACTGATTCCTAGTCGCCACTGATAGAAATCGACGTCCTGTAATGTAAGAGTAGGTACTCCGTACGGAGTAGGTATTCGTAACATATTGTGGTCAGACCAGGCCACCTTTTTCCTTCAATGTGGAGAATTCACTGCGCATTTCTGCCGGATCTGCCGGCCAGACACACCATGATTGTGTTCAACGACTGGATTCTCCTGACTTATTAACCATCTCAATATCACAGGCACCGTTGTTGCTAGTACACATTCTACCCGTCGGCCCAATGCCTGTCTGTTGAAACGACGGCCTCTGCCAGTCCAGATATCTCCCTTTGCTCCGTCACCTTTTCGCGCTGCGCGTTGACAATGCAGCACTTCCACGTCGAGTCAACCCGAATTCGACCACTCCTCCTCGTCTTCTCCATCTTAGGCCTCGCGTCGACCGCTTCTGCCCATGGCGGACATACAGACAAGATCCCCGAGGGAGCGGCAGTCTCACCGGACCCTCTCGACTCGCGACTATGGACGCATATCCTCCTTATGATCCTGTCCTTTGGCATGATCTTTCCCTACGGCATGGTCCTGGGTATCATCAAGAGTAGATGGCATGTGCCCGTACAGATTGCGGGCACCGTGGTGGCTACAGTCGCATACTTCCTCGGCCACATGCACAAGGGGCGACAGTTCAAGCACCCCAACATTCATGCGAGTTTTGCGAACAGCCTGGTTTTCATGTTGATCGTCCAGGTTGGCCTGGGCGTCGGGCTCAAATTACACCTTGAAGAAAAGAGCGGGTGGGTCGGGAGAGTTTTCGGAGGCAAGATGGGAAGAGGAGGTCGACGTGGAGTGGTCATCGTACATGGCTGGTTGGGCAAGGCCATGCCCATTGTCTCGTGGACGCAGATGCTCTTCGGCGGCATCGTCGCCATGGGCTATTGCCGAGGAGACCATCTCGGACAATGTCTGGCGCATTTCATCATGGGCTCTGCGTTCATCGCCTACGGAATCATCATGACGCTTCTCTTGCTCATCGGCCAGGCGTGGCTCAGGCGCACCGGCCGCAGTCAAGAGTTCTTCGACAGCATCGTCATCGCCGCCTGGGGTTGCGTCAACACCTTCACTGAACACCGGTGGGGTCACCCTTGGGTCAAGAACGACCTGCAGCACACGAGCATGGGTATCGTATGGTGGTGCGCGGGGCTTCTCGGCGTCTGGCTCTCACGATCCAGGAGTGGACGTCCCAAGCGTAACATCTTGCCCGGCATCGTCATTGTGCTCACGGGTTGGGCCATGGGCGGACACCCTCAGGAGCTGCCATTGAGTACCATGGTCCACACGGTTTTCGGCTACACTCTCATGGCGGCTGGGGCGGCGCGGATCGTCGAAATCTCCTTCTTGCTCAAAGACAGCAGGGGAGGCGGCGAAGTCAACAGTTGGCAGCATCTGCCACCATTCGTAAGTTTGTTTCTACCATTGGTACTGCGCCACTGTTGGTTGGGCATATCAGACTGACATTCTTGTTTCTAGCTCCTCTACGCATCTGGTTTCTTGTTCATGGGTGCAACCGAAGAACAGATGCACCTCTTGTCCGACGCCGATGTCACACACGTCAGCTACATCCTCATTCTCTACTCGATCGCCTTCCTACTCTACCTCTTTGTCAACATTCTGCTCTACGTTTACGCGTCGCACGCCTGGCCGGACGACGAGAGCAACGGTCTCCGTGGCCCGCCGCGCAACCGCTCCCTGAGCACCGCCGCGGGGCCGAGCAGCGGCCACTCGAGAAAGGTCTCGGTCCTCCACGGGCTGAACGGCGATGTCCCAGGACCCGCCAACGGATCGGTGTTACCTCGCCATCGGGTCACCGACAGTCAGCAAGTTAGGGACGCTGAAGAGTTCGAACTCGAAGGTCTGATGAGCGAGGGTGAGGAAGGGGAGGAGGATAGTCCTGTGAAACCGAAAAAGGTGGGAGCCGTTTAAAAAACCGATCCGATCTGACTTGAATAAATTGTGGACGGGAAATTGGTTTCGGGCGTTATAACTCGGTTTCTGGGAGTGTCATAATGAGCGTTCATGGGGAATTGCATAGTATATACATATGGTATTTTGTTGTTGTAGTACATACAGCACATGGCATAATCTACGATGTATTAGTCACGTTTTTCGGGTATGATGTTCGTTACACATTTCCATCAATTTTTGTGTTGCCATTATGATATAAATATATACATCAAAGGCTTCTCCTTATCGTAACGGCAAAACCTTTTGAGGCAGCACGCTCTGCCTACACAGCGGACATTCGGCCTTTTCCTTGACCCAATCCTGTACGCAACTCCAACAAAACACGTGGCCGCAGGTGGTGGCACTCGGGTCCCTGAAGGGTTCGAGACACAAGGTACATTTCCGTTGTTGGCCTGCGGGGATCCAAGCCATGAGTTGGGGGTCGGAAAGATCGTACCTGGCGTTTTCCGGGACAGGTGTCGAAGTGTTGTCCGAGAGACCCGGAGGTAGTTTTGAAGGGGGCGCGTCTATATCTGCGAGCAAGTTGGTCGGGGAGGAAGTACCGAGGCCGGAGGAGATGGAAACTTCGGCACCGTTACCCAGGAGGGCCATTGTCTGAGTTGGTGTTCTTCCGTCGCCGCTCGGTAAGGATGTGGCGTCTAGATAAGTCTCTCTGACGTGCAAGGCCGACTGAACCGCCATCTGTAACACCAACAAAACACCCAAAACCTCATACCCCACTCTCTGCTCGTCCGGTTTGATCTGTTTCGTAAAGACATACCTCAGTCGGAAAAGTCGTTTGGACAGATGATAATATGCCCCGGTGAAATAAAAAGTCGCCAGACTCAGGGCGTAAACGGGGTTGGGGGATGTGAGTGTGTCGAGATGTTGGAGGAGATATTTTTGCAATTTCAAACTTCTCGAGGGAGAGGGAGTCTTGCTACTGCCACCCCTCTGGCGTTGGTTTTGTTGTTGGTTCTGAGCTTCGGCGTGTTCAATGTTCCATTCCAATTTACTCCGTAATTTGCGTCTGAGTGCTGGGAGCGTTTTCCCCAACAACCACGGTGAGAATACCACGCTGGCGATATAGCCGACCCTCCTTTCGAGTCCGGCAAGCCTCAAAGTGTCATCCTCGACTTGTATCACGTCGCAGTATTCCTCACCCAACGTCCGGTTCCCCAAGAGTGTGGTCAGGCATAGATACAACAATTCGCTGAGGTGGGAGGTCGATTCGGAGTACTTGTGTGCGAATCGTGCGCCGAGTAGGGCTCGAAGAATCGTCGACGCTTGTGCCGAGAGTGTCCCGGTCACGTAGGCGTCCTTCTGGTGCGTCCGTAGGATGTCCGGGGAGGTCGCGAAGGGATATTCCAACGAGGGCGCGGAGGGTTCGGGGGACGGTTGTTGTGTTGACATGTTGTGTTGATGACCTAGGTAGAGATGTAAGGGCAACAGCCCCGTCAAGGACTGTGAAAAGGTTCACGGTCCAGGGTATGAGGATTGTATGTGATGATTGCAGAACAATTTCATCGACTACGTCCACGCAAGGCTGATGATGAAGAGTGCCGAGGTTCGAGTATCCTGCAGATCACGCCGCTTTAGATCTTGGACTTCGTACATTTACGTCCAGCTGGGAATTTTGACGAGGAATTCGATCTTTTGTGAGCTATGAGAAAACTGCTCTACCTCGATAAATGGGCAAAGTCAAACGTCAAGCCCAAAGACATTCGAACCATCACGACAACCCTAGAAAAGGGAACAAGAGTATTTCACGACGACAGCATAGCCAAAAACCACCACCGGCTGTGAAAAAAGCTGCTGCGACCCAGTCTGCTCCTCATGGCAATCCACAAGCTCGGCTGAAAGTGTCATTTACAAAGTTTGACAATGTCCTACTTGTAGGTGAAGGTATGATCGGTTTTGTCCTTGCAACGGAACTTGTCGCCACGTCGTTGGCTTGAGTCTGAGCACGAAGACTATGACAACAACATGCTAATCAATAAAACATCAAATATAGGTGACTTTTCTTTCTCACTGTCCTTGAAGCAACATCATAAAGTCAACCAGATTACCGCGACATGCTATGACTCTAGAGAGACCTTGGAGACCAAGTATCCCAATGTTACTCAAACATTGAGCCGACTGGGAGGCGTGGGTCACGAAACTCCAGCAACAAAAACTCCGGAAGATGAGCCTACGAGCTTAGATGATGGGAACATCAGCGGAGAAGAAGCAGAGTGGATTGGCTTCTCACCACCGCCTACACCTGATACTGCTGCATCTACTGATGGCGGAACTGGACAACAAACCTCAAAGGTACCGAAAGTGAACGTAATCTACGGTATTGACGCCACGAAGCTCTTCTCGGCACACAAAAAGGTCCTTCGAGCTTACGGTCCATTCACGAAGATTGTCTTCAACTTCCCGCATGTCGGTGGTCTCAGTACGGATGTCAACAGACAAGTCCGGTATAATCAGGAACTCCTGGTGGGATTCTTCAAAGGTGCCAAGGAACTACTGTCAACCCCTACTCGTCCTGCGAAGGTGATCAAATCGGATACATATGATGATGACGATGACGAAGACGAGTACGATGATGTTCCTGAGAATGAGAGTCGTCGAGATCCAGGTGCCGTCAGTGGTCAAATCCTTGTGACTTTGTTTGAAGGGGAACCCTACACGCTCTGGAACATTCGTGATTTAGCGAGACATTCGGGGTTGAAAGTCGTGGAAAGCTTCAAGTTTCCGTGGTCGGCATATCCAGGGTACCAACATGCGAGGACGATAGGTGAGATCACCACCGGCAAAGACAGGAGTGAACAGGGAAAGAGAAAAGGCGCATGGCGAGGCGAGGAACGAGATGCCAGGTGCTATGTCCTCGAGGACAAAGATGCAGAAGTATCCGGCGGTCGGACATCAAAGAAGAGGAAGAAGCGAGACCATGACAGTGACGGTGATGACGGTGACTAGACGACACTGGTCAGGTAGTGAGTACATGAAGTTTACAAAGGGGTAGATACTTGTAAAAGCGGCGATGTTCAATCAGTTTCCTCTAGCCGCCAAGGACTTGTTCGGATGCGCCCCCAAAATCTTCATCCTTCTGTCACCGCAGACTGTTAGCTTTGCGACTCTCGTCCTTCTTGTCCTCTATCTTTCTTTGTGCGTCTTCTCTATTGTGACAAGCTCCTTTGCTCCTTTGCCCAGTCGGCGACATCATTTACGGCCCTGAGTCGCTCATTTACCGCAAACGCAATGACCGAAGAAGCGCCTCGAAAGCGGTCGCGCTTCGACCAAACCGAACCCGAACCGCGAAAGGCTTCGCGCTTCGACCGACGTTCTCGATCTCCTGCGTCCAGACTGACCGAAAGTAGAAGAAGTCGGAGTCCATTGGATAAAGACAGTCAGAGTCCTGCCGGCGAGAAACGTAGTACTCCTCTGGATCCTGCCGCTGCCGCAGGTATGTTCACGACACGCATCGAGGGCGTGGCTCACTTACTTACCAAATTCACAGCTGCGGCCGCTGCCAAAATCAACGCCGATCTACAAGCGCGCAAAGGCATTCAACATGTCGACGTACCTCCCATCCGATCGGTGAGTCGTTTCCGTACCAACATCGCTGTTCAGACACTGACCCACATACATAGTCCTCAACACCCACACCAGCAGCAAAGCCTTCGACTCCTACCTCATCCCAGAATACTAGCAAGGTCGACGGGGAGATCTACGTAGCGGATGGTGACTACATTAAAGATATCGAGATCAACGATCTACGTAACAAATACACCTTGACCAGGGGTTCGGCTCAAAAGATGGTAAATACTCCCTGCCTCTAGATCTCTGCGCATGGCAAACATTTGCCGTGTTGTTGAGCCAAATCACAGGTTACGATGGGACGCGGACATGCTGACATTGTTGTGACTCCAGATCAAGGATGAAACTGGTTGCGGTACGATGCTTAACACGTCTTCGAACTTCGTTAAACAGCAACTAACATCCTGCCTCAGATGTCACGACCCGTGGCTCTTATTTCCCCGACAAAAGCATGGCAACTGCAGCGGTATGTAAATGACGAGTTCGTACGCTGGTCAAAGTGCTAACCTAACCATCTGACTTAGAACCCACCTTTGTACTTGCACGTTACCAGCACTTCCAAAGCAGGCCTAGAGAAGGCCATTGCAAAGATTGAGGAGCTTATGAAACAGGAACTACCCAATCTTGTCGACGAAAGGCGCTTCAAGCGCAGGGAGCCCGAACCATTTGAGCGTGATGAATTTGGACGGGTATGTATAGGCCACTATGATGTATTGAATCACCATCTCATTGTCTGTGCAGCGAAAATGGCCCGAAGAGCGTATACCTCTCGACATGGAGAACATCCCTGGTTTCAACTTACGTGCGCAGGTGGTTGGTCAAGGTGGAGCTTACGTCAAACACATCCAACAGGAGACCGGCTGTCGTGTCCAGATTAAAGGTCGCGGAAGCGGTTTCATGGAGCACAGTACTGGACAGGAAGCCGATGAGCCGATGTATTTGCATGTGGCTGGGCCGCAACCGCAACAAGTGCAGAAGGCTAAGGAGCTTTGTGAGGACCTCCTCACCAATGTTCGTCAGAATTATGAACACTTCAAAGCGAATCCGCCGCCTCAGCGGATGGAATCGTACACTGATGGATATGGTACTGATTCTAATCGTCGTCACTATGGTGGTGGCTACGGACGAGATCGAAACCGCGAAGACAACAGCTATTCACACGGCGCAAGCTACAATTCCCCTTATTCGGCGACACCTGCAACTCCAGCGCCCGGCAGTGCAGGTTCTCCTACCGACTATGCAGCACAATGGGCTCAGTATTACGCCAATCAACCAGGCGGAGATCCTTATGCTGCTTATGGTGGTTACCAGAACTACATTGCCTACTATCAATACTATCAACAACAACAAGCTGCTGCCGCTGGACAACAGCAATCCCCTCCACCACCGCCGGCAACCGACTCCAGTGCAGCTCCTCCACCACCTCCCCCGACTTCGGACATTTCAGGAGCGCCACCTCCACCACCTCCTACAGGAGGCTACTCTGCTGTTCCACCCCCTCCAGGACTGTGAGCATATGATGGTGTTGTGAAGAACTGACCTTGTCAGACACGAACAGATCTTCATCGATGGCAATAGTTGCTTTGAACCCTTTTCAAGTAAACTCGCTGTTTGGGCCTCGCTCCAAGCAGTCAAAGCGATGCAAGTCTACTTCGAAAATCTTGCAGGAACGCGGATTACATCTGATTGTTTGGACAGGCAAAGTATTGCAAAGAGGGATAATTTGAGAGCTGATCGGTCAATAGGGACCTGATCCATAATTGCATCAAGCTTGTGGTTTTGATAGCTGACTTAACCAGCATAGAGGGCGTGACTTACTTTATTGTAGAGCCGAAATTCGACAGCCAAAAAAGGATCGACTTCCGGTCTTATTCTCTGTATTCAAGTATCATGAAAGACTTTGCTGCCTTGTAAGTACTTTTTGACCGAGGGTTGATCTTTGAACGCGACTCAGAATGTCCGATGTATGAGCCAGGGTGAGTGTACGAAGTCAACAAACTTACCAAGGTAAGTGGTTTTATTTCATTTGCAATTGTCCTTATGATGTGATCTAGGCCGGGAGAGGCCCCTGTGGCTGCAGAGGTCCGACTCATATAAGGCGACAGGACTTGATATATATATAATTACGTGATGCAACCCTCTACTATAATTCATTCATGCCTGCTCATGTCCTCCTTCAGACAATACGATGTTCAACTCTACCTATATGAATCGGTTCCACTTGATCAGGCTTTTCTTGCAAGTCGGTACAGAGTACGGGGTACATTGACAAGGGATGCTGGGCTCTCGGTTGTCGTCCTTCTTCGTCCCACAAAAGGCCCGCGTCCCGCTTCCCGCATCTTTGAAAACGGTCTAGTCTGCTTCACCAATATCTCACATCCCATGCTCATTTCTGGGGGCGAATTGTCACAACGGCGTTTTTCGGTGTTTATCTTGTTGTGATCGTGCAGTACTAGGTTTCGGTCGCTCTGACCACTGGTGTTTTGTTGAGCTGTAGATGGAGTATTGGTACCCTTTCCACGATGTTTTTCCCACCGGGGCAAACCAAGGCGGCGGCCTATTTGCAGACACACACAAAAGTCAGTCCACTTTGTCACTTTCTCTAAACAGTTCTGCCAGATGTCTGTATGTACGGGTTTGGGTTTAAAAAAGTCCCTCGTACTCGTAGCACCGTATGAATGACTTTTCCTGGGGGAATTGTTACACTACTCTTTATATCCGAACGGAATCACAATGAGTCTTGATAATACCAACGACACTACTACGAAGCAAGACATCAAGATGGACGATGGAGAGGAGATGACGACGGAAGTCATCATATGTGGCTGTGGCCCGACCGGTGCCCTGCTCAGCGCTCTCCTGGGCCGGAAGTCCATACCAAACGTCGTGATCGAGCGAGAGCGGGAAATCGTCACGGACCCGCGAGGCATCGCGCTCGACGAGGACGGCATTCGCCTCTTGCAGGAGATCGGCATCTACGACAAGGTCTACAGCGAGATCGGCGAGCCCATCTCGCACCTGTGGTTCACTTCGGGCAAGGACGGCCTGATGACCAAACCCTTTATGCACGTAGACCTGTCGACGACCCACGGTGGCAGCGGGCACGTCGGCGGCATCTGCCACAGACAACCCGTTATGGAGAAGTACGTGCGGCAGTCGGCAATGGCTTGTCCTGCATCAGAACTAAAACTGGGTTGTACGGTCACCCAGATCGAGGAGACCGACGACCACGTCAGGGTCAAGTACACAGACGACTCAATGGGAGGTGTGGAGAAGTCGATCAAGGGCAAGTTTCTGGTCGGTGCCGACGGCAAGACGGGATTCACGAGGAAGATGTACCTTGAGAAGAGAGGAGTGGTGTTGGAGTCTGTTCCTGGGTGAGTGGTCATACCGACCTACTTTTCTTCTTGGCTCCCATGTCTTCCTTGAACATGTGTCGAATGGGCTCGGTCACTAAACAACATGAAACAAAAAAAGGTACGAGTATCAAGAGACATGGGTCGCGGTGAATTATCACATGGACCTCCCGACACCAGAAACGCACCCAGATTTCCCACTGTGGAGGCTAGGCTTCACCCCTCAAGACGTCTACGACGCCTTTTTTCCCAAGAATTTCAGGTTCATCGGAAACCCCGACAGACCTTCCGTGTGTGGAACGTTTGGCTTGAGGAAGGAACGGCTCTGGCGGTTCGAGTATGTCGTCGACGTCGACATGGGCGAAGACCCCCAGGAGATGGCCACTTACGACAAGATGGCCGCCGTGATTTTTCCCTATCTCACCCACCCAGGCAAGACTTATGGGTATGTTGATCACCAATAGCCACCGAGCAGGGAACGACCCTCTCGTAAACTTTGATAACTAGTTGACTGACATAAACATGTGCGGCGGTGGTGAACAGGTTAAAAGATCCAGTACAGTATCCAATCGATTGCATACACGTATTGAGGTCGAGGCCATTTTCCTTTTCTGCCAGAAGTTGCAACAGGTGGTCAGTGGGAAGAGTGATTTTGTGTGGTGATGCGGCTCACGTCATGCCACCTTGTAAGTTTTTAGCTCGCCATTTCATTTCCATTGTTCCGGAGTAGTTACTCTGCTGCAGTAGTCTTCGACTCACTTATCATTTTTCTTCAAAGTTGGAGGACAAGGTATTGCTTCCGGGTTCAGAGACGCGGCAGGTATAGCTTGGAGACTCGTCCTCGCGTGCCGATCAACTTGTACAAGTTCTACTACCGTTCCTTACGAACGACTTTTCAGCGGCTGGTGCCTGGAACGTAAACAGCAACTCGACAAGTCGATCGCTTCGACCGTTGCCAACGGTGAACTCACGACTGCCCGAAACCCGTTCAAGATCTTTGTGAGGGATTGGATCTTGTGGTTCATGAGGCTCGTCCCCAGCGTCAGAAGGAGACTGGAACTCGGTGGGAGAGGAGGCCCCATGGCTCGGTACAGGTACGTCGACGGGATGGCTTTCCTCCCGGACCTGAGAGGTGGACGACAACTGGCTCAGGGATATTGCAAGGCCGTGTCCTCCGGGAGCAGATTCGTCGTCGACGCCGACGACGACGTCGATTTCACAGACAATGTCATCTTCCGACCCGAGTCGACTTCGTTCCTGAGACTTTTGGTTTTGGTGGACGATTTGGATCAGTTGGAATCGACACGAAACGAATTGAATCGGTCAAAGATTGAACAACTCTCCAACAATGAGGTCAAAATGGAAGAAGTTTGTTATCTAATCATGTCTCCCGGTGTGGGCGTCGGTGACGGGGTAGACGCCCGTGCCGATGTCAAGGTCTCGTCGAACAACGCCACCGCCGTCGAGTCCACAAACATCCAAACGCAAAAACGAGTCTACCGCGTCGCGACGGGTGAAGAATTTGAGGCTTCTGGTCTCTGCGACAACCGTCCTCCTCCCGTCGGATACGACATGTTCAGAATCAAGACCGACCTGGAGGGGGCAAAGTACGTCTTGGTACGACCCGACAGGTTCACGTTCGCGGCGTGCCATTCGGTTCAAGAGTTGGCGGAAGCGTGCAAAAGGATAGAAGGTGTCTTCTTCAGCGGGGTGTGAACACACGGCGACTAATAACAGGCAGGTGCGACACGAGGAGCGCCATATAGGTTCAACAACACAAAATTACTGTATACCAACTTTATTGTTCAAGTTTTTGATTACATCCGTAATGATGTTGTAGTATTAAAAAATTCATCGCCTCTTTAACACCTGGAATAGTATCACACTCTTACAATGCAAGAACTATCCCCTTGTACATATTCTGATCCGAACTCAAATACCCTTGAGGCACTAATCAAACTCTGGACGGGGCAAAGGGGCCAGCTCAGGATACAGGCATCGAAATGACCATTGCAAGTATAGATATATCTCTCTCAACTTGACATTGGCAAGGCAATTCAGAAATCTCTATTTCCAATCAGATAAAAAAGTAGTTTTAGACAGTCTTCTCGGGAGTGTGAGTGGTGGTGTCGTCCTCGGTGAGAGCGTTGGCCGACGGGGGGACGTACGAGTCCTTTCGGTGGCCGGCGGATTCGGGGTCGTAGTTGGGCGTGCCCGGGACCTCGCCGGCGAGCTCCTCGAGGGTCTTGCGCTTGGTCTCGGGGATCAGGAGGGTGGTGAAGACGCCGCAGAGCATGAAGAGGGCGAAGATCTCCATGATGTGGTTGACCCAGGGGGTCGGGTTGTCCTTGGTCGGGTGGCCCTTGGTCTTGAGGGGGCCGAACACGCACTGGGCGATGATGGCGCCGACCTTGCCGGACGCGGCCGAGAGGCCATGCGAGGTGGACCTGTACCGGGTCGGGAAGCACTCGCCGGGCACGATGAAGGTCGTCGCGTTGGGCCCGAAGTTGAAGAAGAACTGGGCGATGACGTAGAGAGCCAGCAGGCCACCCTCGCCCAGCTTGTGGTAGGCAAAACCGATGATGACGAAGACGATGGTGAGGACGAGGAAACCCATGAACTGGATGGGCTTGCGGCCGAGGGTGTCGACGGTCGCCACGGTGACCCAGTACCCGGGGATGGCACCGGCGCAGACGATGATCAGGTTACCAACGGCGGTGTTGTAAAAGATCTCGTACACGTCGTTGCCCTTGGCGTAGCCAATGGCCGACAGGATGATGGAGTTGTTGAGACCGAGACCGTAAAAGGCGACGTCGAGGAAGAACCATGATCCGGCGGTTCCAAGCAGGACCTTTCCGTGCTTCCACTGGGAGTAGTGTCTCCAGAAATCGGACCACGAGGCCTGTCACACGGACAAGTCAATACCGCACGTCGGCCACGAAAAGAGAGAGAGAAAGGAGGGAACCACGAACCTTGGGGGCCGCGAGACGAGCGCGGGAATCCTGGAGGACAGCGGCACGGCTGACTTCGTCAGGGTGACCTTCAGCCTTGCCACTCTTGTATGCCTTGACGTCTTCGACGGCCTTCTCCGAGTCACGAGCGACGTCGAAGGTGTAACGAGGAGTCTCCGGGATGGTGAGACGGAAATACAAGGCAACGCAACCAGGGACAGCACCAAATCCGATGATGACACGCCACATCTTGTCAACGGCAAGCTGGCAGACGCCGTCACACTCGCCGACCGTCTTTGCAGTCTTGAGGGACTCCTTGAAACCAGAGGTGACGATCAAGGCGATGATGGCGGCGGCGAATTGACCGATACCCTGCATGGCGAAGACGGCACCCATCATGGCACCACGCCACTTGGTGGTAGCGAATCTGGAGAGTCGAGGGTCAGCCCCAGAGAACATTGGCTACACTTTTCGAGGGAGGGGGGAAAACCTACTCAGACGTGATGATGGAAGATAGAGGGTAATCACCACCGATACCGATACCCATGATCACACGCCAGAAGATGAGGACACCCACGACGGAGATGCCAGGAGAATCGGAAGACAGAGCCTGCGCCAACGTCGCAAAGATGATGACGATCAACTCAAGACCATACATTCTCTTTCTGCCCACGATATCGGCGAGCCAGCCGAAACCGACCTGACCGATCACGGTGCCGCCCGACGTGGCCACCTTGATGGCGGTATCCGAGTTGGAGGGAATCTTGCCGGCGTTCTTCGGGTTGGGCGCATTTTGCCAGTAAACAACACCCAACATGGCGCTGACTAGGTTGATGGCGAAGATGTCGTAGGCATCGGTGAAGAAACCAATACCGGCGACCACAATGGCACGAATATGGTACCAGCCGAAAGGCGCCTTGTCGATCTCGGCAAGGGCGAGCCGTCGTCGCTCGTTGGGGTCTTGGATGTGAGCGAAATCGTTGTGGAAGTTGTGGAAGGCGGCGTTGCCGCCCGAGGTTTTGGTGGCCATCGCGAGCAGTGGATCTTCTACCCGAGTGGGGAGTACTGTCACAATTCTCTGGAATGGACGAAGAGGCCAAGATACCCAAGCAAACCCAAGGCTTGGTATAAGAGGCTTGGTTCAATGAAGAATTGGAACGAAGAGAGACGGGCAGCTTGTCCACAGCGGCAGGCCGTGTGCTCATATACTCGTCGAGACACTTCGACAAGGATTTTTGCAGTGGACTCGACTGCAGCAAGGCGAACTTCTTGGCGGCAACAGCATCCACAGTAGTCCGATAGCCACGTTGTAGAAGGAAGTTGCCCTCGATCAAGGCCAATCGAAGGGCCGTACATGGCCACGCCCGAGCCAGAAAGAAAAAAAAGCCACGAGCGAGGGACCAGTGGACCTGGAATCATGGTACATAGAAAAGGCCAAGTCCTCGGATCAGCAATCATGGTAGAAAAGGCCAAGTCCTCGGATCAGCTCAAGGGGGTCGACAAAAATGGTGGTGTCAAATGGCACAGAACGCACAGGGATCGGACAGGCCTAGTTCTCAGCAAAGAGTTTGATGGATGGATCGCTTGACGGGGCTAAAACTGTATTGTACCTTCGTGCTAGTACAGCCGTGTTTTGGGGTGTTCGAGAAGCCTTTCCACCCATGTAGCCAAGAAAGTGGTGTTACTTCGACTGATGTAGATGCTCCATACGGAAGGGCGAACTTTTTGAGGCTTGAACGCCGAGGACAAACCAGACAAAACAAGCTCAGAACGTGCCTCGAACCTGACGGTCTTGGCTCTACGTGCCAATCCTGTAGCGATGAGTTGATCAGTGATTTCATCATTCGCTACGACACGAGGATGGCAGCAAGCCCCGGCGAGGTCACGGATGGTATCGAGGGATCTGCCATCGTGCAGCTCGCCTGCAGTACTCCGAGTCGATCGACCCGCTACTCCCAACGGGCAGCCCATGATAATGAGAGTCTATCGGATCAGTAAGCCAGAAAAAGCAAGATCCAGAAAGACCCATCGAGATCGAAGAGGGAGCGTAAGATGGAGTCGAAAGCGAGACCCTGGGAGAGATGTTCCCACAGTAGAGTGATGACTTCGACCCGAGTTCCAAACGCCCAGACGCCAAATCTGCAAGCATTCCTAGGGTCATGCTTGTCGTGCGCCTATTGTAGAGAGTGTAACCCCTTCGTGATGGATCAGACAATCCTTAACCGAGTGATGCTTGGGCCATCCCGTTGTACTGTTGTACATCGCATTCGGGACTGGCGTGAGAGAAAGGGAAAAAAACTCGAGATTCCAGATCCACTTGGGGCGAGGCAGGAAAAAGAGGCACTGGCTCGAATCGAAAGGCACATGCGAACGTATCAGGAGAGACATTCAGCCATTAATGAAATTGATAGAGACGCCCCGCCCCAATCTGGAAGGCGGAGGCGGAAGTTAGCGTGGCACGTTGTGTATTTGGCTCCTCCCATTGGCTGTAGTTCAACGACTGTGCCAAGACTCATGCGGAACACGGAGCATGTACTACAAAGAAGGAAGGGACAAGGTTGTACTGTAATAAAATAGTGTGAGAACGAGTCCGGGTACGAGTACGAGACCAGGAGAAGGACTATAGCAGATGCAGGCTACATACCCTGTACATACATGTGTACAGCTAGGTACAATATGTTAGAACGAGCATATTTCCATGCATCAAAGGTAAGGAGTACTAACAGTCGAATTCGCGGTCGTGGTCATCGTCCTCCTCCGAATCTACAATCAATGCCAGCATCCAGAATCCTGGATCATGCCGATCAGTTGGATGGTCATTGTTCGTCGTCTCTGATGATCGATCCAATGCTTCATCATATCGATGAGGTCTTACGTCTCGACTTGCCTTGCCTTGTATCGCTTACCAACACCCGACACTCCCTTCTGATTGCGCCTCACACCACAGATCTTACGTTCACCGTCAGTTATTGCAACGGGAGAAGATCGCAAGCTGCATATACAGATATTTGGAAACCTACAGGCGGCTCAAGCGGCACCGTGACGAGGGACTCAGGTGTCACATTCCTGCATAATGTTCCGTCACCTGTTGTAGTCTTATGGCTTGCTGCCGCAACTTGCGCGGGCCATCCATTTTCAACATGTTCCTACTTGCTCGCTCGACTTCTATCTGTATCTTTGCCGTCCATTGCCGTCACGCGTGGCTTTTCTCTCTTCATCAAGTGATTATTAACATTCCAAGGTTGTGCCCATTCGACGCGCTGGCACCTCAAGTGAACTGCACCGGAATCCTCTCAACTTTGGTCGACCTCAATTCTCAACCTTGACAGGGACACTCCCATTCATGCCGTCCTTGACCAGCTTAAGTTGTGCCCGTCCAGCCTTCAGAGCTCCCTCGAGCGCAAATTGGCTTGGGACCCCTTCAATGCGGTGGGTGCTGTTCAAGTTCTTGACCAGGGTCATCTGGAAACAAGTGGCACTACCTTGACGAGAGATGATGGTGGAATAAGCAAGAAAGTACTCCCAGATGCGATACCACCGTTCTCCATATTTCGCCTTGACCTTGTCCTGGTTGCCGATCCAGTTGCGGTACCATCGCCACAGAGTCGCCGAATAGTGCACGCCGATGGTGTCAATTGCTTTGACCTCAAACCCGGCGCCTTCCAGCTTGTCAACCACAAACCCCAGCGGCGTCGAGGCATCGGCACCGGGAAAGATGTGTTTGTTCATGAACAAGCCCCAAACCAAGTCCTCGTATTGCCACGCTTTTCTGAGGCCGGCATATTGGAAGAAGAAGACGCCATCATCATCAAGCATGTTGTTCACCTGTGTCAGGAAGCTGGAGAGATGTCGAACTCCAACATGCTCTGCCATTTCCAAACAAGTGATGCGTTTGTAGCCACCTTCGGGCACGGGAATATCACGGTAGTCCATGCAGAGAATGTTGCTTTGAGCCTCTGGAATTCCCGCCTTGCGAAGACCGTTATTCCCCCAGGCGGTTTGGTTCCGACCGAGAGTGACCCCAGTAACGTGAGCACCGTAATTGACACTGGCGTATTTGGCCAACGTTCCCCAGCCACAGCCGATGTCGAGGAGCTTCTCACCGGGCTGCACGCCGACCTTCTGACAAACAATGGCGAGCTTGTTGTCCTGGAGTTCTTCGAGGCTTTCCTCCCGGTCGATTTCAGAAATGATGCCGGAAGTGTAAATCATGCGCGGACCCAGGAACCAGCCGTAGAAATCGTCACCACGGTCGTAGTGGTCGCGTACTTGCTCCTCGTCCTGAGATCTGGTATGCATGATGACTTCAGGGATCATACCAGTGAAGAAGTATTTGAAGAGGCTGAGAGTAAATCTCCAATTGGCCCAGTCGTGTCGGTACTCCAACATCTCCAGGCAATCTCCTTTGAAGTCCACCTTTCCATCAAAGTACATCTCATGGAATGTTTCCATGGGGATTCGATTTTTGCCGTGGTACTTGGCTCTGTCCTCTTCTTCACGAAAGTGCAGGTAGTGCTCGACCGGTCGGCCGGGCAATCGTACTTTCTCGTTCTTCCTAGGAGAGATAGACGACGCCACAGTCCAAAAGGACATCAAGATGGGGGCTGAGGTGATAATAGCTAGGAAAATGGTGGTGTAGAATCCTCCACGAAGTTGCCGGGCCAGGTAAGCAGGCACACCAATAAGGAGGCCGATGAGGACATAGTTGTTGAAGGATTCGCTGCCAGCTGCATCGGCTGGTAGAGGAGCATTCTTGATCGCTGGGTACTGCAAAGTGTGTGAGTAATTACACAGGGAGGCACAGCGTGAGGTCTCAACATACAGCAGTGGTGCGGACACCGCAGTTCTCGGTTGGAGGCTCGGGCGTAGGTGCAGCTGGAGTTTCAATGAATTCAAAGTCCTCCGAGGACTCCGAATGTGTCTTTGCCATGATTCTGGATGATGGGAATTGTGCAACACCCGATTCACTCCAGCTCAATGAATTTGGCGGAAGGTCAAAAATATGTGTGGACAGTTTGGCAATGATAAATTCCCAAAGTGGCGGTGGGGGAGAAGCTCAGGCTGAGATGCATGTGCTTGAGTTTCAACTTTTTCTCCACCATGGAAGACGCGTCTCAGACTGCGCTCCGTACCTGCATTAGAGGACAAGGGACCGGAGCGGAACCCGGTTCAACACTGTACTTTGTAGCCAAAAGGCATCTCTCTCTTGGGTACTCATGAGATCACAATTAATCATAATACAGCGAATATACTCCGTAATACCACGACAACTGCCTTGAAGAGTGAGTCGCAGATAGATACGGGTACGAGTACGATTACGAAGTACGGTACGTAGGACCATGTACTCCTCTCAACTCATGGCAATATCACTTGATAACTTCTTCACAACTTCAGCTACATCTTATCCTGTACTAATGACAAAACAACGCCGGTTTAATCCTCGTCTAGCTTTCCACCGTATTCTCCCAATAATATATCATCTGGAGCAGGTCCACGATTATTGCGCACTGTAAAGGTCAGCAGAGAGGTCTTGAACCAAATCGCACAAAGAACTCACCCCATTCTGTCTCGACCCGGAGAAATATCCACATCCAACGCCGCAGTACTTCCAAAATCTCCATGAGGAAAATCCCACCCTCGAGATCGTTGAAGTGGTCTAAGTGCGGGGAGAGCTTGAAGCTCCATGTACAACGCAGTAGAAGATCTATCACAATGGCCGTATAATACATTTCCCTGGCGTGAAAATACCGATACCTTCGTAGGCCATAGGGATGCTCGGGATCGTTCCTCTCCCGGCTCGACGAGAACAGTGACAGATCCCAGTCTTTGGCCACGTCCCAATAGAACGAATAGAATGAGTTGACAAAAACGAAAAGTAACCTGTACATGCATGTCAGCATCGTTGTCTGATACCCATGCAAAGAGCCCATACCATAGCCTAAACAACCCAGCTTCGGTCATGTGAAACGTCGTGGGATCGTAACCTCGTTGCAAAGCACTCAGCACAATGACTGGAAAAGCAGAAGCATATTTGAGTGCATTGGCCAAATGTTGTCCACCCCATCCAGACATCGACGTGCGGTTCCGGCGAACACGAAGATATTCAATCAGGCACTGTCGGAGACGTATCATGCTGGGAATACTGATGATCAGGGGCACAAGATATGCTCCGCCACATCCCCGGTCAGGCTTGGCCGTACTCGTCGTCTTTCGAGAGAAGAGCATGCAAGTCGAAACAAACAGATCTCCCAACACCTTGGCATAACTTGTGAGAACATCAGCCAGTAGGATATCCCCAAATTTCCCATCTTGAACTTCCGCCAAGCCACCCAAGCTTATTCTTTTCAGCGTCGAGAGGAAGTGTAGACGACCCGATCGTGACATGCGCTTGATCGGCAGGAGGAAGCATAACATGAGGAACAAGAGGTACGACTGAGGGAGGATCTGCCACGATAGCGCAGCATGCCTGTCACCTCTTGTGATAAGCCAAAACAAGAGAAGCGATCCGACAAGAGGAAGAGTCAGGAGCGTTGCTAGTTGATAGGTTGCATGGTGATGGCTGGACGACTGTTGACCTGAACGGGCAGGGTATCGTATGAGCGCAGGTACATCCTATAGAGTCAGTGGAGGCAAGAACCGGGCGCGGTGAACGTACAATCCTGACAAGGTGAAGGTAGTGAAGGTTCAGGCCCCATGCCCAAATCCCGAGAACAGCAATGAACGCGACTCGATAAGGGAGCGGGAGAAATAGACTGAAGGAGTCCACCTCAGGCTCGACCGCCGGATCACCGTCCATTGCGCCTATGAAGTATCATGCTGCTCGTGGAGAGGCAAGTAGGCGGAAAGGAAGACGAGAGACAAGTCGCTGAAGGAATTAAAGGTCACGGTGGTCGCATGCTGATATGGAGTCGTTGTTGACTCTCCAAAAAAACTGGCATGAAGTCAGATGGGGTCATCATCTTGGCAGGGGCTCAAGCCAAGTTTATCGTACGCATACTGATCTATGGGTACTTCGTAGGAGCAAAAGTATCTACCCATCATCGGAGATACCTGTAGTACATTGTAGGTCAGAGGGACATTAGGGACATGTTGTAAGTACTGGTATTGGTATATCAACTGCTAAGCAGACATCTATGTCTACCGGACTTGAGACTTGTGTCTATACCACAAAAGAGAATATCAAAGTGCAACGATTCTAACTTTTCTGTCAATTGCCACCTCAAATCGAGAAAACCCTTCACGACTGTCCATCTGAACCTACAGAAACCAAAACAAAGAAAATCACAGGAGATCCGGGAACCCAAGATTGCCCTTCAATACTCTTCATCAAATTGCTCTCAGTCGTCTGGCAACCAGCAAACACAAACAGACGAAAGCGAGAATCCCCCCGAGGATGCCAAAGAACCAATGCAGTCCTCCCACACCCTCGCCCGGCACATGGACGTTCATGCCAAACAAACCCGTCACCAGATTCAGCGGCACGAGAATTGTGCCGACGACTGTAATCCGCGCCAAGGTTTTGTTCGTTTTGTTGCCTTTGACGATGTTGTCTACATTCAGTTGCGCCAGGTAGTTGGCATGAGATCGAGACAACATCTTCTCCACGTGACCCAGGTTGGACATCATTGTGACAACGTGATCCTGAATATCGCCCAGATACAATCCAATGTCGCCTCGTGGAGTAATTTCGTACTGCTCATTGCATCGCTTGGCGAAGCCCTTGATAACATCGGCCTTGCCGCCCAATAGACGCATCATGTTGAGCACACGCTTGCGGCACTCGCCAATCTGCCGGAGTAGGGCGAGAAAATCGTCCTCGCGAGCGATGAACACTTGGTCTTCGATATTCTCGGATTCGTGCTCTGCTTCGCGGATGATCGGAGCAAAGGTGTCCACGATGTCATCGATCATCGCATAGCAAATGTAATCAGGTCCCAGGCTCAGGAAGTCACCGAGCTTAGCGATACGCTTGCGGACATTCCGTGCATGCGGATTTGGCTGATACGAGAAGCTCAGCACACCGTCCCCGCAGACCACAATGTAGATGTGAATAGGATCCAAGAAGTCTTCGTGATTGCGGTCCATGATAAACGAGCGAAAACACACAAAATAGTACTGCGAGAACAATTCGACTTTCTCGCGAGCTTCTTGAGTTTCAATGTCTTCCCGCGTCAAGCGATGAATTTTGAATGCTTTCGCGAGCGCCTCGAGTTCGGATTTGGTAGGATTTTGTACATCGAGCCACCAGACACCACCATCTGGACCAACGTCAAAAAGGTCTCTAAAGGTGGTGCCATCAGAGACAAGGTCGCCTAATTTATCGGCACTCTTGCCATGAGTCAACTCGGAGGTGAAAAGGAAAAATCGGTCGGATGCCTGCACTTGGCTGGGCTTCTTCAGGTCGAATCCCTCGTCCGAGGACGAGCTGTGGTTGGTGCCGTGGTGTACAAGCGCTTTGTCGTAGAAATTGTCGCCGTTCAGAACAGCATTTGGCACCTCTCCAGATCCTCCATGCTTTCGGAGGTCCTCAAACACACGGCCGTCTCCTGCGACCTCAGGTTGATATTCGTCCTGGTACTTCCCCTGTGCGCAGAGAGCCACAAATTCTTCCAATTCCTCGAAGTCGATCTTGTAAGTTTTCCCAGGTTCCTCGTCGGTTGGGAAGGTGACCTCATCATTGAAATCGCGATCAGTTCTCTGAGTTAGGCCACCGGGAACGCTGATGGTGCTGAGGGTCGGCCGTCTGGTGTTGGTGCCAATGGAAGCAGCCCGGTGCCGAATGTTGTCTATAAGCGATGACGACACACTCTCGGCCGTATTGGCGCGCTGACGACGACGCGGTTCGGCAAAAGCCTCGATGGAGTTTGCTGGTGATGTTGATCGAGAGGAGGAGCTATCCCGGGAACGGTCATGTTTCGGGACAACCATGCGTGGACGCCCGTCTCTGTTGGTCATCTGGCGAGCACGATTCGAGTTTCGTCTTTGCGGGGGTTGAACGTCGACATCACTTTTATCGTCGTCGACGATAGCATGCTCAAAATCACGAGCGATTGTGTTCCTGTCATGTCCGAGCGTATTGAGCAACGCCGAATCGACCTCACTTAGGTTGTGTTGGTCCAGAGTACCAGGCTGTGGACTCGAAAGTTGTAATTCCACAAAAGGGACAGCCATGGGGCTTTGTGATGGAGGCAAGCCTCTGTGGCGTCGATGGTCATCCAGCTCCGGGGCAGGTGTGCTGTAGCGGCTATCCATCCGCTCCTGGTCGTGAATCGATCCGGAAGACGACATTTTGTCTGAGTCAACCGGGTTTGGATGTTCTTTGCGTTCTCAAACGCACTATGTGCAGTGCTCTATTCCTCTTTCCAAGCCAGATCTAGAAGAAACAGCAGCGCCTTGGCCGCTAATACCAAAAAAATCTAATTCTGGTTCGATTCCGTCTCTTTCTAGTCTATTGAATCAAGTGTGAAAATCTGGCCGGCCTCTTTTTGGCCGGATAAAGCCGTGGCACCGAAGGGCCAGTTATGGTGGTCGAGTGGTGGTTCCGCAGAAGAACATGTATGCGATGCCCGTGCCTAGCAATGGGCGGATGAGGGAAATGGTGGCAATCGTGACGCCCGCCAACTTGAAGGCGTTGAAATGAAAATCGCGATCGAGCGCCAGGGTGGGAAAGTAGTGTTGCAGAGATAGGAAGGACTGTGGCAGCCTCCCTATGCTTGCGAAGCGTGAAAGGGTTGGGTGTTGTGCCGAGTAATTGCAGAGTTGGAAATTGTCGGGTGTAGCGACACCACTGTGTTGAGGATTGCAGATTATGGGAAGAAGAGAAGTAGCCCGAATAAGTATTTTCGAAGATTTGTCTTTGGCAGAGAAAAGGTCCTCAGTAAGAAGATGAGGAGAAGATGAAGACAGGATATATAGTAGTCGTGGACTGCCAAAATACCTCACAAAAAGGTGGTTATAAAATATCAGTGGTGGAGGCGAAAGGAAAAGGAAAAACGCTTTTTGATTGCCGAGTCGCGTAACAAAATCAAGTTGGTTGAGTCTGGTTTTAGCTAATAACGTCACGGCTAAGAGGTCCAGACTGAGACTTTTTGAGGGCCATTTGGGGGGGGCAGACTCGTCCTCACACCCTCGGTACGAAGGAAATACTCCGTCCAGTAGTGTGCACACACCCATTCTCCCCGCCATTCAGATGCCTGGAAATTCTTGTTAGGTGCAGTCTTTATTGCATCCTTTGGGCCAACTCCTACCTAAGTTAGGCTCCTAGGACAAGTCCCGTAGTGGTGTCCAGTTTGACAGGATCACAAGCACATGATTCGAGTTCAGCTTGCTGTTGGCCATTTCGTAGAGGCTGGCTCCAGCCTAACAAAACTGGTAACAATATCCTAGCCTGCGAGTATGAGTTAACTATGAGTCAGGTTACTCCGTACATTCGAGGTTATTACGCATGTCAGGGCCTTCTCGGACTTCGGGATATGTCTGTATGGAGCAAACTGAATTATCACAACAATTCTCTCAAGTATGGCGATTATCATAAACTTCAGGTATCCTTCATGTGACTGTAGTGAGTGTTCATGTGGCACAGTAGTGGTTTGGCCACGACGATTAATTCTATGGTCTTCACGTTCCCTCAAGATACTTGAACAAGGCTACATCTAGTGCGGACGCTCGTACTCGTAAAGCCTCGTAGCGATGATTACGTAATTTGTTTCGTCTCCAATGCCAACTGGCCTTCGTCCCTCTCATCTCAACATTGCCCAGCAACATTCTCATCTACGCCAGACGACACTGGCGTATTGCAAGTTCAACGCAGTTGACCTGCTTAAGACAAGAAGCCTAGTATTCGACCCAACGAAACAATCCCCTTACCTCGAACCATGGATGCCATCATCAACCAGCTGCAACATCTCTTCGAAGGTCAAATCGTACGCCTCTCTCCCCGTTGGTCACGTCAGATCGACAGATCTGCCAGTATCCATTGCATTCACTAACGACATATACAGGACTTCCATGGTCAACGACTTGCTGAGAGCATCTCCACGGTCATTCTGACCATTTCATCTGTATGTCCACCCCAGTGATACCCTCATCATTCTCCTCCCTTTCCAGCTGAGTGCATCACTGACGACAGATCATCAGACTATTGCTCTTCTGGTCGGCTACATACAGCAAGACATCTATTTGACAATGTGGATTAGTCTTATAGGCACGCTCTTTGCGATATTCCTGGTTGTCCCGCCTTGGCCGGTCTATAATCAGCACCCTCAGCCATGGATCGGGTCCAAAGCAAGACTACCACCTGGTGGGATCGTTGTGTCAGGAAAGTGATGATATGTTCAGTGGTCAGGTCTCATTGCTCATTTCAGTTCTACCTAAGAACCGATTACATTGGTATGTGGCTCGATGCGCTATCTGCCACAAACTCCAAAGTGCCCTCTGTATTGACAGCTACCATGAATCAATGACACGATCCATTGGTATTCGCTTGCATGAGAGCTTGCACCTCGCCGACAAAGCTATGGGAGGCATATCTCAAGGCCGTTCCTGGTTTCCACTGCCATGCTTCTTTGGCTCTCCCGCCGCAGCTGAGCCTCGCCGAGTTGAGATATGAATCATTATTGGGGTCTTGATCGGATCTCTGCGAGCTGTGCTCGAATCAGAGGCTCGGATCTTGTTCAAATCTCCTCCTTTTAACGGCCGTATTTCTGGAATTCCCAGTCTCTGTTGTCCAAGGGGCAGACTTGTCGCGTCTTTAGCCAACGTGAAATGCAATGGAAGTGGAAGGCATGCTAGAGTCATAGTCAGCTAAGTTCAAACATGTTCATGTAGTTTCTCACGTTGCAGATTCCCCAAGCAACAGTGCATTCCTCCGTTGTAGCAGCACCCTGATTTGCTTGACACTCGATGCAAAGATCCATGATGTGATTTCTGCAGATGGCGCAGTTATCGACAACAATGTCCCATGCCCAAAGGGCAACGGCGTTCCACTGTTACTCGTCAGTATAATCCGCAAGAGCGTTCGTATAGTCTTCGCAGCCTAACCTTCTTGACTTCAAACCTCTTCTTACTATCCGCGTCTGCTGCTGCTGATTTGGATCCTTTGGCCAGTGCCTTTCCCTTGGATTCTTCAGCGGCGTTGTTAGCAGCATCAGGCATGTCGACGTCAGCCATCGTGTAGTCTTTCCGAAGGGGTTGCTGTAGCCCTTTGAAAGTGGAATGCGGGGAGATGTCGGCGGCAGTGGTAGCCTTGGTCACAGCGTAGATGGAGTCTTGTCGTGGTCGATGTGAATGCGGGTCGAGTGCAAGGGCAACTGTCTTACACACTCGAGTAATAGAAAGTGATTTGATAGTGACAAGGCTGCGCTTGTGCAAGTACCTCAAATGGACTCTGTACAAGGCACAAGACGGCGGTGGCGTGGGCGAGGAGTGACTCTAGAATTCCCTCCGCCAATAATAAAATGCCTCCGCCCATTCATTGTATGTAAGCTGCGCCTTGGTCACTCCCGTTGCCTGCGTCACTTCACTCACAGATCACCATCTTGCTCGGCCTTCTTTCATCACCCTCACTAGCCATAATCCATCTTCTCAATCTATTTACTCGCCTTCTTCTATATCATATCGCATTCCTATCAGACAACCGCTCGTTTTTTGCGCTCAGGTAGTCTTGGAAACCTCATCTCAGTACATTTTCCATCTCAAGACAATGAGCCCTACCATTTCTACCATTGCCAAATCCTCTACACAAATACGACGACAGTATCCAAGCCGCTACGCTCTTCCTCATCGCAAACGTACAAGATAGACATCAGTTGACCCCGAAAATTGTTGGTCAAACTCCTATTTTCTTTGTGCGTTGGTACAGCTATCTGAGCGTTCTGCAATTTCCATATCTGTCTTCAAGGTCTACAGGCTGCCGATTCATCAAGCCTGCCCATACACACTTTTACAATGTCTACGATCGGAACACCTCATCAGACCCATTCTAAAGGCAACCGCCGATCTGCGGGGAAGAAAACTCGTCAGAGCAATCCGCACGACGGCTTTGTGTCAGACGTTGGTGCGCCAACAGAACATCAGCGCAACAAGTCACCGGCTGCCGGTAATGCGGTGAAGAACAATGGCAAAGGCCATCCAAGGAAGAACTCATCAGTATATAACACCGCTGCTCATGCAGGAAAACCGGACAAGGTGAAAGGCACTCCCATGAAGCCTGCCGCCTATGCAGGATCCACCTTTCAACAATCTCCAGCCGCCTCTGCCTTGCCTTTACCGAGCTTTTACTCAAAGTCGATGCCTGCTGCCGGACCTCTTACATCTCAACTCAGCAACGAAGCTAGCGCCGATGCTCACCCAGCCGCGCATGAGGTTGCCGAGTCCCCTAGCAAGCGAGAATCGACACCCTGTGACTTTCTCTTCGATGCCGCTCGTCAAGCGCGAGCCACTCCTCGAGGCGATACACCCGGAGCACGCTCGGGGAATGTGTCGGTTCCCAATATAAGCCCCGCCTCTGGATCACCAGCACCTCGCGAAGGTGACGCCGTGTTTCCCTTTGAGCTAGATGGAGCATCGGCCGCAGGTGAAGACGGTGTCTTTTCGGCGACGCCCTATAAGGACCGCATTGAGGCGCTGAAGTCCACTAGGTCGACATCTTTACCCAGCAAATCTATGAACGAGCATGAGCGCAAGGCAAAAACTGATGCTCTGAAGCGACTGCTAATGAAGTCGAGTGGCGAACCCGGCGAGAACAGTTCCCAGCCAGCCCAAGACATCAGCAATCCCTTCAACGCAAGAGCTCCATACCAACCATCTCCATTTCCGACCCAGGGTCCTCCCCTGGTTCGTCATACATCTGGACCATCACTCACGTTCAAGCAAGATCACAACAATTCCAACGCTCTACCAGGCCACCCGCAAATGCCGTATCAATATCAACCCACGCAGATCCAAACACCGAAGAGACCTAATTCTTCGAGTCTGAGAAATGTTTACGGCGCTCAGAGTGAGCCTGAGTACGCCGAACTATCTTCTGATAGTGCTGTAACACCCCCAATTTCGACTCAACGAAGGCACACGCCGCAGCATGCACCGCCATATGGCACTGCTCCTGTCAGCCCACCATATTCGAAACAACAGCAAATGCCGAACCACCGTGCTAAACCGAGTGCACAGCAATTGGAGGATGATCTGAGACGAGTTCTGAAGTTGGATCTTACAACTAGGGGTTAGAGAGGAGTATATTCGGTGAAGGCAACATTAACAATCCTCTTTGAATCTACTGCGCAATCTTGGCTGGCGAGGAACCATGTTCCTTTTGTCGCTTTGATGAAGGGCCCCTTCGTTGCAAGAGCCTGTGGTGCCTAGGTTTAGAAGCATGAGTCTCCGAAGAGAGCTACGTAGGCATGGACATTCATTTAAGGTGGATCTCATTTGTTTTGGCCTTGTCTATAGCGGTGGCCGGCCGGCCGGCTTATCAAGTACAAGTCCCTCGTTCAGATATACTGTGGATAGGGTCATGTAGCACCAGAGCAATCCCAAATCCATCTTCATCCTCTCCACACTGCTTCCTTCCGCGTGATCATGAGTCCCGTATTGAGCCTTACCCAGTGCTGCCTCGTTAGAATGCTGCATGATTTGCGTCCGGTAATGCCCTCGTCTGCAAACAAAACTATGGTGGTATGACATTTCTGCCAAAATTGTTCAGGCTTAATTGATTGGAAGGCGGACATATTCATAGCAGGCTTTGGCATGGTATGCTGTGATCGAGGGGAGTTCCCTACCAACTTTGTGGCGCAGTCAACACATACGCAGCGTGGTCTTATCGGGCTTGCTGGGGGCATGCTTCACTGCAACCTCGATTTGTGTCGTTGCTGACGAGTTCGCAGACGGTATCGTTGTTTGGGTTCTGGACGTCGAGAAGAGGGGCCTGGTGAAGGCCAGGACGCCAGGTGTTTCTCGTAGTGCAAATGATGCTGGAACGACTTGGGCTGACCTTGCTCCCCTGAACCATATGGCCACCTCGACTTGCAAAGTCACCGCACCGTTCACTTTGGATTCTCCCTCTGCATGTGAGGGCACGTCGTTGAGGGGGCCAGATACATGAATATTTCGTCTCGATAAACCAAAACATTGGCACCAAAGGTTGATTTTGGCGGTGCAGAGAACTTGTCGCACTCTCACCGCAAGTGAAGGCGGCCGTCCTTTGTTTCGGGGTGTCACGACGTTTCCCAAGGTCAACGTCGGTACTCAATCACTGCTCGCGCAACCCCTACAGCCACAATTGACACATTGTATTCCGGCGGCGCCGCCACCGCCCTCACCTTCTTCACGACGTAGACTCGCCTTGGGGACCCGACAGATGCACGTTCCTTGAAAGTTGGTCTCCTTTGTCTGTACGCACCGCAAGCAACAAAGTTTCTCGTACCCTTGCTTCTTCCACTTGGCGATCAGGTTGGCGTCGGCGTAGCCGTTCTTGAGGAGCCAATCGTAGAGTTGTTTGCTGATGGCCTCGCGCTCGTAGTACAGGTCGTAGATGTACCGAGAGCGGGCGTGGGATATCTGGAAGATGGGCCAGGTCGTCTCGTGCTTCTTCTTTCCTTCGTGGGAGGCGTTTTGTGCGTCGCGCATCTTGTTGGCGTACTCGAGGAGGGTGTCTTCGATGTCCTCGAAACCCGCGGGCGGGGGTTTGCGAGAATTGCGTGAGCGGATTGGAGGCATTTTGTGATGAGGAGACAAGAGCGGTCACAAGTCAGGGTTTTAGAAAAAAACAGAATTGAGCAGGTCTGAGACGAATACTTCAAGTAGTAATGTCAACGTTGTGTTCGTAACAAGAATGTTGTTTGGAAAGTTGAGGGTTGGTGTTTTGCACAAGGCTACGATAGAAATTCTTGCGGGGAATCGTTTGGGGGGGTGCGACAAAAGCAGCGTCCGAAGATACATTTTGCGATTTCCAAGTCAGTACTACAATTTGGCTGATCAAAGTACTTTCCTCATACTCTTACCATAAACTTAGGAATTGGATCTCGAGGATTTGAAAGACTTACTCCCACACTGCCGCCTTTTCGTTTGGGAGAGTGCTCAAAAAAGACCATTCACGCAAGGCTGGATAAACGCAGCCTTGCCACGATAAAAGCGGCGAGAATGACGAACACGGCGAACAGAATTGTCTTGCAGCCTCGAACCTCCCAATTTTGACTATTCGCCATACATCAAGCTCACCATCTACAGTACGTCGACATAATCACTTTGGGTTCCAAGGTCGCAGATTCACACGCGCAAAGGGTTTCTCATCCAACCCAGTTCTCTTCTGCCACATTACCTTCTATACACCATGGACGACGAAATCAATGTCAGTGCGGAGGATCTCCAGCACTTGAGCAACGCCGAGAAGCAGCAGCTTCAGACTTTCATTCAGACCGAGAGCCAGCGATCGAATATTCAAAAAAGTAGGGCTGATCCTTTCTGGATGATTTAGAGCTTTTGCTAATAGTGGATGTTCCCAGCTGTTCACGAATTGACCGAGATGTGCTTCAAGAAATGTATCACAGGCTCGATATCTTCCGGCAAACTCGCCAGCAAGGAGGAGTCTTGCATGTCGAACTGTGTCAACAGGTTCATGGACTCCAATTTGGCAGTGTTACAGCATCTGGAAAAGCTACGGGCACAGCAGTGATTTTTGTATAGGGTTGGAAACTTTTGTACGAGTATTTATCGAGCGGTGCAGGAACAGGGCGGAAACCTGGCGAAGTCATGATACGGATAGAGAAAGGCATACGCTTTAGATGATGGACCTGGCGGGCTTGATTGCCCCAGCACTTGTAACAACACCATATCTCGTTTGGCAAAAGGCACATGAATCGCAGCGGCCTTCGTAATGACCAAAAGAATTTCTGCTCATAAATGGATTTTTTTTCTTCTGCATTATTCGGATGCAACACCTGACTTTGAGTCATGATCATGCTTCGACTGATTCTATGTCGAGCCGCTTTGAAATTTTCTTCCCACTGGATAAGTCATGCTCGAGCAATGTTTTCCATCCGCGGACGCAAAAAGAAAGCAGGAGATTCGCCCCGTCAACTCATCGCCAAACCCTGGTCACACTTTCCCCTCAACTTTACACAATCGACAGCTTCGTGGCCGCAATGTCCAAGGCATCCACATCCGCCGTTAATCTGGCGAATGCCTTCTTGGTACCATCAGGTCGGATCAGGGTGTTGATCTTGACAGTGTCCACGTCGTACAACTTCTTCAACGCGTCCTTGATCTGCTGCTTGTTGGCCTTGGTGTCGACGATGAAGACCAGGGTGTTGTTCTCTTCGATCTTCTTCATGGCGCTCTCGGTGTTCAGAGGGTGGATGAGGATCTTGTGGTGGTCAAGTCGGGTCTCATGAGGGATGGATTTTCGTGGGTATTTGGGAGATCTTGAGAGGACGAGGGTCTTTGGTCTGTGGAACGAAGTCGACTTGCGGATCTTGCGGGCCTTGTTGGCGTGCACCTAAGATTCAATTCAGCGCTTGTTCCTCCTCCCATCTCAGTAGAAGACTTACGCCCTTGAGGGTAGCTTTGGCAGCCTGGTTGGCTTTCGCACTTGGCTTCTTGGATTTTGAGCCTGTTGATCAACTCGTCAGTAAAGAGACCTCAAGCCTTCACAATCAACACCAAATTGTTCCTCAATCAAGTCCAGGATGCAGAGGCGCACTCGATCCCTCCACTTTCGACCTCTGCCCGGCTCAATTGTTCCACCTCTTCCTGCAGGATATTGGTGAGGGATAAATTGTCGTACCTGACGGCTTCTGTGTTGGTGGCGCCATTGCTGCTGTTGTGTTGCGCCTTGAAAGGGTTGTTGTAGAAATTGTCGTCTGGGCTGCGAATCTAAGTTGTGGTTGTGAGGCTATCAAAATTCATTGTGCTGAAAGTCTTGGCGCCAAGGTACGGCGGAGCAATTCGTCGGCGGGGTGCAAGTTGCTACAGATCCCCAGTACCAGTATGCCACTGTTGAGGGAACATTATTTTCGCGGTTCAATTTCAGAAGCGTGAGCTGATTGTCGCAAAGAGGCTCCTAGAGATTCGTCCCGCAGGAAGCATGGAAACGAAATGCTTTTAGTTCAGAACTCACCTGCAGATGTATGAAAGTTGGCCCAAGGGGGAAGGCAACATGAATACAACAGATGAAAAGGGCAATCCGCCCAATTCACAGCCAGAGGAAGATGACGCCGATGCATTGCTTGCTTCTCTCGAAGATGAGGATGACTCTGCATATCGCAATCAAAGGCTGAACGAGTTCAAAAGTGCATCAGCAGCCTCTCGAACCACCACAGTCAATACTTCGGAGAACCACTACATCACGCTAACCAGTGATGATCAGACCTTGAGTTTTACTACCGAACACGAGAGAGCTGTGGTACATTTCTTGCACCCTGATTTCACAAGGTGCAACACTATGGACACGCATTGCCAAATCATTGCAGATAAACATGCTGAATATGGCCATGGAGATGTCGCCTTTGCCAGGGTTGATGTCAAGAATTGTCCTTTTGTGGTTGAGAAGCTTGGTGTCAGAGTATTACCATGTGTCATTGGCTTCGCCAAAGGAGTTGTCAAAGGCCGAATTACCGGGTTTGAAGGATTATGTTGGGACGGAAAAGAAGGGAGCATGAACGTAACAAGAGCCGTCGAAGAAACGCTTATGAGTTGGTCCATCATACGCAAGAGGCTGCTCTTGGGCCATGACGACGAGGCTAGTGATGATGAGAACGATGCCTATGATGACTCTGATAGACGGCGATCTGGCCGCCGGGGCATTCGAGATCGCAAACAACAGGTTGAAGATGCCGACGACGACTGGGACTAAAGGGGGTCTGAGCGAGAGATTTTCGAGGGATTGATCAGGTCTTTGAAGAGCGAGCTCTACAAACGATGTTCTTCAGGGAAGCCTAATGGCGACAAGGCTTGATGCCAGATCATAGGTTGTGGTCTGGTCGAAACTGGAACATCGTTGTCTATCTCATACAAGCACAACCAAGCAGAATGATGGTGTACTTTCGGGACTGTAGCCGGCACCGCTTGTTAGCCGACCCACCATGGGAAAAGATGGGATTTCCAAATGGAACTAACTGATTGAAGGTTTAATCGAGCTTTTGAAAAGGTCCGTGCAATCAAAAGATGTGATAGTTTTGGAGCGCCAAAGTATCTTCAACGGAATGAGATCGAAGACTCGGGAGGTACTCCGTATGTGTAACTAAATCATTGTAGAGGGCCATTTTCGTGGAGTACAGGTCTGAGTACATGCATATGCGACTTTGTGGAAAGTGGTAGATAAGGGAGATTGTATTGGAGGCTTGCGAAAAGGACCACTACAGCTGAAGTGTATGATCAGCCCGGGCCTGAAAATGATTGACGCATGTCAGGGTTTGTTATAAGCCACCAAAGGGCGTTCATGCCTCGCCTGAAATTCGGTTGCGCGTCTCTGGCTCAGCAAAAACTGTCCCCTTTTCTCAATTCCCACTTCAAACTTTCTCTTAACTGCGAATCCGCATCCACTCTTCGCTTCATTTCTCGAGATCTTTCCTTTTAACTTCTTCTTTCTTCTAAACGAATCTCTGTCCTGTGACACGGAAGAGCACCTCTCAAGGTCTTTACCTCTCACCCATCTTCGTGCCCGATCACCGCGCCACTCTTCGACCCCCAAACCCATTCTACGGGACGATTTAGGACACGTAGCCCTACATCAAAAATGGCCGAGGAAGAGAAGAAGAGATTCCTCGAGGGTAACGAGATGGAACTGGGAGAGAAGCAAGGAAGAACCTTCAGCAGCCCGCCGTCATCCTCGACACCCCGTTATACACCGCACCATTCGAACAACTGGCAGAATAATCCCATCCTGCCCGTCGTCTGCTACTGCGGTTCTTCAATCTTGATGACTGTCTCGAACAAATACATCCTTTCGTTCCCCGACTATAACCTCAACTTTTTTCTTTTGGCTGTTCAGGTTCGTTCTGAATCGCCACATATATTACCAGTACTGATGAAAGGGTAGGCCATTGTCTGCGTCGTGGCTATTCAATCCTGCAAGAGTGCCGGGATCATCACATATCGGGACTTCAAGACTGATGAGGCAAAGAAATGTATGCTGCGGTGGACATTGAATGAGAATCACATGCTGACTGTTCCAGGGTTTCCCATTTCTCTCCTTCTCATCGGCATGATTTACACGAGCACAAAGGCCATTCGATATCTCTCAATTCCTGTCTACACAATCTTCAAGAACCTGACTATCATCTTGATCGCATACGGCGAAGTGCTGTGGTTTGGTGGTTCTGTCTCGCCCATGGCCCTCCTCTCCTTCGGATTGATGGTGCTTAGCTCGGTTATCGCTGCTTGGGCGGACATCAAGCACGTCCTGGAGTCGCACGGCACGGCATCTTCTGCTGCTGCTCAGCAATTGGCAACACTGAATTCAGGTTATATCTGGATGTTGGCAAATTGCCTGTCTACTGCCGCGTATATTTTGGGCATGCGCAAGCGCATCAAGCTCACCAACTTCAAGGATTTTGACAGTAAGTGCCTGGCCTTGAATGTATCAACTAGCACTGTGCTAACATTCTCCAGCCATGTTCTACAACAACTTGTTGACCATTCCTGTCCTCCTGATCTCTTCGTTCCTCGCCGAAGACTGGTCTGGGTTGAACTTGTCCAAGAACTTCCCTCCCGAGTCCAGGAATGGAATCATCGGAGCCATGATATTCACTGGTCTATCATCCATCTTCATCTCATATACCTCGGCGTGGTGTGTACGAGCAACCTCTTCGACCACCTACTCAATGGTTGGCGCACTGAACAAGCTGCCCATTGCTGTATCAGGTCTCATCTTCTTCGATGCCCCCGTCACGATCCCCAGTGTCTCGGCCATCTTTGTTGGTTTCGTCAGCGGTATTGTGTACGCAGTCGCAAAGGTCAGAGAATCGGCGAGGCCAAAGACGGGCATCCTCCCCACATCGAGCATCCCTATGAGCGCAAGCAGCCAGAGCAACCGGGATAGTTTAAAAGCATGATGAGGCCATTTCAGTGCCTGTGTGGGTTCTCCCTTTTCTGCAGCACTGTGTGTCTTTCACTGGTGACTGTTGTATTTCAAGCATTGCGTGGCGCCTGGCTGGGGATTCTGTAGAGGATGTGCAACATTAATGGCTATTCATGAGAGGGTCGATTAACGAGAATAGGGAACCTTGAATTTTCTCCCTCGATTTAGACTTGTTAGAGTAAAGGTTTCGGATGGTGTCTTTCTGCGGAGTACTAATATTTATATCCCTGAGAAATGAAATTTGAAATAACCGCCATTGTCATACATTGTATACTGTAGATGGGGGTGAAAATGATGCCAGGGTCCAAGTTCAAGGAAGTGATCTTTTGGCATCGTATCACACTGACATCTGCCTGACATGTGCGACAATCTCAAGCTAGGGGGATTGTTCCGACTTGAGATCTCGGCTAGAAATCAAACTATCGAGCCGAAGCTACGACTAGCATGATGGAAAAAGTGCTTGTCACGCAGAGTAGAAGCCACTTAAAAACTCCCTTGTCGTTATGAAGATTCGGGTAATATGTAGTCGTCGTGATCCAATTGTGAGAATCAGGCCAGAAGTTCTCCAGACTACGATCGATATTGGGGAAGTCATACATGTGGAATGCCAGGAAACCCAGTTCTCCGTGTGGTGAGCCTCATAGGCTGGGTAGATGCCGGACATCAGTGTTTGCTAAAAAAAAAAACTGCAACAAATGAACCCTAGATTTCCGAACGAGTACGAAGTACTGTTATAGTAATAAGGCGCAGTAAGTCATGCTGTCATTCGCCGTGTCATGTCGCCGCGGGAAAATCCCAGGTCGTCCATCTACGAGTATCAAGTATCAGCAGGACAGAAGGCAGGGAAGGATGGTGTGCGGTGGTTGGTCGAGTGTGGATGAAACACATGCAGGGCTTTTCGAGGAACTAAGCTTGTCTTGAACGGTTACAAGCTTGCATACGGAGTACATGATGCACCACGGAAATTACTCGTGTACCTGCATCATTACGGAGTGATAAAAAAGGACAAGTGGCAAACAAAAGTGATTGGCGTGTAAAATACCCGGAAAATGGTTTGGTTTTTGATGCCATGCAAATTCCAAGGTTGTGCATTCTATTACGGAGTGTTATACGGACTATCTTTGTTCAGATCAGTGGACGGCACAACGATATGACGAACATGATCTAGACGCGAGAAACTGACCAAGGTCAGAATAGCCAAGTATAGGTTCCCATGGGTGATCCTTTTTTACAAACGCTGAGTACGAGTAGAACAGTTGTGTCAAGGTTCCAATGTAATACAATATTCAACATACGGAGTATCATAGCAGTGGTCATCCATTGCGGCGGAGTTTTGAACGGGTAAAGCCAGGCTACGGACTCACAAGACATCATTATGGCTGCTGGTTTTTACATGCAAGAAGCCGGTAGAGATAACCCCCACGGGTACTGAACATTTTACATGTGGAACAAGATCGACAATGCTAGTTTCGCCTCGCCCGTTGTTCAACCTGTTGTTTTGTGTCACACATGACTACCTCCGATAAAGAATGGACAATCTTGGTCGCCTATCACTGAGCCTTAACTCATAGCATGAAATACTACTGGTGCGGATACAATATAGATATCCAAGAAAAAGAGGTTATCGATGATGGCCATGGATTTATTTGTAAACTCGCACATGGCAGAATCGTCTATGGCAGGAGAACAGATGCTTGTAGCACGAGTTCGTGTTGATCGTGCTACGAGATACTCGGGCAATTCGATCATCCTGTAGTGTACGCATAACATCTGGCCCCTATTTTCTTTCTAGAATACTCTCTGGGTCGTCCTCCATGCTGTAAAATAACATGAGGCTACGGAGTATATAGTAAGGGGGCGCGAGTATCCGTTTTTACCATTATCCATGTACTCCGTAAACTCCATTCAATCTCCTTCAGCCTATCGGTTTAGTATGCAACGTCAAAATGCTTGACTTCAGCCACGAAATGCACACGCCTATCAGTACGCGTACTTGTGAGTGGGGAGAAGTCCGTGTTTGCATCCCTTTTTTTTCATTACGGAGTATCTGTTCATTTGTATTAATAAGGCACGAGATATGCAAGGGATAGGACGCTGTTGCAGAGAATTGATAGTTTCTTCTTCAGCAAGTCATATACGAGTACGTAGACTAGACTGAGTAACGCTGCGCGGATCAAGATCATCAGCCGCCATACACACTCACCAAAAAACTAGGTGAAGATTGACGCGTTAAGAGGTAATCCCATGAGGCGCAGTGCATGCAGACATGGGTAAAGACAGCAGCTGAAGGCAATCTCCAACAAGACAATGGAGTTGTGTGTGTGTGTGTGTGTGTGTGTGTGTGTGTGTGTGTGTGTGTGTGTGTGTGTGTGTACTGGACACCTCCAGCTAGCTGATCATGTCTTGACTTGATCAACTTGTAGGCACAAAACCTGACCAGAGGCTTCTCTTACACCGCGTGCGGTATTGGCTATGTACGAAGTACCCGTAGTATTCCAGGCGCCAAGGGTGACCTGCGCTGGGCCTGCGCCTGGCTGCATCTAGGCGCATGTTTTGGTCACCGTGCCCCATCTTTAGGCGCGCCTATCAACTTGACCAGGTGCCAATCGAACTTCACTGTGTGTGTTTTGTGTTGTCCAGACTGCGCGTTCTCCCTATACTGTACTCTCTACTGTGTGTATGTACAGTATCTTGTGCCTCGCTCTACGCAGTTTCGTACACTGTCCCTTTTCTTCCTCTCTACAGTAAACACCACGCCGTAGCCACGTTCACTTTTCTCTTCGTTCTGTCAGTGTCACCCAACGCTCAAGACGTGGCTATCGAGCGCAGTTCCTGTGTCCGAAACCCTACCGCTAATTCCCAATCCGCGAAACCCCCCCGGTCAAGTCAATCTCAATCCGAGCCCACTCTTCTCCTGGACTTCCCCCATCTCACGCCTTTTTTCCCTTGGAACCAAAACCTGCTTTGACGGAAACAACACAGTCGTTTCCGTGTGTACAAACCGCAATCAACCACACTCGTTTTTGTTCTCAACAAGTTCGTCGACGGCTGGAAATCCTTCAGTCTTTGTTTGCGGCCGCAGCCACGCCGCCATCGACATCCTTTGTTTCGACTGCCCCCGAACAATTCGAATCCCGCAGCCAAACAATCACAACCCCCATGTCAATCTATTAGTCCACCATCAAACCAACATAACAACCCCGTCAAAGTGGCAGCAACTACTGTGACGGAATCGCCAATCATGGCAAACTCGTAGGTTTTATCTCTGCGTTCAGTGGGTGGTTTGTATTGACACTTTCCAGCTTCTCCTCCGCATGGCGCTCCTTCTGGCATACCATGACCTCAAATGATCGCCATGCTTCTCACGATTCCCCTTACAGAACAGGTCAACATGTACCTGTCAGTCAAAGTCGACACGCTCCTCTCACCTCGGTTGCCACCAGCGCAGTCGATTCCCACCAGGACCTCTCGGCTACCTACCACGACGATTCGAAACGACCTTCCATTTCCTCCTCACAGATTGCGGAATCACCTGCAAGACCATATTCTCCCGGCATGCGATCCATGTCCTCTCCCAAGCCACCTCAGGCCGACCAGACAGTAGCTCCTGGTGAGATACAAATGCAGAATTTTGCTGACGGCGCCCCCCCGCCTCCTCCCGTCTCTCATTCTTGGAAAAAGATTGACCGCTGGGCTGAAAAGAACTACGAGGAGCTCTGGGATCAGCTAGGTGAAGGATGTACACAGAACGATGTTAATGAACTCGAACACGAATTGGACATGACCCTACCTCAAGATGTTCGCGAGTCTCTAGGAATTCACGACGGTCAAGAACGAGGCGGCAGGCCAACCGGTATCATTTTCGGCTGCATGTTACTAGACTGCGAAGAAATCGTACAAGAGTGGAAAAACTGGAAGATCGTGAATGAAGAGTACCTGAGCGGTGCTAAAAGCAAATACAGCTCCAAGGGTCTCAGCAATGGTTCCTCGTCGTCCAGCCAGACTCAAAACGGCAATCGCTATTGGCGACAAGAACTCCTGGACAGACAAGAGTCACAACCTCCCAAGGCCATCCAGAAAGCATACGCACATCCGAGCTGGATTCCCCTGGCCAGAGACTGGGGTGGAAACAACATCGCAGTTGATCTTGCTCCTGGCCCCATGGGCAAATGGGGTCAAATCATTTTGTTTGGACGAGACTACGACTGTAAATATGTGGTGGCACGATCTTGGGCTCACTTCTTGGCCGTTGTAGCCGACGATCTGAGCACTGAAAAAGTCTTTGTCGACGAAGAAACAGGAGAGCTGAAACTGAAGGAATTCAAAACAGAAACGGTGGAACCACCTTATATGGATATTCTCCGCTGGCGAGCTGACCAGAAATATGGCCGACGAGGACCCAAGCGGCGCCCTCAGCCGGCCGGCTTGAACACCAACATTGTTGCACAAAATGGACGGCAGTCGCCCTATGGCAGTCCGGTCATGGGCAACGAAGATAGAGGCCGATCACCACAAAGATTCTCAAGAGGCCCACAAGGTAGCCCGCGGCACGCTGTCGGTAGCCCATTGGCCCGTGTTCAGGAAGAGATTGCACAACCACAACCCGTCCGCCCTGGAGGTGATGTTGTACGAGATTTTGCCGAGGCCGCTGAAATTTCGAGTGAAGGGAAGAAGCGAGAAAAGACGGCAGAAGCTCCCGCACCTATCGATCTGAAACTTACCAATATCCCGCGGAAGCCAGAGAAGTTGGTCGATGCGCCTACGCCGTCCTCGTTGAAGAGTGCAGATTCCGACAAATTCCCGGCCACCAGACTCGGCAGAGTGTTGACTGAACCCGAAGCCAAAGAGACAAACACCACCGACGAGGACAAGTCCGAAGTCAAGGGACTGGGTGTCAATGGCATCGAAGATGAAATGAAGACCGTTACCATATAATATCTTTGGGTCGTTTCAGTACAGCCAAGAGCCTCTTTTTTTTTCTCAAACGAACTCATGGATGGCTGGATATGGTTTATGGTTTGGTCTGGGTATGGATATGGATAGGGTGACTTGATTCCTTTTTCTGGAGCAGAACACAAAGTCCAACCCGAGCATTAAAGAGGATTACACCCCCAATATCAAGGTTTTTTTGTTTTCTGCTGTGGCGTGCCCTGTGGCTAGCGAATGTATGATAAACGGCTACCGCCGTAATGAGCAAGAAAAAGGAAAAGCCCCCTCGACACTGTATTCTCATTTCTTTCCCTTTGTCTGTCTTCAGAGAAAGGTCCTCGGCTCGAGTTTTTCAAACATTTGTGGTGACGATGGGAGGACCTTATCGACGAAGAGGGGCCCCCTGCCACGATAACATCTGAAGAAAGATTGGAAATATTAGAATTGCAGCATGGCGTACTAGGGGAGAGAGAGAGAGAAGAGGGTGACGATGACGAGTACTTTTCAGGGTACTCTGGTCGAGGGGCTAACAAGCCCGGGGGTTTTTGAGGTAGCTGAATCAGTCTGATCAATGGCGATTACGATCGAACAACAAATTCATCCTGGAAAGGATTCTAGAAGGGGATTCCAGTGCAGATTATGCGTTTCGTCATTAACTTTGTTCATTTCGTTTGGTCCACCTCCGTACAGAGTAGTTGATATGCAGATATGACCGTCTCCGGTCATTGGTCGGTTCATTCAATCATTCGATCAATCGATGATGATACAAAAGTTGTTCCTCCCAGCTCCGGGGTTGATTTCTTTCTTTGGGAAAACGGTCTGTCCTCCTTCCCGGACCCATCGATCCTTTTCGGTGGGGTCGTACGTCCACAGACTGTAATGAAGTTTTTGTGTCGTCTTGGTCTTGCGGGCTGTGTAACCCAAAGAAGACATGATCAGGTCGAGGTGTGAGGGAGTGAGGTATCTAGAATTGTGGATCGTAGGTGCAGGTAAGACCAAAAACAGACAAGGGAGTGATTTTGAACCGGAAGTCGTGGTGTCCAGGTCGTCCAGGTCAACCAGGCCATTGACATTCTCATCGTCAGGTACGTCTTGGTTTCTGTCTTTGTTTTCCAAAGCAGGAGCAGAAGTAGAGGTGCTTGAGTCGGATGTAGAATCAGTAAAGAACAGCGTCGTCCTCTTCAACATTTCCCCTCTACCATGCGCATCTGGGACATAATTCAAAACCAGACTGAGACTCAAAACGTCGTAACCTTTTTGATTCTTCCACGAACCTTTCCCAGTAGGGTCATTTGGTAAAGGGAACTTCATAAAATCGATTTCCTCGATACCAGATGCCGAAGATCTTAGATCGATACGTCGGACTTGGGTCGCATCGACGACGTTGAGAGCATTGGTGGTACTCAGAGCACCAATCTCTAGTATTCTCAAAGGAGGGGGCGGAGGAGGAGAAGAAGACTTTTGTTTCTTTGGCCTCGTTTGATCGTCATCATCACCGGCAATGACAAAAGTCGTAGATGAATTCCGATCTTGATCCTTTTGGTTTCTTTGTTGACATGGCCTCGATTTCCGACGAACATCAAGTTCGTCCTTGATCCATTGAACCAATACGCGGCTCGAGTCACCACCTCTTTCGGCGCTCTGTCCCACGGTGCTGGCGAGTTGGTATGTCGCGAGACCACCCGAAGCTTCGAGTTCCAATTCGAGTTGTCGAGCGAGACCCGAATCTCCGGCGGCCCTGGCGCGAGAGAGACGTTTCTGGAGGGTGTGGTGTCGGCGTATCACGGTGCGGGTGTGCCTGGAAGAGATTGACGACGTCCGCTGTGCCGTGGTGGTCGTCGACGTCGACGAGGGACCACCGACACCAAGAACGTTGCCTCCTCCTGACGAGGAAGACGGAAGTAGAAGAGGCGGACGACCAGACTTGAGAGATTTCGTACTGGCACTCGTGTTCTTCGACCTCGACTTTTTCGATGCCATCTTGGGGGCTGTTTTTCCCTCTCGAAACCTGAAGACGGCTTTTCACACCCCGAAGACGATTTACAACATGAACATGAAAATCCCGTGTGTTTTGTGTTTGTCCATGTCTTCATACATAATAAAAAAAAAGATAATGTCGGTCGCTGTAAACACGGTGAAAAGTGGTTTGCTGGTGGTGGTAACAATATGAAAATGCTCCGTACGGAAATGTACTTTGTATATTTTTATTCTCATCTCGGAAATCTCAAGACCCCCACCAAACCATTCATACAATTTCGGGATGTCACTTCAACCTACCAGGTTTTCTCGACCACGAACAATACAAATGATCAGATAGAAAACAATATGTGAAAGCAGTACAAGGAGATTGACTTTATATTTGGGGGGGTGTTCATCGATTCAGTCAAGTCTACTACTGTAATACCGACTCTATTTGATACTCTAAGGGGGTAGGTATCTACTCAGTCTAAATGTTCAGGCCATTTACTATCCTCGAGAGCATACTGTACAGCGGCCTTGACATCATCCACTATCGCCCTGGGTTCCCACGTAGGTCGTTGTCCATCGCGGTCCTTGTACACGCCCGTCCGGGTCAAGAGACTGATCCATTCCACTCCGCGAGGAGACTCGAAACTGTTTGCGCCGCGGATGTCGCTCTCCGGGTTGTCCCCGACCATGTACACCCTCTTCAACGGCGGGACAACTTGTTGGTTATGACCTTTGAAGATGGCGTCGCGGTGGCGGAGTAGCTGTTTCTCCGCGTACTCGTACGTCTCCCGGAACGGTTTGCCCAACACCTTCTTGTACAGCTTCGGGGTGGGGTGGTGTTTGCTCTTCGTGAGGGCCCTCCACAACCCATCGACCGCGGCACGGAACCCGCCCTGTCCCAGGCGCGACAGAGGGTAGTCCGCCGCCCAGAGGAGGTCCGGGTTCGAAAAGTAGAGCCTCGGCTGGCCGTCTTGTAGATACCCGCTGTTGGGTAGAGAGGTGTCGCCGTTTTTGGCGGAGTACGTGCCCACGATGCCGCGAGACGAGAGCATGACGTCCATGAGAATCTGCGCGTCCAAGCCCCAGTCGCGGGGGTCATTGTACACAAAAACCGCGTCGATCTTGAGACTTCCTTCGGGGTCCTCCGGGTTGATCGGTTTGGGCAACGGCCGTGCGAATTTGTTGTAGTAGTGGTCCTTGAAAGGGGCACTAAAGGGCCATATCTCCGGGTACGCGGCGTATATGTCCCCGGGAGTCACGACGTTGGTGAAGCCGTACGCCTCGGCGACGTCGCGGCACCGAGGTCCCTCTCCGCCCATGACCAGGATACATTTGTCGCGCAGACTGTCCTGGCCGTGGGTCAATTCCGCAAACGGCGTGTGCGACTGGATGAACATGGACGTGGAGAGCGAGAGGGACAGTCGGGACGAAAGGTCGGCCACCCGTTCAGATTCATGTTTACCGCCGCCGTTGGTGAGGAGGATAAAAGGGATCGAGTGCTTCTGAAGGTATTGAAGGGTCGTGGAGGCGTGCGTGATGGGTCTGGCGCTACGGATAAGAACACCGTCTATACTGTAAAATATTGTCAGTCGGATTGGAAGAAGCTGGGAAACACATGGCTGCGGCGTACTCAAATGCAAAGGCAAAGTCGGGGACATTAGACCTGGATTTAGACTCCGTCTGGAATGAACGTCGACTCTGAAGCCGCAGAGAACAACAAAAGGTTGGCTGCCGGGCCGACTGAGACCATGGCCAGGATACGAAAGGCCTACTGTTGTAGACCACTCTCCGACTTGCCATGCTCATCGCCGGCCAGATGCGCCAGCAGGTTTCAAGAAGTCGACGCAGATGATTCATATCTCTCTCATTTCGGAGCACAAGGCTTATCGATAACGAATGTTTCACCGGATTTTATACGGTCGAATATTAAATCATATGGTGTGGTCTTTCATGTCCAGTAAGTCACTCTTCGGCCACTCCTGTACTTTGTTTTCTGAAGTGACCTGGGCAACTCGTCGGAGGATGAGAAATCGGTGACCCCGTGTCAATCTCTTCGGGTTCTATAAATCTACATGTTTCAGTCATTCCGCTTCATCTTTATTACATCCAACTTTTAGACAGAACCAAAAAACAATACCCAATACTCCACTAAAAAGTCACCATCAACAATAGCAGAGTCCTCAGATCAAGGCTTGCTAAGTTGTTCCTTGCGATAAAACATAAAGTACCCAAAGCAGACGCTCAAATTCAACGCGAGACCCACCCAGAACCAGGCTTGCCAGATCGTAGAGACACTGCCACTGATGTCTGGACTGATTGGACCCGGACCAATCTTGTTTGGTGCGCAGGCTCTGGCGACAATCGTCGCAACAGAGCCAAGCACCTGTGCAATGATCAACGTGAATGCTACGTGGACACGAGTCAGTGTCGACAGAAGGATCATGCCCAGGCCCACCCCTTGAATTGCATCCAGTGTGCCCAGCCAGAGCCACAGAGCTCTTGAGACGAGCGCCGATGAGGTGTAGCCACCGGCCCATGGGAGGAACAAGCCGATGTTGCTGGTTCCCCACCATATTTGTGCCCACCGAGGTGCTCCGAGGCCGATTGCAAAAAGTGGGAGAATCCAGCTGTGTCTCTTCGAGAGCAACGCGAATAGCCACAGGAAGCCTGCCCACACACCGACGAAGAACAAAAGAACGAGCAACACAATCTGCCAAGTCTTTGCGTGGGAGCTGCTCCACAAAAAGGACCAGTTTCGTCCGTACGGCGCAGACAGGAAAAAGTTTTGGATGATCACCGTGAAGAAGAACCAGAGCACAATCTTGCGGCGAAGGAGACTGTGATAGAAACTCGGCATCTTTCCAGGTGCTTGACGGTAGTAGTTTGGGAGGCCAAACCACATCAGCAAACCAATAACCCAAAGGAGTATGGCAATGGGGAGAGTGATGGCGGTGATTTTCCACGTGGATGAGACGGAGTCGGAACTAGTCAAGAGTCCATCCGACGTCCTTTTGTTGAGGTAAGCGCCCCAGTACCAGAGTGCCACGACATAGATCTGCTGAGTGCCTTGAATCACACAGGCGCGGAATACCCAGGCTTTGACTTGAGCGCCTCCCTCGTCACCAAAGTTCAACGCGAAGAAGATGCTGCCCGAAGAAGAGGCCACGGCGTACATGCCAGTGCCAACGTTTTGGACCCATCCGCGGCCACTGGCGGTGGAAGCGTAGTGCGCAGTGCCGATCAAGATGAATGCCAGGCCGTAGAAGAAGAATGGCAGTGACAGACACAACATGGAGCTGAACCGTCGGAAGAGGAACCACCAACATATTGACGTCACCAGGTAGATGCTTGCGATGCTGTAGAGCTTGTCTGCAGTTTGACCAACTTCACCAGTCAACAGCGTAATCTGGTACGAGTTGGCGGCAATGATTTGACCGAAGCCCATAAAGAACGCATAAACGGGCCAGTCGCCAACGCGAAGTTGCATCCATTTCCTGAGCCCGGTTGGCGGCTTGTAGTCATCACCTAGCAGGAACTCGTTGCCCAGGTTGTTGGAGTCGTGTCCTCCAGAGCTATGCTCACTGTCGCCTGCGTAGCTCGAAGGCGGACGAGACTCGCGAGTAGCTTGAAAGCTTGGCCTTGGAGATAGTGCGTTGTATCTGCCAAGTTTGACATTGCGGAACGTGTCAAACCATTGCTTCTCAGACTTGACCAGGAACTCTTCGATGCACGCAGACGACTCGGAGGTACTCCCGTTGAGGTTTTCGAGTTTCTTCTCGAACGTCTTTGCAAACTCCCCGTTGCTGTCGGTGAAGAATGGGTCAACCTTTTGAAGTTTGAAGTCTGTTTTTTCACCGACGATCGAGTTCACAGACAGCATGGAAGGGCTGGCAGATATCCGGTTGTTGGTCTCTGCCCTCACAGGTGGTGGCGGAATAAGGAAGCCAGATTCAGCTGGAGGCGACGGTGGTACCGGAGAGCTACCATGAGGCATGGCCAATTGGCTTTGCATGGAAGCCATCTCCAGTCCGGGGCTTCTTGGAGAAGTCAGATTGTCAAGATGATGTGGCGTGAAAGGAAAGTCTTCGTGCACAGGAACACGTTCGTATCGTCCCCGAGTTCGAGTAGGCATCGTGATAGCGTCGTCAGCATCATAATCGCTATCACTAGAATCATCGTCGTCTTCTGGAAAATTGGGTGTATTTGGGGTTCCCAGTCCAGTCGCGTCGTTACCTTCCACGTCGGGTACTGTGGCAAGCGTATTTGGTGCATAAGTAACCTCTCCATCATGAGCATCGTGCGCATTGATGTGGCCTGGGCCTTGGTGTGAACCAAGAGAAGCTGATCGGGCCAGGGTGGACCCTGACCGCGTGGAGACGTCATGGCTTTGCTCACGACTGTGTGCAAGACCTCGGAGTCGGGAAGTTAGTGAGTTCAGAGCTGAACTCGACGAGACCCTCGAATTTGCCAATCCCGGAGTGACTGCGCCAGAGCCTCCTGGAGTGCTCCAGCCAGAGTGTCCCCATATAATCTCGCCTGCGGCAGCATGACGTTTGCTTGCCTCGACCTTGTCGTGTAACTGGATGGCGGTGGATTGAAGGATTTCAAGATCTTCAACCCATTGGGCCACGGGGAACCGCTGCTTAGCCGAACGAGCTCTCATGAGTGCTCGGATTTCCGTCTTTGAGTGCAGAGCCTCATCGATGGCTTGTTTGAACTGATGGAGTAGATGCGAGGTTGTCATTGACTCGACTGTGTACCACCAACCAGGCTATAAAATCATGTAAGCGGATGAACACCAAGACTACGACCTGGGAAAAACACAGTAGAGCGAGAGGGATGTGAACTCACCATCTGACCAAGACCACCAACGCGAGCACCGACACCAAGAGCTCCTTTACGGCCGAACTCCACTGCGACTAGTCCAAAGGGTTCGTCCCGGGAGGGAATGAGGGCGAACTCTGCACCTGAGAAGATGAAAGGAGGAAGGGCAGTGAACACTGGCTTTGAAAACACCCTGCCAGGGTACAGCTTCATCATGCGATCCAGCTTGAGGGCTGCAAATTTGCCGTAAAGATCAATGACTGGACCAACAGTGATGAGCTGCACATTCGGATTCGACTCCAGTATTGACGGGAAGACATCAGCGATCAGGTCAATCCCCTTTTGCATCGACCATCGACCAACAAAGACAAATAATTCGGCCTGCGGGTTTTGCTCTAAGCCTGCCCATTCTTGAGCTTGACGCTTTAGTTCAGGGCGTCCAGCTTCGAATGTGGGATCAATACGGATATCGGATTCCTTGGGAAGCTTCTTGTCCCATTCACCAGTGTCAGAAGGGTCCGGGTTTGGAAGCTTTCCGACCTTCTTCAGACCCCAGAAGATAGGATATCTGGCGTAGGAGCGTTTGCCATATTTCTTCGATACGCCGACAGCGCCAAAGCCATGTTGATGGAGTCTCAAGTAGGAAGCGCCAGCATGCAGCAAGTTGAAGACTTCACCGAACTGAACGTAACGTTGGACCAATTCGGTTGAGAGGTTGAAGACGGAGCAGACTTCCTCACGCTCCTGCTTTGTCCGCATGGGCCATAGCCCCTGGAATTCAGCGTTATGGAGTGAAAGGCACGCAGGGATGGTCCTGGGGAGCAAGTAGAGCGGAGCAACTGAGCCGTGGTAATCATTGATATGGTACAGGTCAACGGGAAAACGGTTGATGGCCTGGGCGATGCATTGGTTCCATGCAGAATAGTAGATTGCAGAGGAAAGGTCGTCCATCCTGGGCGGATACGGCTCGGATTTTGTCTGTTGGCGAAAGACAGGAGCATCGAGAAGAACGTATGTGATGTTGCGCAGAACGTGATACTGAACCTGGACTTCATACGGTTTTCCGAGTACGACAACCGTCATTGGGTCCGCTTTCGTGTCCTCAGGGTACTAGTTGTGAGCACGTTAGAGATACTCCATCTTCACGAGCACCACCTAGAGATTGGGGGTCACTTACCTCGACTCCGCCAACGCAAGGTACACACCAGATCAGATCCTGGTGACCCAGATTCTTACCCATTAGTTGTGCCATGACACCGAGTCCACCGATCTTGATCTTGATCTCCCAGTCTTCGATGTCATACTCCATAGTTGCTATCAAGACTGTCCGGCGACGTTGCTGGTCGATGACAGTATCCGACTGCTGCAAGAACTTTGGCTTCCGGTTGATTTTGGACAAGAATCCAGGCGAGCTCTCCTCATCTTTGAGTTTCTTGAACTGCTTCTTGATGGCGGCAGGAATCATTCCAGCCTTTTCCGATATCCCGATCTCATTGAATTTGACCTGATAGAAGCTCTGCATGAATGACCAAACCCCAAAAGCAGCCGTGATGATAGGAACAACCCATAAGAGTATGTATAGAATAAGCTGATTCCACATGCTGCCTGAGGGCACGATCTCAAAGCGAAGCGTGCCATCATTGATCACGACGCGCCATCCGAGGTAGGGCTTGGGGGGAGCATCCGTTATATTCAGGATAACCGAGGATAACGAAGACGGAGGAAGTCGGTCCAGGATTGAGTCTCCATCTGCATCACCCATAACTATGGTTTGATCAGGTTTGCCGTCCGGATTGACGCCCCAGACATTGATTTGTGCAAGTACACCAGACGGACTCGGACTCCATTCCGTCATGAAATGATGGTGCCAAGTACTGTTTTCAGACAAGGTCATTTCATTGTCCAGCCCAGCATCATATCCGTATTGGTTATACGGGCCATTTAGGAAGAGATGTGGGAACCGTCGAGATGTGTGATAACCCAAGTCGCCTTGCTGAATATGGTCACTGCTTCCAGCTAGTCGACTGAAGTACTCTACCCGCACATGGGTGCCTTTCCAGGACTGCAATTTGGTCCCAGACCAAGGCTGTTCCTCAATTTCAGCCTTGCCACCCTTGTAAGGCATCCATGAGGAGAAGGTAGAACCCCAGTTCGTGGAGTATCGCCATTTATCGGCTCCAGCGGCGGAATGTGATACCATTAGGGACCCATTGTCGCTCCTGCTGAGTAGAGAAGAAGAATAGTTGGCGCTCGTGGTGAAAACCATAGGATTATCAGTTTGACCAATCCTGAACAAGAAACGGTCGACAGCGTCTGTTTGTCCTCCACCCTGGGCAGATGCATTGCGAACTGTGATGGCATGAATACCGTTTGCGACATCTTCAATCGATGCTGACCACGACCATACGGAGGAGATTGCGCCAACATATGGCGGCGTCTCCGGATTGTTCATAAGGGTGCACTTGACGCTGTCCCGATCTATCGTAGGAACTGTACCTAGTTCCGTTGTGGAGTTGAAAAGGATGCTATTGGTAACACTGTCACAGTCCATCTCCACGGAAAATTCCAATGCGATGTCGACAGTCTCAGTGCCCGTAGAGTTCACAGTAGATCGAAGGCGAATATCATGTCCTGGGTTGAATTTCGTGATCATGGGCTGTGGACCAACCCAGTCATCGATGGGGACATAAGCGCGGAAATCGTACGCGGCCATGTCCAAGCTGCGTAAACAACCATTTGCAGACGTCGAGCCATTAATGCCGAGCTGGTGGACACTGTCTTCCAAGGTATGCTCGTCATAGGGATAAAATAAATTCTTCACGGTTGTTCCCGCATCATAAGGTGCAATTAAACTTGTGGTATTGAGCGCAGTAGCATTATCGTTGCAGTCGAAGTTGTATGTGGTGGAGGAGTTGGCATTCGAATATAGCAGCCAGATAGGAAGGTTGCCAGCTCCAGTGGTACCTAGATCTTGCACCCCTGGAAATCCCGATCGCATCACCGACCACATCCCAGTTTCGGTAGTCACTTTCCCGGAGCCAGGATATTGGATTTGCTCGGTCTGGTTGGATAGCTGTTGTAGGAAGAATCCGTCCTGAAGTACAGGGAACTGTTCGCGTAATTGATTCATGTGATGGATGATGTTTCGAACAGGGTGAGAAGGGTCTCTGTGATCGTAACTGACAGTAATGTCTTTACAACCATGACGAGAGGCGTTGAGGGGCATCTTGAAGAATTGAGTTGAATTCAGGTGGTAACAACCATGAGTATACCAGGCAGTGGCAGAGGACATGGCTTGACGGCCAAATATATAGTTGGAGGCAGTATTATCAAGGACATAGAAGGCTTGCTCTTCACCCCACAACAATAATGGTGCTCCTGGCATTTCGATCGTAGTTATGAAGTGCCCAAGCAGCTGACGATGCACACCATTAGTAATGGCAGGCCATCGGAAGACGTCTTGGTTGGTCGTGCCCATGAGATGTCTGGGGTCGAAGAGACCTGTGTTTGGGTTCACAAAGTCGTTAGTGAGAAGGAAATTATTCCACATGTCGACCCAATTTGGTGGAGCGTCATAGCCAGCTTCGAGATTGCCATCCATTCCAAGAAAGCGTGTCAAAGTTCGATACACAGTATAGTGGAACGCGGCAGCATCAAGAGCTCCGTGCTCAGGAGCCCTAAGAAAATACTTGTCGGCTGAGTTGTTAGTCATTGTGACCGCTGCTGTAAGGTTGTCTGGAAGCATATCCGGTTGTCTTCCACGGCCCAGATACAACGAACCAAAGACATTCCCACCAGTGATTTCACCAGGGGTGAAGAAATTCTCTTTGCCGAATCTTTTGGCGCAAGTACGCATAGCTTCATTCATGAAACCCATGGCGTCGATGGTGCTTTGAGTAGCTTTGTCGTATCGAAAGCCGTCGACGTCTAAAGACGCAATGAGAATACAGTAGAAGTTCTCCAACTTATGGCGGACAGGCTCATGCCACTCCCGTAGACGATCTTGGACCGAGGCGAACTTCGACAATTGACGTCGCCAATCTGGGAAAACACCAAAGGCTTCGGTATCGCCGTATTGATCGAAATCGCTGTCGTAACATCCCTTTAGATTATTGGTAACATCCTCGCCAGCAGGATAACCAGTTTCTAACCAGAACTTTGGATAGTTGCAAGTCTGGTTGTAGTTGTTGCCGAAGCTGAAATCATAGTAGTGACGATCGCTCTTGAACTGGACTTGATGTTCAGCGAGAGAGAACGGTGTGGTGGTATTGAGGTAGCCGTCAAACCCAATGAGGTCACCCATAGTGGCAAAGGTGTTGTCCAGAAGAACGTACATTCCCCTCTCGTGTATTTCATTGATAGCAGTGCGCCACATTTCAATGTCACCAAAGTGTTGATCGAGGATGGACAAGTCGAGGGGTGAGTACTGATCGTAGCCCCAGGGTGTGTTGATGAATGGCGAACCGGCAATATAGATGCCCTGCGACTGTCAGTATAGGTCTGATACATTATGTTGGTTAATGCGTACTTTGATTCCCATGCCTCGCAGATAGTCCAGTGTGTCAACCAGGCCCTGGAGGTCACCTCCATGGCGCATTTGGTTGGAATTGGTGTCATGTTCGTAAGCAGTCCCGTTGATGTTATCGTTAGAGGGATCTCCGTTAACGAATCGGTCCAGGAAAAGGGTGTAGAAAGGAAACCTCCAGTTAGTCGGCGAGGGAGTATACTCGTGCCCCGACCACTCTCCCCAGTAGTCGAGGGGGTCAACGGCAGTCTGGTTCTGATTGAGATTCCATTGCGAATAGTTCGGGTCATATCTGTAACCAAAACATGTTGTAAAGAAAAGAAAGAAAAAGATGCTCAAACTCCCACCTCTAGCTGTCATTGCGAAGACAAGAAGAATAACGAAGGACCTATGGAGAGCGAGTGAGGTAGTGAAACGAATGTGAGCAGCCCCGAGGGCAATGGAAGACAATGAGGGTTTACGACGCAAGCTAGGGATGTAGAAAATGAGATAAAGAGAAGAGCATCAGGAACTCGAAGGGAAACGAGTACTATCCCAGGCCTGCGTGATCCGGGGGTGGCCTACCTCTTCGTCTGCATCACATCAACTCCGCCCACGAAAAGCTGGGTTGGCTGGGACGAGCACAGTCGCTCTTCGTGGAGGCCATGACTTCGAGACCCTCAAAGGCGCAACGCTCATCACACTATTCCATGCAGGTGGAGTGGCAGATGAGACATGATAAGCCGTAGGCTGCATATTGCTTGCAAGGACGGTGAGGCTTATGCATGACGGCGAGTTCCATCTGTGGTTATTCGATAGGAGAATCGACACTGCTGGGCACAGCTCGTATACGAACGCCACAGGAGATAGATTCTCTTGATTTGGAAGGCGTCACATGGATTGCCCACCCACCTTCGCAGCAGGCATGATCAATCGTATCCAAGACAGAGGTATAGCAAGGATTCGTCCCGCAAGGCAGAAAAATACAAGACGATATGTTGGGAGCGGAGAATCATCTAGCAAAGGAGACCACCCTGTTGCAACGGCATACCGGCCCAAACACGAAGAACTGATTGAGTTGGATGGTTAGACTGAGGCCAGTGAGGAGTGCCACAAGGCTGAGCATATGCAAATTTGGCACACCACCCTCTTTCTGGGTCTCGTTATCTCGGCGGTTTGCTGCGAACAGGGGTGATGGAGGGCGATCAAAGGATACACCAGAAGCATGGGTCATATCGCAATCCCCCAATGGTGATCGAGGGACTGGACCGTGAAAAGCTAAAACTTGCATAGAAAACTGGACCTCCCAAAATTCGTAAACGTGGCCATGGAACTCTTTAGCACATAGTCGTCACTGTGCACAAAAGGATGGCCCCGATGAGATTGCTGCCCAACTCCCTGTCAAGCGATGTTTTCTGGTAGCCATGATTACTCCATCAAACCACACATATTGGGTATATAGACAAAATCTGACACGTTAATTACGTTGACCACAAGTTGTTTGTCGGCACCACAAGCACATGTTGTTGCAGAACAGTGCAGCGATTAGCGAATACGGGTTGTGATCGAATCGCAAGAGTACGCTGATTAGTGATTGGGCTCAACAAAGTAACGACGGCATATGTGATCGCCAAAGCCATCGGATGACTTGTGGCGAGCGAGTGGATGTCCATTGAGGCTGTGGGAAAATTTCGCCCAGGGATTCAGCTTCGATGCATGCAGGAGCGAAGCGGTTCCTGCAGGGTAAGGGGGTCGCCTGCTAGAGATTGGAGAGTGTATACTCGTATCGCAAGGCGTGAGATTTGTTTTGCTGGAAGTGACAGGCATGCAGGCAGTTGGTCAAAAGGCAGGGATGCCGTTGGTGAGAAGAGAGAGAATGGTGGGACGTTGGAACAAACTTGGTAGCGACGCCAAGATCAACCCGGAGCAAACATCAAGCGCCCGGAGAATTGTACGGAAAGATACGTGCACAGTGCTGAACGAGGAGGGATGCCCGATCCCTGACAGCACGATGAACGGATATCGCTAGATGTTGTATCCGTAGCCCGTATGGAACAACAAGCACCGGTCAAGGCTCGCTAGAATTAGGCTCGTTGCTGTACAGTACTAAACGAAAGGGGTGGATGTCAACCTCAGCTGGTGGACATCGCTATTCGTACTCGTATGGCCCCCAACAACCAACAACCAACAACCCATGTCCTGGTCCTCGCCGACACACCGAACCACCTGTAACGGGTATGGATACTCGCAGAAGAGCTTTCAGATCCAGTTACCAACAAAACAAGGGCCCAGAGAAGTTCCCATCACGCTTCGACGCCTCCAACAGCCACATTCGCCAAAAGTGCCTGCATCCCAGGTGCATGGCGCCCACTAATCCAACGGAACGCGGCTCGTACCCCTGCTTATCATGTTTCTTCGGATAACAAGTTCACTCAGCAAACAAACTGACAGCTCTGATCACAACGGGCCGCCGATCCACTTTGATATCCAACACTCTGGATTTGACACCCGCTCCCTTCCGCAGTTGAGAGGTGTCTGACCTTGACACCGGTTTTGTTTGAGATCTCATGTGGACACGGACACACCCAAGCCGAAGGAAGGCAATTGAGAATCTATGTGATGAAAACAATCCGATAAAAATGAACAAGCCTTGGCCATGACATCCCGTAATATGATTGCATTTCCAAGGCTGGCATTAACAGTCTTTACGTTTTGAGAGCACTTTCAGCTAGGATAAGACCCAAGTTACTCACATCTCCTGTATTTGAGCCTGGTTCTATGGCAGCATGACCCGGCCACTAGAACAGGGAGTTGATCGTACTCTCCCCACCAAGGAACGCGTACTGGCAGTGATCGTCGGCTTAAAGAGGCTGTTACACTGCAGGGGTGAAGCTGCAACGCCGTAGATAACGCTCAGCCCTTGGTGAGCACAAATTTTTGAGACATGAGCACAAAAAATTAATTATAGCCATTGCGTAGCAGTGCCACTTGCTGGAACAGTGTTTAACATGTGATCTCCATTGTCATGTCAGTGACCCATTTCCTGCCCACAATAAGCCCCTAGTTGACTGTACTTGCAAACTTTTCAAATCAGTGCAACATGCTCTTTTCATAAATGGGTTTTGGTCAGAAGTATCACTGGTTAAGTAATAGGGTCCGCAGATGTAACCAATATGTCATTTTGCTTACTTCTCCTCGTCATTGTCATGGCGGCCGGGACCATCTTCGGCACAATTGGCAATTCAAATGTAGAGCGTCTAAAGCCAGGAGCAAGAGTGTTTATTCCTAGAATTTTCTGTGGGTAACCGGCAGGCTGACGTCGGGATCGTCCACGAGATGATAGGCATATGTCTCTCAGGGTCATATTTGAGCAGAGGAGCCGAATATAATACAACGCGAATCTTCAAGTCCTTGACATTGGGTGGCCTGCAATCGTGATGGATTCAGTAGAGGTTTTAATCTTGGAGGGCTGAGCACTGCCGTACGTGTCGACCTGAAATTCTTTAAAGTCTGCAATTCCTCAGATAGTTTGGCACGCCTCGACGGTAGTTCGTCAGAACCGGGAACTCCCTTCAGTTGGATGATATAAAAAGGCAGTCAGGGGCTTCTTAACTTTGTCATCAGAAGTATCCCTTGAGATGCTGCTCAAATCATTCACAGTCCATCAGAGCTATGTTGTAAACGCCAGAACGAGTCTGGATGAGCTTGCTCTTACAATCAAATCCTTTCTCGTGGCTCTTGATAAATAGGGCAAGTGTCTGGGAGACTTTCCACTAAGATGATATCTTGGTATACAAGATTTGAGGGGGCAGAATGCCTTTCAACGCCTGGTGATAACAAAAACCACAGTCGGTGTTTCGCGGGTCGGCGAGCTAGTGACTCCAATGGACGATAATACCTTTTCTTTGTTGGTGTACGCATTGACTATCTGATCAATGTAGCGAGTACTCCTCAGAGGACTATGTTACTTGCTGTTAGACACTTTTCTGTAAAGCCATCAGGGCGTGGCGAAGAGTACAATGTTGAGGGAAGTTGGAGATAAGCGAAAGACGCGCCTAAGATCAACCAACGAGGCTGTGCATCACGTGATACAGCCTTGCAGATCTTGGCAATTGCCACCCCAGCGACTTTCTACGAGTAAGTACAAGTTGCCTGCGATGGTCGCAAACATCGAGTATTTCAACTTCTATACCGAGTAACAACCCAACGATTCATTCTACGAAAGAATTGTTTGCGCGCTTCGCTACGACTTCACTTTCTCTCTCTCTCTCTCTCTTTTCTTTTCAATAATCTTCCAGACCAACGCAAAGATGCCTCGAGCCGAAGTTGGATCGACAAAGTACATCGCCAACCAGATGAAGTCGAAAGGACTTCAACGGTTGCGATGGTACTGTCAAGCATGTCAAAGACAGATGCGCGATGAGAACGGTCAGTCATGACTTCAAACCTTGGCTTTGCCTTCATTCACGTAACTAACCCGGTCTTCTCTTTTTGTAGGTTTCAAATGCCATGTCGCCTCCGAATCGCACATCCGACAAATGCAAATCATCGGCGAAGACCCCAAGAAAGCAATCAATGACTATTCACGGCAATTTCTCCGAGACTTTATACAGTTACTACGGACCGGCCATGGAGAGAAGAAGGTCAACATCAATCACTTCTACCAAGAATACATCTCCAACAAAAGCCACATACACATGAACGCCACCAAATGGCCTAGTTTGACGGAATTTGCGAAATATCTGGGTAGGGAAGGCATCTGCAGAGTGGATGAAGATGAGAAGAATGAAACCAAGATTGGCGCCAGTGCTCTGACCATCAGCTGGATTGACAACAGCCCAGAAGCGCTGCGGCGGCAAGAGGCTCTTAAGAAGAGAGAGCGACAAGATCGGGGCGACGAGGAGCGAGAACAGAGGATGATACAGGAGCAGATCCGAAAAGCGAAGCGTCAAGAGAAAAGACATGGCAGCGAAGAAGAAGAAGACAATGAAGAGGGCGCGGAGACCGAGGATGCGGAACATGCAGGAGAGGGGGAAGGAATCAAACGCAAGGATGGAGAGAAGATCGTCTTGAATTTTGGTTCGAAGAAGTCACCTCCGGCGGTGGAAGAACAGCAACCTCCTACCCCTCCTCTCTCGGACAAGGACGATGCCACCACATCCGACAAAAAAAAGGCAACGGCGGTAGTAGACACTGCCTCAGATTTATCAGCCGCTGCCGAACGACACCCTCCTGCTTCGGAAGGGCCTACTGGCTCCGGGAACAAAGATGGCAACATGCCAACGGCAGCGAAGCAACCGGTCTCGCTATCCTTTGGCTCATCAGCGACTCGACCAAAGAATGTTTTCGCAGCTGCGTCAAAAAAGAATGCTTTGGCTGGTCCTAAGAAGGCCACGACACTGGCCCCATCAAGACCCATGAGTGAAGCAGAACGGATAATGAAGGAAGAGATGGAGCGAAAGCGCCAACGTGAAGCCGGTGGTGGTGGGGTTAAGCCAGGCTCAAACGTCTTTAAGAAACAACGTGTTTCGTAAGACCATGTTTGTGTGTGCTGGCACGTACGACATGTTGTAATTGTGGCCGAGACGATATATATTCACCTTGTATAATGATAATGATTTGCATGACTCGAATTGTTTTTTTTTCTCTCATTCCATTACTGCCAGTACCGTAATTCACTTGCTATTCGAAAAGGACCAGTATGGGGACCAGTACGGCCGCCAACATTGGCTTGTTCGGATACGGAGTAGAGGAACACAGTCAACTATACGTCCGTACCTAGGTGATAGATACGAGATTCTAGATACCAGGTACTCCGCGGGACAATTTCTCCTCAGACAAAGTCAAAAGTGTCACCTCCTCGGTCATGAATCAATCTCCCGACCCTCTCGGTGCCGACAATCCTTTCGAGTTTCATGGCGTCCCATTTGGAGAACAAGGCACGAACCGCGCCTTTGGTCCTGGTGGTACTGTTACCGGATGTCCCTCTGCCGCCGCCGCCGCCGCCCTTTGTATCTGCATCCATGGTGATACCCAGCAGACCCACGACATCTGTCCAAAAGACCGGGTTCTCGGGGACGTTGTAGAAAATGACGCGGCGGACGCCCTTGATCCGGTAGCGAAAGTGGTGATGGGCTCGCTCCGAGTACAGCAACAGCGCGTGGCGGCCCGACAAGAAATGCGAACGGGCTCGCAGCACCTCCTTGACCGGGGAGTACTCGCTCACGCTGCCGAAAGAGAGGTTGGCGGCGTCGGGGCTCGTGGCGAGGTGGTTCCTCAACCTCACGAAGTCGGCGTAGCTCGTCGTGTACAACAGGGTCCCCTTTTGGGCTTTTGCGTTGCGCACCAGCGGCGGCAGGATGGTCGTCGTGAAGAACTTGAACCGACCGTCCGCGTCGGCGAGTGGGTTGGGCGAGTCGACGCGCAAGAACGTCTGAGGGACGCTGACGGGCAGAATCGAGTTGACTCCCAGCATGGCCCCAGGGTACGTGGGGAGGTATTTCACCCGGCCCGCCACGTTGAACAAATGGGACGTCGCGAGCGAGTTGACCTCGGGCGTCAAAAAGTCGGACAGGATGACGGTCTGGCGGAGATACTTGGCCTGGCCGTCGAGGTACCAGTGGCGGACGCGCGAAAAGTCACAGCCGTGCGACTCCTTGGGGAGCAGGTTGAGCTGCGAAAAGACGTAATCGACGTGCTGCCAGTTCTGCATCTGCAGCGCGTTGGCGTGGTCCACGACCACCACCTCGATCGAGGACAGAAAGTCTGCGTCGTGCGCCTTTTTCTTGTTGCCGTCCTTGTTGGGTCCCCCGCCGCCGCCGCCGCCCGTGGTGATGGTCCGCATCAGCCCCAGGGGCGAGCCGACGATGATGTCCGAGTTGTAGAAACCGGAAAAGTACTTGATCGTCTTGCGGGTGAACTTGAGGCCGATGCGGAAATCTTCTTCGTGGTTCCCGCCAAACAGGGCCCGAAAGTCGTCGGGCTTGTCGGCCCACTCGTCGCCGTCCTCGTGGGAGTAGGTCTCGAGGAAGCGAGACTTGTTCTCCTGTTGATCCGGCTCGCAGAACTTGACGACGCTGTCTACGAGACGTACACAAGCTTGCTTTGTCGGGACGATGATCAGGACCTTCGGGCGGGTGAAGCCTTGGTCGCGCAGATCGAGAGTCTCGCTGCTGGAGCTGATTTTGGCATTGTTCTTGAGAATACGATCGCGAGTCTTGAAGACATGGTTGAGAGCATGCAGGGCGGATATCTCACGAAGCCGGGACGAGTTTTTGAGTGTGCGGTTGCCGTCGACAATGTCGGTATAGTTGAACATGGCGTTGGCCAGGTCTTTCTCGTCCGAGGATAACGAAGAAGCAAGCATGGTCCCAGTCTCGAGAAGTCGTCGCTTCAAACGGAGATCTTTGAAGCCTCTGAACTTGGTCGCTGGTATCGGCCGGTCTTTGAGCGAGGTTGTGGTCTTTCGAACATCATCCCCTATCAGCACAGCCTGCGACTGCCAATCCTTCTGTTCAACCCGCTGCGCTGCATCCTTCAGATCTTGCTCGACCACGGCACTGTAATGTCTCTCAAAGGGATCCTTTAGAAGGCTGTCCTCGTCATCAGAGTCGGCATTGGTGGCTGGATCGTCGCCTTCTTCGTCTGCTTCGACCTCTTCGTCCAGCACCTCAGTAGCAGAAACTTCCTCAGTCTTTGGAGTTGAAGCAGTGCCGTCCAGATGATCATCGGCAATAGACGATTCTTGTTTGGTTCCATCTTCGATCTTTCTCTTTTTCTTAGCAGGCTCGCTGTTCTGTCTCCCCGTGCTCAATGAATGCAAAAGTGTGGCATAGGAATTCGTAGAGGGGCTTTCGTCTTCGCTTCCGGATTGGCTTGCTCCAACTTCTTCTGATGGGCCCTCGCTCTCGTTGATGTCGCCATCTATAGACTCGGCCGATGAAAGCCCCTGAGAGGCAACATCCCTGGTTCGCATCAGTAAAGGCGTTCATGAAGTCTGAACGAATGCCAGCACAACGTACTCTGTCTGCCCCAGTCGTGAGGTTTGGAAAGTGTCTCGCAATTGAGTTGCGGGTCTTCTTGCCCCACCACGACCTCTTCCGCCAGATTGGCGACCTCTGCCACCTCTCCCGCCTCTGAATACAGGCATTTCTAATTAGAGTCGAACAGAGATGTAGAATTTTGTGTTTCTTTTTCGCATGCGGAGAAATTCTTCTTTGCCTCCAAAAAGTTTGGGCCTTGAGCTTAAGATGTTTAGCGGGCGATCCGCGCCGAGGCTGGTGTGGGTTCTATTTCGCTTCCCTGCCAAGTCGGGGCCTTCCGAGCCCCTATCAGGACATGTAGAAGGCCTGTGAATGCATGGTAGTCTATAGTATCACATTGAGGATGGGAGAAGATAGAAGGAAAACAACAAGAAAAGACTGCTTTGAATGATTGATTGATTGGTTGTTCTTTGATCTCGCTGGGCTTTGGTTGCATAATTCTCTTCCATCCGAACCCACGAATCGGGGCCCCCAGCTAATAGACCTTCAGGTCCACCACCACCATAGAACACAAGTCTATGCGTGGTCAGATGCCAATGAATTGCAGTTCACGATCGGAAAAGCATAATTCAGAGGCCTTGAACTACTCTACTCGTCATCCTCGACGTCTGCCAGGTCATCGTCTTCGGTGAGGTCGTCGTCGACGGGCTCGTTCTTGACTGCACTTGCAACCTTTTTCTTCGGTGCCTTGCTGGGAGTCTTTTCCTGGCCATCGTTCTCATCCTTGACCTTGCGCTTGCGGGAAGGTGTAGTCTTGGGAGTTTTGACCGCGGTGCCATCGGCAGGGCTGATCGAGTTGTTTTCGTACTTGAATCCTTGCTTCGCGACGAAATTCTTGAATTTGGTGGCACTGTATTGAGATCATAGGGTCAGTAAAAGCGTCGATGATAGAACAAATCTCAAGGTGTGTACTTACGCATTGCGAGCATAACCGATACCATTCTCTTTTGCAACTTCGTCCCAGTTGATCTTCAGACTCTCCGAGTGCTTGAGAGCGGAGAAGAGGAACTGCAACTGAGGATCGGGCATCGCACCGGCTGCTGGAACAGACTTTGGAGGCATGATGAAATAAGCAGTAGATGGATGATGGAGAATGATTAAGATGAAGCTGTAGTGGAAGAGTTGATTGAGGATAGATCGAGCTGTCGATCCAAAGAGGTGTGGGTGGGTTGGGGTGAGAGTCAAAAATGAACAGAGATGCATCAGCGGAACGACAAATTCATTACCCCTCCGGGGAAGCTTCCAACCAGTCAGGTGGATCTTGCTACTCTCTATTACGCGAGGGAAAGTAAAGTGAAACTTGAAGCTTATGTCCTCACTCGTCCCTCTCTGAATTCTGAATCTCAACACAATTTGCTCATTGCTATTGAGGCTCAAGGCCCCACTCTGGCTCGAAGCCCTATCATACCTCGAAGGTATGCATGCTGCTGTAGAACAAGCGAAAAAAAGAAAACAGCTTCTCTACTCTTCGATCTTGATAGAGACAGCGCCAGTCTCTTCCTCAGCGGCAGCGGCAGCATCATCACTGGCTCCTCCCATGTCCTCATCGACGTCCTCGTTGGTGGCACCTCCACCGGCCTGTTCTTCGACCCCTCCCTGGGCCTCGGCCACATCACCATCATCGTCGTCATCATCATCATCTTCGTCATCGTCGTCCTCCATGTCTTCATCTTCATCGCCGTCGTCGTCGTTGTCATCATCGTCATCATCATCGTCGTCCTCGTCCTCAACTGGCTCAGGCACCTTCTCGACCTGGCCGCGGCGGAAGCGGTAGCCGTATGGCTCTATCAAGTTGTCGATTTTTCGGTGGCTAGGTTTGTCGTGGTTAGCTTGAATCTCGTAGAAACATATAGAGGGTATAGGTCGTTATAGAAGCATTCCTTATAGAGAAATGGTACTCACATTGTTCGGTCCACCTGGACGCCAAAATGCGCCTGCATCGCCGCGACGTCGACCTGGAACTCGGTCGCCGTTGCCATCATCTCGCAGAGGGCCTTGATGACCCCCTCGGCGTCGAGGCGTTGTCCAGCCGGCATTGTTGTGGTTGTCGCTGTTGTACGAGGCTTGAACAAACAGGGGGCTCGGGCGAGGCTGGAGTGCACGTGACGAGGTTGTGAGGTCGTTGTGAGCGGTGGACGGTTTTGATATAACGTTGACGTCAGTGGGCGTTGCGGAAAACGGGTGGTGTCTTGGCACAACTGATGACTAATCGGCATCGTTTTTGACGACGGGTGTGCGACAACGATGGACACAACAGGAGTGACAGTCATTGTTATTGCGGTCGCGATTGTCCTCAATGGTCATGAATGTGTATAGCATGATATCTGTATCCATCGTGCCTATTTTCAACCAGAACACGACAATAGGGCAACATCCTTGGCTCGTCCTCATTGTCTCTACGGTCGCGATCACATCCAATACCGCCAGCTACCTACAAGACGAACGCCCTGGAGTATCGTGCCTGTTTTCACGGGAAGGATGACACTAGCACACAGCATTCTCCAACTCATCCTCCATATCCCCACGTTTCGTGATCACCTGTGACACTTTTTCCATGTCTACCAAGCGGACACCCTGAAGCACGGTACCTTATCCAATGCAAATGCCTGACAAGGCCTAAATGCACAAGGGCCATCGGGAATTCCTGGTCAGGTAGCGATCATTCGGAAAGGATTTGTATGCCTACAGAGCAACTCATGAGAGCATCGTGGCTAGGTTCGGACAGTACACGACAAGAACACAACCTACAGGCTTTTCCACCAGTGTCGGCGAGGCCACAAACACACACACAGAGCAGGACAGGGTGCTTTCACGATGAACACCCCCAGAAAAATAGTTTCTACCCAGAGTCTTTACCAGAGAGTACCACAGCACCAGTGACACATGGTGTCTGCATGACGAATGGCCACAAAAACAAGACCTACAGAGAGTACCTACCTGATTGTGAGTATCCCATGGTGTCTGTATGACACATGTCCAGAAGAACATTACCTACACCAAGTGTGAATCAGCACAGTTGTATCACCCCGGACAAAACTGACCGAGTTACTAGTTCCCCAGTGTCCAGGCTTTATCAAAGGACCAAAGAGTGTCAGTTACCTTTATACAGTACTAAAAGAATAACGAATCTACAGACAAGGATCTTTATGGAGTCATTGTTTCAAGTATTGATTTGAATTGCTGTCTGTATTTTATCGGTTTGCAATGCAATTCTGTATTTTTTGTGTGTGTGTGTGTGTGTGTCATGTTCTTGTTTTCGCAAGACACTCGAGCTGCCAAAGTAGGAATACAGCTAAACTGGCTAGCCACTGTAGCAGTAGTAGCAGCTCAGTAGTAGTTCTGATCTGAAGACTCGTCATTCATCATTCCTTGAATTCATCAGCTGCACCATCTCAAGCTCAAGCTTCTTCTTCGTCGTCGTCGTCGTCATCATCATCATCATCAGCAACAGTAGCAGACTCATCTCCATCATCTCCATTTCCAGCATCATCACCATCAGATTCCGGTTCTGGCTTGACGGCAGCTACCTTCTTGGTGGTACGCTTCTTCTTGGTGGGTGGTGCAGCGGCTTGCTCGTCATCATCGACACCGTCCTCATCCTCATCCTTGACCTTTGAAGCAGTTGTAGTCTTGCGTTTGCGAGTTCCACCACCACCGCCAGCAACGGTGGAAGGAGCATAACAAGAGGCAGTGATACCCTTCTTGTGACCGGAACCAGTGAGTCCTAGCTTCTTCTTGATGGTCCACAAACGATGGTAGCTAGAGACATCCAAAGGTCAGTAAAGGTGGAACCCGGCGAGAGTCGTGTGAGTGGTAGTAAAAGTCAGCAACTCACCATGCGCTTGCACTCTTCGCTCCAGTCTCACGAGCAACCTCTTCGAAGTTTGGCTTCAATTCACTCTCCGAGTACTTGATACACATCATGACGAACTTGAGTTCTTCGTTTGGTTCCTTTGCCGGTGCCATGATTGTTCCGTTTGTTCTTTCGTCTTGTGGGCGTAAGATGTTGTTTTTGTGTGTTGGTTGTTGGTGTGATGAAGAAGAAAAAACGAATTCGATCTGTCTTGTTCGAAATGGTTGGAGGTTCGGAAGGAAGGATGAGTAGAAGAGAAGAAGAGGAAAAAGATTGGAAGAAGCAGGAGGATCTTAAATAGTTTCTCGATGAGTGGAAGAAAGATCAAGATCGAGAAAGTTTTTACATGTGATGAGCATCATCATCCTCGAACCTGAATCTCGGTTCAAAAGCTCTTCACTTGATCCTAAAGATTTTGGTGTAAAACGTACTGTAAAGAAGGCGAAAAGTAAGGGCAAGGCAACAACTTCAATTACATGAAAACAAGTTTCACTTTGATTGTTTTCACTGGTTCGATTCTTTCATTTGGGGATTGATTGTGTAGTTTAACAAACTACCTCCATCACCATCATCATTGTCATCATCATCATCATCATCATCATGGCGGCCTCTCTTCTCAAGGGAGCAGTGCATGATCAGCACAAAGGAAAAGCACAGCACAGCGAATCCTAACTTTGCGAGAGAACTTCAGTCTTCCCGTTGAAGACTTGAATCCTTCAGAACCGGCCCAGCCCAACTCCATGGTGTATCATTCTTCTGTTGTTGTGTTCTTCTCCTTCGTCTCTGTGTCGGACTGACTGACTGACTGTTGTTTCTCTCAAAACATGGACATGGAGCCTTTACTGAGTCAAGGGTCTTATTGCGCCTGGACAGAACTTGGCTAGCTCCTCAGGAGTGAGAACGTGTGCGACCTTGGGCTCTCGTATGACACGAGTACGCTTCTTCTTTGGCGGTTCTCCTTCGTCATCAGCATCGGCGGTTGTGGCGGCAGTCGCACCGTCGTCCTCGGCCTTGATCTTCTTCGCGGTGGTCTTGGTCTCTGAATCAGCTTTGCGTTTGGTGCCACCGGCGGTTGCGGTCTTTCTGGGGCTGGTGGTGAAGGTGGTGATGGGATTTCCATCGGCGTCCCTGGCACACCAAGCCGCACCAGCCTCCTCGAGTTGTTTCATGATTGCACGGAACTTGTTGCTAAATGAATTTTTTTTTTGGTTTGTCAGTTTACGCGCCGGACAGAAAAAAAAACCTTAATGAGTG